GACACGTATTTAAATTTCGTAATTTGAACCTTGTAAATATCTATTAGAAGATAAGAATTGATAACAAGAATTTGATTATTCCGGGACAAGCATATCTATAGTAAATATATAAATCTGAAGAATTTGTTTGTTTATATGTTTGTTTGAACGCGCTAATCTTAGTAACTACTGGTTCGATTTGGAAAGTCTTTTTGTGTTGGATAGACCGTTTGTCGACGAAGGCTCTAGGCCATATAACAACGCTGTGACTGATAGAAGCGAAGGAATATTGGAAAAATTGGAAAAAAATAGAGAAAATTATTAATCGTTGAGGGCTTCCGTCGCTTGCGCAGCGAATACAGTTCAAGATACCCAAATAGTATGTTTGAAAGAATGATTCATCTTTAAATTATCTAAAAAATTTCCGCGACAATATATATGTATATCTCAAGATTAACTCGCCATAACTATTTTTATGGTAATCGATTTAGTGGAAATTAATGAATGAAAGTTAGACTTGTAATGACATCTTGCAAACAACGTTAGAAGTGAAGAGTTTCAAAGTGTTTAAGTTTCTATTTATGTAACTTACGTTATTTAACTAAAACGGTTTCAAACGAGAAACATAACAAAACCGTTAAGTTTTATTTAAATAAAATAAGTGTAGTAAAGGGAAACTATAACGGTTCTAAACCCGAAAAATATCGTGTTTTAAATGTGTACTTCTCTCTTTAATTACAGACAGCATTTTTTCATGTGCTCTTGATAGATAAGAACACGGATACAACAAATAATAATTATTAATATATATGTAACATATACATGATAAAATAATTCTTCAGAATTCATCGAATTTTGGAAATTTCCCGAATTTTATTGATAATGGACTTATTTATCTACGATAATAGCTTTACTGCGAATCTATACTAATATATAAAGCTGAAGAGTTTGTTTTTTTGTTTGTTTGACCGCGCTAATCTCAGTAACTACTGGTTCGAATTGAAACATATTTTTGTGTTGGTTAGAGCATTTATCGAAGAATGCTATAAGGCTATAAAACATCGCGCTGTGTCCAATAACAGCAAATAAACAGCGGGAAATGTGAAAAAAAAAGAGGATGTTCCTCTTAAATACTCTAAAAAATGTCGCGACACTATATGTCTATCTTTTTATCAACCTGCGAGAACAGAAAGACGGGAAGGGACGGGCCGATGTCGGAGGAGTAACGGCGGGAAATTATAAAGCTGAGGCAAAAACAAACTCGGATGCCCAAAATAACATTTCAACGCGGACAAAGTCGCTGACGCAGCTAGTTTTTATAATAATTATTATAGCCCTTATCTACAATGATAATTTGAACGATTCCAGCAAATAAATAAAACAATCAATTACTCATATAACTATTTGCGGATAACAGATAAGATTATAAGAAAATCGGTATTGTAAAACTGAATAATTTCTTAAATAAAACAATTTTAACAGCTTCAAACGCGAAATTCAACCCGACTCTATGCTTTGTGGCCGAGGTCTCGGGTGTACTGTCACCACGTCTGCAGATTTTTAAACCGTTCCAGAGCGAATCCTGTTTGTAGTTTACGCGGGTAGCATACAATAAGTACACTTTAACGGTTTCAAACGCGATATATATTTGTTAAACTTATTTGAAAATTATTTTAACTACCCGATTGTACGGCACGTTTCGAATGCTTCGCAACAGCCGTGGTCACGGGGAGACTAAAAATGGAGGGTGTCTCTGACGTCAAAGTAAAAACTGCAACGTTAGCGCCATCTGTTCCTACGAAGTTGGTATTTGGCGAGACTAGCCGGTTTAGCCACTATATATCGCGTTTTAAACCGTAAAAGTGTTCTTTAAATGTGCACAACTAACTACAGACAATACACTAATTTAACGTAAGCAATAAATAATTTAAACCGACTTTATAGTCTAACTGTAACTTTTTATACTTCGTCTGGAAATCTGAATATTAAATGGATGGTAGGAATATCGAAGTTCCATTCCAAAAAGCCGTCATAATCGCGTTTCGGCTTCAGTCCGTGCTCTTCCTAATATCCAATGCCATAATAGGTCGACAGCAGATCTTGTTTAGTTGTTATATGACAGGGTATTTCACATACCATCAAGCGAGCCCCATTTGCCTTTACTTAGTTCATTGGGCGTTACGTAACTCTGTCTGTCTGTTACAAATAGCTTCAAAGAATTATTTACACTTTAATTAAATACCAATTACATAGTAAACAAGTCGGCAATGCAATTTAATTAAGGAAATATTTAATGTATTTTTCATAGGCGAATAATATTTGCAACGTCGGGCCGTAGATGGAATAATTTAACTTATGTATTTTGCGTTTTAAACCGATAGAAGTGTTTTATTTAAATGTGTACTAAACTACAGACATTTCGTTTTACAGTTTCTTTTTTAATACGTCTAGATTAAATACTGTCTATAGTTTACGCGAGTAGTAAACATTTCAATAAAACACTTTAACGGTTTAAAACGCGATATATAAGTTAAACTTATTTGAAAACGATTTTTAACTTCGGCCCGACGTTTCGGATGCTTTGCAGCAGCCGTGGTCACGGGGAGACCTCAACGTTAAAAGTGTTTTATTTAAACATCTAGATTATTCTAGAATATTCATTGAAGTTCGAGAATGATTTTTTCCGAAGAGAATAAAATTGCCTGAAAATTAAGTATAAAGCGAGTACTACACATTCAATTTTGACGGTTTAAAACGCAGAATATATTTCTAAACTAATGTACAATTTATTATAGCTACAGGCCGACATTTCGGATGCTTTACAGCAGCCGTGGTCACGGGGGGAAATTTTAAATAGGTTCACTAATACATTTCGCGTTTTAAACCGTTAACAGTGTTTAAGCGGTTAAAAACAACACTTATCTTTTCTCTGATATATATGATTTTAGCTATCTTACGGAACCCCAAACAGCTCAGAATCCGGCTCGCAGTTGACCGTTCTTTATAATACAAAGTAACGTTGTCCTGTTTGTAGGTCGCGCGTTGCAAGGTCGAGACAAATATTATGTATTTTGGGACAGTCCCAAATAATTGTATCGCTAACCGGGTTGTTTAAACTGTTTCGAGGTAAAACAATTATAGTTAAGGTTATGTCACTTTAGAAACATAATTAAAATCCAATTAATTAATAATTACTTAACCTTAATTAAAACTAAATACTTTCTGTAGTTTACGCGAGTAGTGCACATTTAAATAAAACACTAACGGTATAAAACGCGATATATATTATCGCCCGTGACCACGGCTGCTGCAAACCTCCCACGTCGGGCCATAGATAAATAAGTTTAACTAATATATGTCGCGTTACAAACCGTTAAAGTGTTTTATTTAAACATAATTAATACTTATAAAGATCGATCAATGTTGTTTACAAGGAAATTAGGCAGGTTTGAAACTGGACAAAAAATTTCGGTCGGGCCGAATACAGAACTACTGAAAATAAAATCCAAAGTGAACCAAAGTAAGTCTGCTGCGTGGCGTAGGTGTTAGAGAAAAAAACACACACATTTAAATTAATAAAAACGGTTTAGAACGCGAAATGTATTAGTTAACTTATTTTTATTTATATTAAACGTGGCCACATGTTTCGCAGTAGCCATCACGGGGAGAATGTCCCCCGTGGCCACAGATACTGCAAGGTAAAGAGATCTTAAGTATTCATAAAAGGTATGACTTTAATATAGACAATAAAAAAGCTGTTTCAAGATGGTAATCGCATTAAAATATAAAGTTATTGGTTATGACTAGAGATGCACTGTAGTAACGAGTACCGAGTTTTACTCGGTTCAATATCTTTTTCGAGTACTCGGCCGAAGCCGAAATTCCCGTTGCCTTAGAATTAGATTGCTATTTAAAAGAAAATCTAAATAAAACACTTTAACGGTTTAAAACGCGATATATTAGTTAAACTTATTTGAAACCGTGACCACGGCTGCTGCAAAGCATCCGAAACGTCGGGCCGAAGTTAAAAATCATTTTCAAATAAGTTTAACTAATATATCGGTTTTTAAACCGTTAAAGTGTTTTATTTAAATGTGTACTACTCGCGTAAACTATAGACAGAAAATCTATTGACAAAAAGTGAGAGGCGAGCCCTTGAGTGGCTGACAAGGCACAATCAAGAGCTGGCACGTTAAGCAAAAGTATCCTATCTCCCAAGCACTGTGAATAGCAAGCGATTATTTTCGGAGACCGGCGACATTTACGAAAAAACGGGGAAGGGGTTTTTCAAAAAAACCCCATTCCTCGCACGTCCTGATAACAACCAGAACGTGCGAGAGTGAACTTGTGTTCCTGCATCATAACTCACCTTTATATATCTATATTAATTATTTCTATTACTATTCTCGTAATTTTGATATTGAAATTGGGATTTCCAAAGATTTCCAAAATGACTAATAAATCATTTTAAATAAACACTGTTGTTTTAACTATATCTACCTAAATATAATGGTTTGCTTAAACAAAGTATACTCGTTATAAAATAACAAATTATAACCGAGTTATTCGGCCGGGTAGGTACGAGTATGAATATCCCGCCGAGTATGCAGAGTACCGAGTATCGACCGAGTACTCAGCCCATCTCTAGTTATAACCTTTATAAAGAATAAAAACAATATCAAATTGATATTATAGCGTACTTAAAACTTAAATTAATTTCGGTTGATTCAATAATAAAAATTAAAAATCATAAAAGCTATTTTTCGTGATTAAGGTAACGATTATTATTATTAGGGATTTCTGTAGTTTTCGCGAGCAGTTTTATTTAAATGTGTCCTACATACTGTCTATAGTTTACGCGAGTAGTACACATTTAAATAAAACACTTTAACGGTTTAAAACGCGATATATTCGTTAAACTTATTTAAAAATGATTTTTAACTTCGGCCCGACGTTTCGGATGCTTTGCAGCAGCCGTGGTCACGGGGAGACTATGTAATTTTTCTATTTGTTTGTTTCAGGCCACAAAAGACCCGGTTCCGGTGATTTGCAACAGCTGTAATGGAGCTATTCAGGGCAGAGTAAGTATCTTGGTTCTTCTTGGGAGGGGTGGTTGGATGAGAATGTGGATTTTACATTTTATCACATACTACTATTAATAAATAGTAGTCCCTCCCCTCTGACTATTACTATGCATTAGCAATTTGCATTGATAAGCGCTAGGTCCTGGATTCGAATTCCCTATAAAAACATAAGACATTGATTCGGTTGGGCAGAACTCAACATGCCAATCAATATAATTCAGTAAAACAAACAAATGCGGTATGTATGTATAGCGGTATATAAGTTAAAAAATATATTAGATTATTATAAAAAAAACAATATTAACGGTTTAAAACGCGAATATATTAGTAACTTTTACAGTTTAACTACGTCTCGTCATAGCAGCCGTTGCCGTTATTAAAATGAATCGTAAGCAAGTTTGTTAATAAATTTCGCGTTTTAAACCTTTAAATGTGTACTTATCGCGTATAGATATACAATACTTAGATATATTTTATCAAATAACACTTAATCGATTTGATAGTGTACATATAATATCTCAAGATATAATTTATCTAATGGTACGGCTGTCACAACAAGTCGTACAGTATTGTTAATATTAATTTTAAATTGTACCGATTAGACAAGATTAGCCTTTATTTAATTAGTTGATTTACATGTATTAACTTAAAAAGACTTTTAAATTAAACGGTTTTATTTTTTGTGCATTGTGAACTATACAATTTTTTAAATTTTGACATAATCATCGAGTTTTACTATTAGCCTTTTCTTTTCATACCTATATCTATCTTTCTTATTGCATATTTTACATATAAATAAAACACTTTAACGGTTTAAAACGCGATATATTAGTTAAGCTTCTTTAAAAATGATTTTTAACTTCGGCCCGACGTTTCGGATGCTTTGCAGCAGCCGTGGTCACGGGGAGACTAAGTTTAACTAATATATCGCGTTTTAAACCGTTAAAGTGTTTTATTTAAATGGGTACTACTCGCGTAAACTATATACAGTATTTGCATATTTTACATTTAAGCGTATGTGTTCTGATTTTCAATTAAGTGAACATCAAATCAAGCTTGCCTGTCCACCTCTCGTGGGTTTACAAAGCTGTGTCGCCCATTGTACGTAAAAGTGGTCAATCTTATCACTGATAAGGTCTCTGTGCCGAGTGCACAAAATGTTTATTACCAAGAAATTTTCCCCATTCAACAAACATAGTAATAAATATAATCATGACGTCATAGCGAATCATACTACGATTAATTTGCATAAAATAAACATAAGACAGTAATATAAGCAATGCAAATGCCTTTTTATGTTTCGGTGAAGGATAATGAAGGACGAAGGCCCACTTTTTGATTATTCGAAGAGTGCAACAAAGGAAATATTTATATCTATAATCTACGCTTATATATGAAGCTGAAGAGTTTGTTTGCGCTAATCTCAGGAACTACTGCTTCGAATTTAAAAATTCTTGCGTTGATAAGAGCAAACTCTATCAATTATATATTACCACTAGCTGAGTCAGCGCCTGCGTCCGCGTATTGTTCATTCGGGCATCCAAAATTGTTTTTGCAAACTGCACTAACCTACGTCATCGGTCGCGTCCCTTCGCTTGCGACCCGTCGTTCTTGCGAGCTCATCTTAAGCGGACATATACTATCGCGGACATTTTTTTTTTGATAATATAAAGAAGAATCATTCTCTCGTAGATAATTTTTGGGTATCTTGAACCGTTTTCGCAGCGTACGCATCGGAAAATAATTTCCCCGTTTTTACTACTGTTTCTTTGCTCATATTCATCACAGCGTAATGTTTCAGATCCTATTAGCCTTTCTCAATAAATGTTCTAAATAACAAAAAAGTTTTCAATTCGAACCAGTAATTCTTGAGATTAACGCGTTCAAACAAACGAACTCTTCAGCTTTATATATCAGTATAGATATTTAATCTATGTTACAGATAGTCACAGCGCTAAACAAGAAATGGCACCCCGAACACTTCACTTGCAACTCGTGTCGCAAACCGATAGAGGGCGCCAAGTTCCACCAGCACGATGGCGGTGTCCACTGCGTGCCCTGCTACACCAAGTTCCACAGTCCAAGGTGCCATGGTTGTGGCGATCCCATCACTGACGTAAGTGTCAAACAAGACTTTCAAGTTCCTATCGATTTGTTGAGAATGCGAAGTACACGATTGTGATTTATAGAATAACACATTTTTATCGGTTTCAAACGCGTAATTTATTATCTATACAATTTACAACGGCCCTACGTTTGGGATGCTTTACAGCAGCCGTGGTCACGGGGGACTGAAGATGACCGGGCTACTCACTAACGTCCAAATAAAAAAACTGCTACGCTAGCGCCATCTGTTCCGTCGTAGTTGGCGTTTTGAGAAACTGGTTGGTTCCCTACCGAACTCACTCATGGTGTACCCACATTTGCCGCGAGTTGCAAAACATTCGGAACGTCTAAATAAGTACTCTCATAGAGTTGGTGTTTTAAACCGTTAAAAGTATTTTATTAATAATGACACCCTCCATCTATAGTCTCCCCGTGACCATGGTTGCTGCAAAACATATGAAACGTCGGGCCCTACTTAAAACAATTTTCAAATAAGTTTAACTAACTAATATATGTATATCTCGTTTGAAACCGTTAAAGTGTTTAAATTTTACTCGCGTAAACTACAGACAGTATTCATTTGATACTGTCTATAGTTTACGCGATTAGTACACATTTAAATAAAACACTTTAACTTTTTAAAACGCGATATATTAGTTCAACTTATTTGAAAATGATTTTTAACCTCGGGACCACGGCTGCTGCAAAGCATCCGAAACGTCGGGCCGAAGTTAAAAATCATTTTCAAATAAGTTTAACTAATATATCGCGTTTTAAACCGTTAAAGTGTTTTATTTAAAAGTATTCATTTGAAGGACAGCTACGTTCAAGCATTGAAATCTTTGAAATTGAAACAAACGTGTTTAAAACGCGGATATACCAATCGACGTTCACGAATTGTGACTAATTCTCCAATTCTCGCCGAAAATGACGCAAAATCTATCATTAGTGGACATATAGGGCGACACGCCCACAGAACAAATAATTTGATCTTCAAGTAAGGAAATATAAGGCTACCTCATTTTTAAAATATGATTCTTAACTGATGGACTTTGATCGAGGGGCACAGGCAGGCATGGGCCTCACGTGATGGTAGGTGAAATACCCTAGTTATGCACCATCTAGACAAAATGCGCTGTTGACCTATTTAGACGATTAAAATTCATAGCTTTTTCATTCACGAAGTCCGACATGTTTCAGAAAAATTATGAAACATTTTATAAGTAACGTAACGTAACGCATTTGTAATGGATACGCTACAAAACAAAAGATTTTAAACCTACACAGCTCGCAAAACGACGGTCAATAAGTGAATAAACCAAAATTTCGCGTTTTAAACCTATGGACATTACAAATCAAATTTAAAAATCGTGTTAAATGACAAACATATTAGTTATCATTTGTGATATCAAATTAATTCTATCTCTAAAGGAACAACGCTTTGTCGGTCGTGGCTTCGATTCGTGCTCGTGTAAACCATTAATTATTAAGACTGTATATTTAATTAAATGTATAATCACGAACCAGACGCTGTATTCACTTCTAAGCCACCGATGTGTGCAAAAAATGCATAGGAAGTTATTAATATGAGACAGAAAAATTCTAGGTACTAAGCTAGAATGACTCACATAGTCGCATGTGTATACAACAGGTAGGTGTTAACGAATCTCGTTAGTTATAAAAAGGCATCACAATCAATTTTAAATGGCGCCCATTTATCAATATATATTATACTAATATATAAAGCTGAAGAGTTTGTTTGTTTGAACGCGGTAATCTCAGGATCTATGGGTTCGAATTGAAAAATTTTTTTTGTGTTGGTGAGAGCATTTATCGAGGAAAGCTATAGTGAAGGCTATAACCTCGATACATCGCGCTGTGACTAATAGGAGCGAAGATATAGCGAGAAATATGAACAAAACGGGGAAATTTTTCATCTCTGCAGGTTTCAGATGCGTACGCTGCGAAAACGGTTCAAGATAACTAAAAAATGTGTATGACATAAATTATTCCTCTTTAAGTGATCTGGAAAAAAGTCCGCGACGCTATATGTCTATCTTTTAAGATTAGCTTGCAAGAACGACGAGAAGGGACGCGATCGACGTCGTGGCTGACAGCTTAAGTTTATAAAGATTTGCAAAACCTAATTTGGATGCCTAAAATAACCATTCTTGCGGACGAAGTCGCTGGTACAGCTAGTATTAAATAAACGTCTATACTAATATGCCACTAGACTGTAGAGCCAGAGTAGCCTAACTTGAATTTCTTACGTTATTTATATTTTTATAGTCTAAAAATACTAACCTACAAGAGCACAGTGACCAATAATTGTTAACATAATTCTTACTAAAAATAAATAACAAACTTAACCCTTTAAAACGCAAAATGCATTATCTTATTTACAATTGTTCTCCGCCGTAGTTAAATCGCATATAAGTCTTATGACTTACAGCAGCCTTACGCTATAGTTATCTATAGCGTTTTAAACAGTTAAAAGTGTTTTATTAATTCTACTACTCGCGTTAACTACAGACTATTGTCTTAACTAATCAGTCGGCAATGAAATAATTTAACTAATATATAGCTCACTTTAAACCATCAAAACTGTTTTATTCAACTGTGTACCACTAGCGTAAACTATAGACGATACTTAACCAACATGTCAAACCGTAATTAAATTGTAAATAAGTTAACTTATATATTTTGCGTTTTAAACCGTTGAAAGTGTTTTATTTATGTGAACTTATCTATTACGATTATCTTGACGATCGTTTCTCCTGACAGTACTTCTGTTGCATACACAGCATTAGGACATTAAAAGATGAATCACTCCGTCATCACGAAGGTCAAGGTATGCCGCCTTTTAAGGCCGGGGAAGCGAGTCGCCCTGCCCATATTAATTTATAGGAAGAATCACTTCCGAAACAACGCTTCGTGTTTACTTATAAATTAAAAATCGATAATAAATTGAAAACTCGACTCGGGCGGGACCTGAACCGGCATCGTCAGCGTTCCGTGCTAATCGAGCTACCGAGGCTCGTGTACCGAGGTGCAGGTGTAGTTGTACTGTAGTGGTTATTCGAAGAAACAAAATTAGACAAAGAATAATATATTTCACGTTTAAAACCGATATAACTGTTTTATTTAAATATGTATTAATCACGGAAACTGCAAACGAGAAGACCCATTCTAAGTTAACAATTTTTTTTAACTTGAACCGGCATCCACAACTTTGCATGCTGTTGCTACCAATTACAATACCAATTGAGCTACCGAGTCCTACACCTCATCGTCGAATTTTTTCAACTTATTGATATATGCACCTCTCGCGCAGTGTAATTTCAACCTTAACACTTGCGTTCTAAGGTTCAATGTCTTCTGTTTTGCAGCTTAAAAATCTTTGAAAGTAAGAAGCAAACATTCAAATTAAACACTTTTAACAGTTTAAATTTAACTGTACCACTCACTTTATTCAAAAAACCAACTTAACTATGAAACCGTCGCGCGCGCATGATAAGCCAACATTAATAATTCTACAACTACCAAATCGGTTTGACTATTTACTGATTTCACGACGCGCTTCGGTGTCAATGAATCATTTAAATGCTGTACAACCTTATATGGTGGAATCTTATAACCTGTATTTGAGGACATTCAAAGTATGAGATAAAAAACGGTTTAAAACGGCGAATATATGTTATGTTTATAGGAGCAGTGGTCACGGGCGAATTAAGATATTCCTGTCCCCGTTTCTTTATGATAGTGAAGGACAGGATTAACTAGACGGAAGGTGGAATACCTCAGCCTATAGCATCTAAACAAAATGCGCTGCCGACCTATTTCGAAGCGATATCCGGAACCTGGGCATATTGGCATATATTAAAAACACCCGGTGAAAATTCAACCCGACGATGTTAAAAATAATTCAGTGACAATTCAGACAATTAACGGAAATATACTTCACATTAAAACCGGTAAAATTACTTCATTTTTCGACAAAAAACATGACAATTAAACTAACACTCCAATTGAAGTGATTATTGCAAATGTAATATTTCACGTTTTAAACCGTTAACAGTATTTCATTTAGAAAACACAAAGCAATATATAAAACGCTATACATTCCATTTCGCATATAGTTTGAATCCTGGAATGGAAATGTTCGATATTTGAAAATTAATAAATGATAATTAATTATGTAACATAAACAGAGCCCATTAACGTAGTCACTCTCTTAGTCCCAGCAGTGGGACACCGATATGTTGAAACGAATTATGAATCTACAATCACATGATAAGACGATCCTTGATTCACAAACATGATGTCATCTGAAACAATGGCTCCATTTATGTTCCAACATTATACCACTGTGTTGTGTCAAACGTGTAAAAAATGTGATACTATGTCACTGAATTGTATTGAGTGATTGTTTTTTAGGGTTCCGTAGGAAAAAAGCAAAAACTTTATAAGCTTAGGAAACAATATTAACACATAAGGTAACGGGAGGAGTTAAATTTTCACGAAGTACCCTGTTTAGTATTGTCTGCCGTTCACGCGAGTGATACGCATTTTAATAAAACATATCTGACGGTATAAAACGCGTAATATGAGTTAACTTGTTTACAATTTATTTTAACTATGGCCTTTTTTCTCACTTTAGGAAAATAGGAAATATAAATATTAGTTGACTAACATATTTCGCAATTTTTACATTTAAATAAAACACTTTAAACGGTTTAAAACGCGGAACATATTAATTTATTTTGACTTCGTCCTGTTTTCTTACTTTCGGAAAGTATACAAATTATTTGAGTAATATATTTCGCGTTTTTAACCGTCAAAAGTGTTTTATCGTAATATTCTATATATAAAACGTGGAATCGAGTTTTCAGTCTGTAGAAGTTCGAATGTCCAAAGCGACAATAGGTCGACAGCATATCTTGCTACAAAATATGTCAGAGGTTTTTCACCTACCATCAAGTGGATTCACACTTGTCTATCCTTCTCTATCACAAAAGGAAAATCTTGCTAATAAATACATTTTCATTTTTTAGCGCGTGATCCAAGCACTCGGGGTGTCGTGGCATGCGCATCACTTCGTCTGTGGTGGATGCAAGAAGGAGTTGGGAGGAGGAGGATTCATGGAGCAGGTCGGTGCATATTGAATTATAGAATTAAATATATCCTATGTTAACAGAAGAAACAGATGGCACTAAAGTAGCAAATATGACTTTGACATTAGGGATACCCCCATCTTCAATTCCCCCCGTTACCACGACTGCTAAGCATCCGTAACTTCGTATCGTAGATAAATTAAATCAATTATGTTTGATTTAATTTATCTATATTTCGCGTTTTAAACCGTTAGACGTGGTAATCACTTATCCAAAATCTGGATTAATTTAAATAACTTATATTTTCCGCGATTTAAAAGACAACATTTTCCCAATGCTATCAATTATAAAGTAACAGATGGCGCTAGCTTAGCAAATTTGACATTACGGACACTCGATTGTCAGTCACTCGTGACGTCAGATCGTAGTTAAAATAACTTTACCAATATATCCCGCGATTCAAACCGTTGTAAGTGTTAACGACTAATCCAGTATTTGAAGAAAACACAATAAGACCCAAACCATATTATAATTAGATCCATTTTAATATCGATTTGACATTTCGGATGCCTATCAGCAGACGTGGTGAGATGTATGGTGGATAAAGACGATCTTCTAAACAAGATTTGTGTTTAAAACTACAAAACGTAATCTACAGAATGTTAAACATTGAAATTTACTACACGGACAAGGCTATTTTTTTTCTAACTATAATCCGTTTTTATTTTATACTAGCGACACGCCCTGACTTTGCTGACACTAAATACACTACAGAAAAACTGTGAACTGTAGTTTTACATGAAACCCTTCCTCTTGTGTCACTCTATCTATTAATTAATTAATTAATTCTAGGCTGGCCGCCCCTACTGTTCGTCGTGCTACGCTGACAAGTTTGCAGCCCGCTGCGCCGGCTGCTGCAAGCCGATCGTCGACAAAGCCATCATCGCTCTGGACGCGAAGTGGCATCGCGAATGCTTCACTTGCACGGTAAATATATAACTGTTCTTTAGCGGTTTTAAACCCGAACTATTTTAGTTAAAGTTATTTAAAGACTGCCTGTAGTTAACGCGAGTAATACATATTTTAACCAGCGCAACAGATGCCGACGAAGTCGGTATTTTTATCATTTAAATATTGATTAACATGATAATAATCCTTTTCAAGCAGTTTTTGTTTTACATACGATTTAAACCTATTTATTGAGAGTGTTTGCACTTCGCTGGGGATTTTATTAAAGTATCGTATGCAGTTACCTTGAAAAGAACTACTACTTTTATGGAGCCTTTTGTTTGGTACACTTATTTTGTCCTTATTACGCGTATTGTACTGATGAAAGCTGCCGTTTGTTTTAAAAGTATCTACGTTTTTCCTCACATACAAAACATTTTCATAGATATATTGACTTGCCAGCGTTAGGATATTCAATGCTTTAAACTTATTTCGAACAGACTCTCGTGGGGAAAGACCACGAATCGATCGAATAGCCCGTTTCTGCAAAACAAATATGGTTTGAATATCGGCTGCAAGCCATACATTGCTACCTAAGACCTAACCTAAGGTTACAGTTTATGTTACATTAAACCATCGAAACTAATGTATTTCGCTTATTAAACCGTGAAAAGTGTTTTGTTTAAATATACCATTAATTTTCGTTATAGGTAATTGCTATCTGTACCTAGTGGTACAGAATAATTAAAATCTGTAATATACCTCTGTAAACTACAGACAATATTTATTTAATAAATCTTTTATTCGTTTTCAGAAATGCCGGAGCCCCGTAACCGACTCTACATTCTCCGTTATGGACAACAAGCCTCTCTGCGGAAAATGCGCCTAAATTAAACACGCTGTATACTATAATAAGATATATAGACATTACAACTATGTTACTGTACGGTACGATACGGTACAGTACTGTAGTACGACCGTACCGTTTACGACAATTACTATAAGGTTGCATTTTAAATTAATAAGAAATACACTTCCGTATGGGTAGCTTACGCGAGCGGTACACAATCAATAAAATAATTGTGACGGGTTAAAACGCAAAATATATAAGTTACACCTTTTTTCCATACGACTAGGTTTTTACCCGAGTCACGTAGCAAGAAATACTGAATGTATTTCGCGTTTTACACCGTCTAATTATTTATTGTATGTCTATGTGGCTTCTCACGTGTTGCACACATCAAATAAACAACATGTTATAAAACACCTTAAACGGTTTAAAACGTGATCTATATTAGTGTTACATCTATATATGAACAATATTTCGGGTTTGAAACCGTCAAAAAAGTTTTATTCGACTTTAAATTCAATACGTTTGAAAAAGGTTTGTGACACCTGACATTCAGCATAATGTATTTAGTACAACCCAATCGAAATGCACCAGCACTGCCCATGACACATTTGAAAAAACTATTTATAAACAGCACTTCAAAATAAGGGACTGTAAGAATCGGATAACTAGGGATGTACCGTTAGAACTAGTGTTGTGTAAAATACCACGGAAGTTTGACACTGACAAATAATGCATTTCAAGCGCCCTCTTGTGACATTTGTTTGTGTATTCAACTTCTTTTGAGCTTAATCTGTTATTTATTGATATACGATTTATAGATTTAGGCTACAAGACAAAATATTATTAATTCAAACAAACTATTTAACGCAGAGGAAAGTATAATAAAGTTTTTTTGGCTTTTCGAGCTTTGCATCTCGATTAAGGGTTGGCAATGGTTAATTACGAGGGTTAACAACTCGAAAACCTAAGAAGCTTAACAAAATGGCCGCCAAAGCGTTACCGCCATGTATACCATACCATGTAATAAAATGTTATAGCCATAAGATACTACTTTAGTTCTCAAATGTCTAAAGTGAAAATAGGACGACAGCGCATCTGTGTTAGATGTTATATGGCTACGGTGTGTCGCCTACCAGTTGTCTGTCCTCTTCTATCGTAAACAAATATTTATCTAGACCCTTCAGACCCTAAAGTCATCAATCACAAGCTGTGTAAAGATCCCCTGAAAATCTGGTACGAAAGCATTGTAAATATATTTATTCTATTGTTAAAGCGCTGTGATGCTTCTATGGGCATATGTATGTTATGTTAGACGCGTAATTTCTTATTCAATAAACTCTATTTTATATATACTTGTAGTTTTTCACTAGATGTGTCCGCGACTTCGTCCGCCTAGTATAATTATATTGGGCATCAAATTTTGTTTTTGTTGCTTCGCAGCGCAGAAAACGGAATCAACACAAATGTGATTTTTCAAACTCCCGAAATTAGCGCATTAAAACGAACTAATAACCTCTTCATATTTATAATATTAGCATAGATTTGCGTCACGCATCGGCCCCAATAAAAGGAAAGCCAGGAAGACGTCGCGTTTGGGCAACGGCTCATGGCGCCGAAACTCCATTACATTTACACTCTGAAATTACGGTACGTTCTGATCATTTGAATTCTATATTACTTTGATCTGATTACTAAAAAGGAATGAAGGACTTACCCGTCTATCCCTAACGCGACGACTCTCTCTCCCCGGGGACACATCCACTATTTCTTTCTCGTACGCATTTTCTCCCTCCCCTAAACTCATATATCTAGGAGTCGTTTTACGACTGCTAATCGTTTGGGGGGTTGGCTTTTGTTCTCCTACGATTGGCTTCTGTTCTTGCCAAGGTATTCCTTCGCTTCTGGACGTTCTCTTACGCGGTGTAGGACAATCATTTCGCGGAGTCACTTGCTTCTTTGCAATTATAACTTCAGGTTCTTTGCGAGGCGACGACGATCTGTCTCTCGTGGTCACTGCTTCCGTTCTCGGTGTACCCTTCTTGGGTGTATCTCTTCTAGGAGTTGCTGCATCTTGTTTCTGTATCTGCTCATCTTCACCAAGTTCTTTATCTAATGCGATCGCTTCTTTACCAGTCGATTTGGAGCCTTTGGGTGATTTAGAAATCTTTCTGGGAGTCTTTGTCTCTTTTCTTAGCCGCTTTGTCTCCTTCTTAGGTGACCTGGGAGACGTATCTTTCCCCTTTTTGGAGATTATTTGTTTCAAAATGGGCGTTGGTCCCGGACTTGCTTCTCGGCTCATGTGACTCGAAGTGCACTATAAATTCAAAATCAATATTTTTTTTTACTAATGAGATCCCTTCTCTTATTTTTAGGTATCTATATAAACTGTTCGTTAGTTAGTAAGTTAGAAATGTATGGCTAATAATCAGCAGTCGTGAGTTCTATTCCCACCGTGTCCAACATGTGAATAATCAATTCATAATCTTCTGAAATATGTGAGACTTCGTCTTGAAAATGTGGGTATTTTTTTTTTTTGGGGGGGGACCAAAATTTTTAAGTCCAAGTGGATCATTCACCGTTCACTGATAAAAAAGCCGTGAAGTTTAATCGCGTTACAGTTTCAGCCTGTGGAGTTCCGATTATCCAAGGCCAAAATAGGTCCACACTACATCTTGTTGGGTTGTTTTAGGCTGGGGTATTCCACCTTCCATCAAGTGGACCCCATGTTTGTCTCCTCTGTCATAAAAAATCAACACTTACTGGTGCAACCGTTTCAACGAGTGTTGGCACGTCTAGGTCCTTATCGGTTTTTCGTTTCGGCTTCGGAACTCCAGCCTGAGGGTCTCGCATCAAAGGACGACGAGATCTGGAAACAAGATAAATAACATTTAACGTTTAAACGATAATTAGTTAAACTTATTTGAAAATGATTTTTAATTTCGGCCCGACGTTTCGGATGCTTTGCAGCAGCCGTGGTCGAGGTGTCTCCCCGTGACGACGGCTACTTTCAAATAAGTTTAACTAATATATTGCGTTTTAAACTGTTAAAGTGTTTTAATTAATTCAAATGCGTACGAAACAATATACACTATTTAACAAGATTCAAAGTAACAAATAAAAAAATCCCTGCGTACACGCAACTTCGTGGTGATTATTGAGACTAAAATTCGTCAATGTTTGATGTGATATGGGGTTGTTATCCACGGCCTTGTTACTTGTACGAAACCAACGAATAGACTTCCGACGGGCTCGATGTTGTAATGGTAGCAATGTAAGGCTATTAATAAAAAGGTCGTGGAAATCTGGTTATTAAATTGAGTTTTTTTAATGAGAGAGACAGGACGCCAGAGATGACAACGGGTTCACTTAATAGTAGATGTATACCCCAGCCCATAGCTTCTAAACAAGATGCACTGTCGACCTATATAGGCTTTGGATATTCGGAAATCCATAGACTTAAACAAAAACGCAATTAAGCTTCACGGCTGTATCATATGATGGTTTGGGACCCGGATGGAATTTCTATAATTTCTACCAGCCATTTAATATCCAGATTTCCAGACTTCCAACATGTTTCAGAAAGATTATAAATTGAAAAATTAGAAACTTGATGGAGCTGGTAAGGATCCCACCTACGACACGTTGATCATTAGCCAAACATTGGTATAATTGGATGGTAGGAAATTCCACCTGGGTCACGAACTATCGACCACAGATGTAATAACCGTGAAGTTTAATCACAATTCGGTTCAATCAATCTATGGATTTCCGAATATCCAAAGGCAAAAAAGGCCGACAGCACATCTTGTTTTAATGCTCTAAAGTGAGACCCATGCCTGACTATCCTCCTCTAAAATTAAAAAAAATAATAAAGACTTTGTACACTCACCTAGGACTTTTTTTTGCGTTTGGCGGCGTGAACACTCTTGTCTGCCGAGGCCTTACTGCGGCCCGACAGACTGCCCCGCTTCTTCGATGTGCCTCTGCGCAATTAATTGTAATAAGGATCGCTAAGTCTACGCACTACTACATACAAATACAAATACAAATACAAATTCTTTATTCACCAAAACTGTGTACATAACATTACAGGGTGTGCTAGCCCCCACACTAGGATTCCCTGTGTCGTGGGCGGCTAGACTCTTCCGGTGCATTTCGAGAAAAACAATGAAAAACTTAGTATCTACTATGTACTTATAAAGTTATTATATGCTAAGTATTTAAATAATAAAAAATAAACTTAAAAATATGGATAACATTTTGTCATGCAATTACCTTAATACAGTTTTCTGTTTGAGTATAATTTAATTTTAGAAGAAACACTTTAATTTTATTTAATTGGGAAGAATAAGAAGTAAGTGGGCTAATTATATTTTTATTAATGAATAAGTTAAGCAGGAAGGGACCTTTAAAAGTAAAAAATCGTTGGGCAAAAGAGGTGTGTTTGAGCGGAGTTCGGAATTGGACTTTTCGTTGTGTTAAAGATGTTTGTTCGGATGTTTTAGATTGTGATGGCGTTTTGAGTTGGCGACGACAAGTTGATATAATATACAGTTGCCTGACCGTCAGGAGATTACATTCTTTGTATAATTCTGAAGTTGGATGCCGAAACGGTTTTCTAAGGGAAATTTTTAGGATAGCACGCTGTGCCCGTTCTATTTTGAGCATAAGACCTGTTACCGCACCGCCCCATGTGGAAATGCAATAAGATAACACAGATTGGCATAAAGCTATATAGACTGTCCTAATAGTATTAGTCTCTGCCGCCTTACTGAGGCGTTTAAAGGCGCTTGAAAGTTTTCGGACACGAGAGCACAGATAACTAATGTGAGGACCCCAAGAAAGCCTCGAGTCTACCATTACCCCGAGGTATTTAATAGAATCAGTCGAAGGTATGTTAAGTATTATTATATTATATACTATTTTAACAATGTAAAAGGCGAACAACAACCGTGGTCACGGGGGAACTGAAAATGTGCAAGTCATATAAAGCGTCCGCAATATCAAAGTCAAATAGTATACAACGCTAACGCCACCTAGCAGAACGTCCAGCTGTAGTTTTGATAAATCAAAAATAAGCGAATTAGTATATTTCGTGTTTCCAACGGTTAAAAGGGTTTTATTTAAATTTGTTCCACCCGCGTAAACTACAGACATTACTAAACAGTTTTGTTTAAATTATATATATCGGATTTTGAACGGTTAAAGGTGTTTTATAAAAAACTTTTCAACTCCCAATTTCGAATCCCGGGAAACAATAGATTTCGATCGGCCAGGGCACAGAAGTCTAAACTGTATGTAAACATAACCAATCAATGATACGGAGGACACAAAAATGCGATTCAACTTTTTCTTGTCTAACCACGGTGGGTTTGAATGGTTCTTACCCAGAATGACCCTTCGAGCTGGACATTTTTGCGGTGGAGTGGTTCCGAAGAGTGTCCAATGAATACATCGACAGGTGGGCTTCCGTATCACCAACTAATAAAATAGAACAAATGACTTTTAGCGGGTTAAAACGCGAAATATATGAATTAACTTGTGTACTGTTGAATTTATAATGTCAGTATAAATCAAACAGTACGCAAAAAATATTTTTTTTCAATTCGAACCTGTAGTTCCCGAGATTAGCGCGTTCAAACAAACAAACTCTTCAGCTTCATATATTAGTATAGATTATGAGTTACCGAGGCGTACGCTGCGAAAACGGTTCGTGAAAAAAAAAAGGCGCGGGGGGTTATTTTTTTTTTTTAAAAATTTATTTGAAAAAAACGGGGGGGCGCTACCGCGGGGTAGTAGCTTAAATTTATAGAGTTGAACAGGATTGGTTTGCAAAAACAAACATTGATACCCAAAATTCCCTAATCTACGCGTACAAACTGACTCACTGACTCAGCTAGTTAATTAGATAGAACCTTTTTCGTGTAAAAGAAAAGGTATAGTTAAGTGACAAATTAAGTTGTCATTGTTCTCTCAACATTAAAACCATACTTGGGCAGTAACAACACGGATTTTTATTTAATCCAACATATAAATTCTAAAACCGTTTCGGATGCTTTGCCTGCCGTGGTACTCTACTGACCATAGCTTATATATTTCGCGCAATCAAAGAGACGGACACAGAAATGTGTTCAATTTTGGGGCATGAGCGATAATGGAAACTTCTTTTTTCTTCATCTTAACAAGATGTGCTGTCGGTCTATTTTCGCTTTGGATATTTGGAATTGTGTAGTTTCGTCTATGTTATCGTATATAGTCCATCAGTTTAGCGCTCAAATGATCGTGATGATCTTACATGACTTAGATCCAGACTTTGACCAGGTCCCACTCAACTTCCTCCCTCTGGACCTTTTGGAGTGGCGAGAACAGGAAACACTCTGAAAAAAAAAACGGTTCAAGACACCCAAAAATATGTTTAATGGAATAAATGATCTAAAAATTTTCGACAGTGAATGCCTTTAAAGATTGACTCGCAAGAACCGTTGTAAATCTTGACCCGATAGCTCAATTGCTAGAGCAACAGCACGGAACGCTGACGATGCCGGTTCAAGTCCCGCCCGAGTCGAGACATTTTTTCAATTTATTTTCGATTTTTAATATATTTTTCTCAGTCTCTTTTCTCATTGTTCAAACGATATTTTGCCGAGATACGAACTTAGGCCTTTTACACATAACACTTAACAAGAATTTTCTTTGCGGTTAGCTTTGGCTTAATAATATTATTTAAAAGTTATTTAGTTATTTAAATAAAACACTTTAACGGTTTAAAACGCGATATATTAGTTAAACTAATTTGAAAATGATTTTTAACTTCGGCTCGACGTTTCGGATGCTTTGCAGCAGCCGTGTAATATATCGCGTTTTAAACCGTTAAAGTGTTTTATTTAAATGTGTACTACTCGCGTAAACTATAGACTGTATTTAGTTATTTAGTTACCGTATTTTCAGTACTGTTCAAGTATTCAGACATTCTTGATGTGTAATCTTCTATAGCGTTTAATAACTTATCCGTAGAATGGGGCAAACTCTGGAACAAAAAGACTATATTTTAAATCATTAAAATTAAAAATATTTTTGTTTGTCTGTCCGTTTGTCGTGATTCTACAGGGTGTTCAAACTGCCTGTCTTTCCTCCTATATCATTAAAAAAAACATCACACGCTTACATCTTGGAAGAGATCTTTGGCCGCATTCAGGTTGGCTGGCGTGTCCACCTGCTCACAGGTGTCCAGAATCTCCTTAATCATTTGCAGAAGACTCTTCAGCAACTCACCACTCTCCCGGATGCACAACGTTTGAGGAAACGACTTTATGAACACCTGGAGTAAAATATTTTCAAAATTAGCTGTAAAAAAGCTAACTATTATATCTTTCTTTCCAATTATAAGTATTTAAAACGCATATAAATTACTTTTAACGATTTAAAACGTCAACTTATTTACAATTTAGGTATTTAACTACGACCCGACGTTGCGGAAGCTTTGCAGCGACTGAAGAACGAGGCCGTCCCTAATGTACAAGTAAAAATGTCGGGCCATAATCAAAATAAATACTAAATAAGATAAGTAACATATTTCGCGTTTCAAACCGTCAAAAGTGTTTTATTTGCATATGTACTAAACGTCTACACTACAGACATTACTCAATTAGTTATTTTATTTAACCACTTCTGATCCGACATTTTGAAACACCACCCAGATTCAGCATCCACCTGTGCTCATATATTTCGCGTTTAAAACCGTTAAAATGGTTTTCTCTGCTAACTGTCATATCGAAAACAGAAAAACATTTAACGCGTCAGACAGAGAGAAGACAACAAAGAATTTAGTATATATGTCCTTGTTCGTCCCGTTTTATTTACAGGCAAGTAGCGGGTCAAACTTCCGCGCCCAGCTCGAGCGAAACACTGTATTGTTTTCGCGAGATTCAAACCTCTGGACCTCGGAACGCTTAACGCGATGCTAGGCAACACGTTTCACCATTTAGCTACAGAGGCGGTCAGAAAAGTTAGTACTGGGTTTTAATTACCCCCCCCCCCCTTTTTACGGAACCCTAAAAACAGTAGGTACTTACTTGTAAAGAATGCAGAACGTTTTGATGTAAGGAGACAATTCTGACCATTTGCGATTGAAATTGTGTGTGCTTTGCAAACGGCAGTGCTTGAGAATTATTCCTTTTGATGTCTTGCACCTGAGGAGAGAAAGAACCGTTTAAAACGCGAAATATATTAGTCATCTTAATGACAATGTATTTCATTCATAAGATGGAGGGTGTCACTAGTGTTGAAAAACAAAAGTTACTACGACACCCTCCAACCTCCTCCATGTCCTGCCCCCCCCATGACCACACTGCAACAAAGCATCCGTCGGGCCGTAGTTAAAAAAAGTTAAAACCATTGGAAGTGTTTAATTTAAATGTGTACTACTCTAAATACACTATCGCGTTTAAACCGTTAATATTTATTACAATGTGTCTCCGAGTTTCAAAACCAGGGGTCTAAACACTGTGGTTTACGATATTAGTATAAATTTAAATACAACACTAACGGTTTAAAACGCGAAATATATTAGTTAAAGTTGTTTACTATTTATAAACCCGACATTTCGGATGCTTCGCAGCATAATATGTCAGCAAGTTGAACTAATCGCGTTTAAAACCGTTAAAGTTTAAAATTTAAGCCAGATATCTCTGCATTTTGCACTGAGGCCGTAGTCAAGAAATATACCTGTCGTTGCAATTGGTACATGTGAATCCTATTGAAGCGCGATGTGAACTCCACCGACCTTTGCATCATTTTCGGTAGAGCCGACGGGTCTATATTAAGAATGTTTTGCCTCTCCAAAGATAACCTGAAATATACCATTTGATTAATTAAGCTGAAAAGTTGGTTTGCACGCCCTAATCTCAGGAACTGTTCGTTCGCATTTTTGTGTTGATACATTTATCGAAGAAGGTTTTAAGCATCTATGAGGGCTTACGTTGTGTGCGCTGCGAAAACGGTTTAAGAACGCAAAGAAATATGTTTGCATCAGTATATAAAATACTGTCTATAGCTTACGCGAGTAGTACACATTTAAATAAAACACTTAACGGTTTAAAACGCGATATATGAGGTCTCCACGTGACCACGTCTACTGCAAAGAATACGAAACGTCGGGCCGAAGTTAAAAATTATTTTCAATAAGCTTAACTAATATATCGCGTTATAAACCATTAAAGTGTATTATTTAAATGCGTCAGTATGTCTATCTTTTAAGATTAACTCGCAAAAACGACAGGGCGCGGACGACGTCGTGGGTAACAGCTAATTTATAAAGCGGAGGAGGTTTTCGGAAATAAAGAATATCACGATGCGCGGACACAGCTAGTAGCAAATAATTGGATTTTGGAAAATCTGGATTTTATGGTACTTTCTAAAGAGGAAAGAGAGAGTTCCATCCGGGTCACGATCCCTCCACCACCGATCACAAATGCAAAAACCGTGAAGTTTAATCGAGTTTCGGTTCCAAAGCCAAAATAGGCCGGCAGCGCATCTAGTTTACATGCTATAGACTGGGGGGGTATTTCACCTTCCATCAAGTGAACCACGTGCTTGTCTGTCCTCCTCCAGGATAAAAAAAAATACTTACGCAATTTCCTCCAATTCACTCGCTATTTTGCCCCTCAGGTCCTTAACTCTTGCGCAGTAGATACTACTCTCGATCATACTGGTCACATTCTCCGATGATTTTGTACCTTAATGAAGTTATTTAACGGTTTAAAGTGTGAAATACGGTTTAAAATGTTAACTTATTTAATATATTTTTTGACTACGCCCCGCTGTTACGCATGCTTTCCAGCAGCCGTGGTCACTGGGGGGTGAAGATGGAGGGTGTCCGACTGAGAGTTAAATCTGCTACGCTAGCGCCATCTGTTGTATCGTACATTTAACTTTGACATTAGAAACACTTACATCTAATTTAAAAATCGAAAAAAAATTGAAAAAAATTTTCGACTCGGGCAGGACTTCAACCGGCATCGTCAGCTTTCCGTGCTGTTGCTCTACCAACTGAGCATATAGTGCCTTCATGTGCAATAACATGTGAAAAATATTAATGTTTTCAAACACTTACATCTTATTAAATAAAAGTTAACTAACATATTAACAATTAATTCATTTTTAATTTTAATCAAAAAATGTCTACTGGTGACAATAAACAATCTTGTCTTCTGGGTGCGTTTTCATTATAATGGGACTCAGAATACTAAACTCCTGGGTTCCGAATATACACATTTTAATATAAAACTTACGGTTTAAAGTTGGTTGGATGTTTTGCAAATACTCGTGGTCACGGGGACCACGAGTATTTGCAAAACATCCATAACTCAAATAACAATTTAACTGTAAATAAGTTTAAATGATTTGAAGATTATTTTAACTACGGCCCGACGTTTCCATGTTGTCTGCAAATACCAACTACGACGGAACAGATGACGCTAGCGTAGCAGTTTTCACTATAAAATCAGAGACACCCTCCATGTTTAGTCTCCCCATGACCACGGCTGCTGCAAAGCTGCGTCCGAAACGTCGGACCGTAGTTAAACTAATCTTCAAATAGGTTTAACTAATATAAATCGCGTTTTAAACCGATACAGTGTTTTATTCTGTGAACTACGCACACTACAGACGATACAAAATTATACCAACTAGAAACTTTATCAGGACTTCGGTTTCTGGTGTCCAAATCAGGAGACAGCCGTTCGCGAACCGTGCACGGTGGGCTAAGAGAGTCGTTGAGCAGTTCATCTTCAGGGCCCGACACACCTACCGCAAAAACAGAAAATATTGGAAATATGAGTATAATATAATGACACGGGCAAGACGTGAACCGGCATCAGCAGCGTGTTGCTCTCACCAATGGAGCTACATCTCTCTCACAACGTAATTTCAACCTTACCACTTGCGCAATTAAGGTTCAACGTCTTATGATTTGCAGCTTAAGAAATCAATCAAATGTCTACGCACATGATGGCACTATAAAGATTGAATTATTTTTTTTTGATATCGTTGGTTGACAGACTTGGTCGGCGGACATCCTACTAATAGATAACTATTATGGGTTCCAAATTATTTTAACTTATTCATATTCTTTCTAAATGTTGGTCTTAGTCTGGAACATCTGGATTCGGTTACACATTATGGAGGCGGTACGAATTAATCACCGCCATCAACACATGATAAAGTCACGTAGTTCCACGTTACGATTTCTATGTGCTTCCGATAGTCCAAAGCCAAAATAGGCCGACAGCGCATCTTGTTCAAATGTTATAAGGCTAGGGTAGTTCCTTGCATCAAGAGAAACCCATATTCTGTTTTACTCTGTCATAACAAAAAGTTAATACATATTAAAAAAAAATCGGACCCAGTCAATGTTACGTTGTGTTATGTCATGTCATGTCGTGTCGTGTCGTGTCATGTCATGTCATGTTGGGTCCTGTCATGTCGTGTCATGTTGGGTCCTGTCATGTCGTGTCGTGTCGTGTCCTGTCGTGTCGTGTTATGTCGTGTCGTGTCCTGTCATGTCATGTCGTGTCGTGTCGTGTCGTGTCATGTCATGCCGTGTTGTGTTGTGTTGTGTTAGTGTCCGACTCTTCTGTACTGTCTATACTTTTATCAAACAAACCTGAAACATCGCCCTCCTTCTCATCATCAAATATGTGGAACGTGTCATCCTCCCTCTCCGCTTCATCAACGAAGATAACGTGCTGGTTATCTTTTAACTCTACTGTCTCCTTTTTCGTTGATATTCCTTGGCACTGTAATGGAGAATAATGCAATCAAACACTTGGAGTAAAACTTAATGTCTGTAGTTTACGCATGTAGTACACATTTAAATATCATGCGGAGACGACTTCTGCAAAGCATCCAAAACAGCGGGTCGAAGTGAGAATATTTTTTCATTAATATATTTCGCGTTCCAAACCGTTACAGTGTTTTATTTAAATAAAAGAAGTACGCTACACTTTTTATGATAGAATATCCAACCATATAACATCTAAACAAGGTGCGCTGTCGGCCTATTTTTTCATTGGCTATTCGGCAATCAGTAGACTGAAAGACGGTAGTTCGTGATGGCAGAGTTACAATAAATTTAATATTAAGTTTTCCAGACGAATGTAACATGTTACAGAAAAAATGTTGGACCCGGTGGGGATCAAATCCACGACTCGTTGGTTATTAGCCGCACGTTTCTACCATTACACCAACGATCTCGTCAAATAGACTGGAATGCGACATACTTGTTCTTCTTCCTCCAGTTTCTCTTTTCTCATCTTCTCTAACTCTATTTCAAGAAGCTCTTTGATCTTCTCTTCTGACAGATGCTCGATGAACTGGTATGGATCCTCTGTTAACATAGGTTGGAAAGGAATATGAAACATTTATACCATTTAAATAAAACACTTTAACGGTTTAAAACGCGATATATTAGTTAAACTTATTTGGAAATGATTTTTAACTTCGGCCCGACGTTTCGGATGCTTTGCAGCAGCCGTGGTCACGGGGAGACTAAAAATGGAGGATGTCTCTGACGTCAAAGTAAAAAATTGCTGCGCTAATGCCATCTGTTCCGTCGAAGTTGGTATTTGGCGAAACTGGCCGGGTCCTTGCAGAATTGACTAACGGTGTCTTCGCGTTTGAAAATCGTTTCAAAATAAGTTTAACTAATATATCGCGTTTTAAACCGTTAAAGTGTTTTATTTAAATTTGTACTACTCGCATAAACTATAGACAGTATATATTTATACTAACTAATATTATAAAGCAGAAGAATTTGTTTGTTTGAATGAGTTAATCTCAGGAATGACTGTTGTAGAAATGTATATGTCAAACAAATATTGGATTCATTTGATAATAGATATACGCCTGCCGTGTAAAATCTAAACAACATGCGCTAACGACCTTGTCTTTTGATATTAGGAAATCCACAGACTGAACTCAAACCGCGATTAGGCTTCATGGCTATTGTCGACGGTGGTTCGGGACCTATATAATATCCAGATGTCCAAACGAAGTCCTAACATGTCTCAGAACAATTACAAGTTGATTAGAAACATGTCGGAACAGTTTTGGCTCGAACCCACGGCCCGTTGATTGTTGTTAGCCATACATGCTAACCACTGCACATGAATGATGTAGAAACAGACGATTGAGGACTGGTTGACCTTTATAAATGTTGGACACAACATCCTTTTCTTCTACAAACTCTTCCCATATCTTCTGTTCCTGCTGTTTGACGCGTTCCCGCCTGCTGGTCTTCCAAGTCTGTTCCAGGACTTCGCTGTCCACCAACTGAAATATTAAAAGAGTTACATAAATAAAAGAATACTGCCCCTGTAGCTAAATTAATAGCATTGCAGGCAGTCTGAGTTCAGTGGTTCGGCCCCGCAGGACACAAAAGTCTGATCAATATTTGCCTGTAAATAAAACCTATCAGTGAAAAGGACCCAAAGGGAAAATATCTCTGAACCAAAGCCGCGATGTCAAACGTCAGTGTTAACGTATAAGTTTGCGTTTAAATCCGTTATAACTTGTTCTATTCGATACTAAATCATTTACATAATTACAAAATACAAAAATAACAATTTTAATAGAAAATACATCGGTTAAGGAAAGTTTTATAAAACAAATATTAAGGGTTTAAAACGCGAAAAATACTCCTTTTTATTATTATTATTATATTAATATACTACTTATTTCGAGTCCTCGTAACAACGGCTGTTGCATCCGATACATCGACGAAATAACTGATACATTTCGCGTTTAAAACCGTTAAGTGTTTTATTTAATATTTTCCTGGTCGCGTTAACTACAGACAACACTTATTTACCATTGTTTTGATATTTCAATCAGAATGAAAGTTAAATACATAATTTTGTAGTTTTATATAATTCTAAGGAACATAGGTACCTTCAAACCGACTGTTTCCAGATTTTCCGGCATAAAAGAAAATCCCCGTATGCAAGTTTCCATCTTAGCGAGCTCTGCTGAAAATAAAATGGATTCCAAAATCACTATCAATAAAAAAAACACGAAAAACAGGATCGACGCTTTTGAAAAACAAAACAACAAATATTTGATAATAAATAAGTCAAAAATTTTGACAGAAAAAAACATATTTTTAATCTGTAGAGAAATTAGGACTTTGTTATTGAAATACATAAACTCACAAAATAAAATTGTACCTTTCAAATGTCGTCTGTAATTTTCGGAAGACTTTTGCAGCGACCCAACCGAAACGTAGTTAAAATAATTTCCCAATATATTTCGCGTTTTAAAACCGTTAAAGTTTTTTATTTAATTATTTATATATATGTAATTGATTTAGTTTAAAACACAAAACTAAATGTGAGAGACACAAACAGACGACCAACGTTTGTTATAGATTTCGGTTGCCTAGCAACCGCGTAACCTACAAACAACGATTATAATCTGTTGATTGTTCAAAGTGAAATTAAAAAATAAAATTTGCTTCGATCTCATTCGTGATAAATAAAATTGTGATTATTACACCTAAAGTTATATTAGGAGGTACTATATTATTCTTATTATGTCATTACATTTTTATAAAAGCATTATTAACGGTTTAAAACGCCAAATATACTTCATTGCGTTACAATGTACTCAAATTGTAAACATTATACCTAAAGGTATATGAGGAGATACTATATAATTATTATTATATCATAACATATTTTTTAAAACATTATTAACGGTTTAAACCGCGAAATATTACGTTACAGCGTAGTCACGTGGTCATGTCGCAAATGTATCTCGTTATCCAACAAAAAATAATAATTTTATGTTTGAGTCTCGAAGATATCTTAAGATATACAATAAAAAATATAGATGTACATTGTATATACAAAGTTATTCTTTGTTGATACTGAAGCTGAAGGATAAAACATCAAAATTAAAAAATAATGAAAACTCACGAGGTTATAATTTTTTTTCATGTTATTGTTTATCCCGCATTATCATGGTCACTGAGTAGGCGTCGACGCAGCGCGCTATCTCGCACCCCCTCCCTCTCCTCCGCTCCGTGTCCCGCACCTTACACTACATGATTCACTACTTTTATGTATTGTCCAGTCACAGAATGTATTCAGAACTTTTGGCAATAACATCTCCCATCACACTTACAGGCTTTGGACTGTCAGAATGGTTAAATGGCATGGAAGTCTAGCAATCATTATTGAGACATACCCATATTCAACTATTCCGGCGTGTTTAAAGATGTTTATCACCTTGATTTACACATACATATTACAATCACATTTTTATTCACAATAATTGACACTAAACCTAAACAAATGTTAGTAATTGTTGAAAATGCCCACCTCTTTTCCTAATGCACAATCGAGCTCGCTTTTTCAAATTTCTATTCAATTTGCTTAAAATAAAACGTTTGTTTTTAATTATCATAAATGCGGCCTCTAGTTTATCTCTCAGATCTTCTTTATTCTGAGGTTCAGTGTTGTAAACAAGTTCTTTGACATGGCCCCACAAATAAAAATTTAAAGGAGTCAGATCTGGTGACCTAGGCGGCCAAGCTGTCGGTCCGCCTCTACCAATCCAACGGTCTCCATACTCTCTATTTAAGTGCTCACGTATTACGCGAGAATAGTGAGCTGGTGCACCGTCGTGTTGAAAATAGTGTCCACGGTACAAATTTAGAGGTAGGTCATCTAACAAGTCCGGCAAAATATTATTTAAAAAGTTTAAATAACTTTGAGTATCTAATTTGTCTAAATAAACAGGTCCGATCACTGTTGAGTTTATTATACCTGCCCAAACGTTTACGGAAAAACTGTGTTGGAATGAGTTAGGCCTAGCTAAGCGCGGGTTTTCATGAGCCCAGTGATGACCATTGTGAACATTAAAGAGCCCACAATGTGTAAAAGTGCATTCGTCGGTAAAAAGAATGTTTCTGTCTTGATTAAGCAGCCACTCGCTAAATTTGACTCTTTGGGCTTTATCACTTTTGGGCAGATCTTGTGCTCGACTAAAGTGACAAGGGTCATCCCTTAAAGTCCGCCACACGTAAGACTGACTCACGTTGAATAATCTCCCTACTTGCGTTGTACTGCTCTCGGGGTTATCAGCCACGTAATTCAAAATTTTTTGCTGGACGTCAACGGGGATGTGGGCAACGCCTCTGTCCACTGCGACTGGTCTGAACTGGCCATGGTCTCGTAAGCGCTGCGTAGCGCCCATCATTGTGTTCCATGATACTAAGATCCCAAATTGTTCATGATAACGTCTCACTGCTTCGGAAACATTATCACCACACGAAGCAAGTGTTCGCACCATTTCCACATATTGTATATTGGTATACTTGTAAGACATGTTTGTAATTAACACACTTATCTTTCACTAAAATACAGAGACAACACAATAATATAACAAAAGAGAAATAATAACTTTTTAACGCTTTTCTAACGGACTGCGCTCAAGACAGAAATAACGAAATTAACACAAAGGAGTGACCGAGACGCACTACTGTTTACTAAACATTACCGAATATGTACGAAGCTTTACGAAAGAACCACATAGAGATGTCCAAACGCAATCCTTAAGAGTGTCGTTTAATCGATTCTGATTGAAATAGAGAAAATTGAATCGTAGAAATATAATTTTATTAAAAAGCCCTAAAGAAGGTATAAATAGTAATTATATAAATAATAACTCATATTTAACTAAATCAGGTAGTTCAATAATGAAAAAAGTTTTTAATGATTTTATTTTCCTTTAAAGGTAATCATGGTATTGTTAATTAACAACACCATTCATTGTGTTCATCAATACATTTAGTACAATATCTCATACGATTTAAATTCCACAATCTAAATCGATAAAAATCGATTACAAAATTTGATAGAATAAGCGGTCGATTGTGTTGACATTGACTATTGAGTCCAATCACTAGCCTAGATCTTCGTCCCGCGCCCCTCGTTCGTTAAAAGTGATATTTTACTAAGGAAAGATCCAAAATTAGATGTGCAAAGGTAAATGTGCGCGTGATTCTAGATGGCCGATGAATATGAAACATTCGAGTTTTTGGAAGTAGATAATGCCGAAACAAACTCATCGAAGAAGCAGCGTCGTATTAAATCTTAATATATTTTTTTAGATTCAATAACAAATTTAATATTCCAGGTAACTTAGGATGTATAGACTGTACCCATGTTGCTATTGCACTGCCTGCACTAAATGAAGAACGCTACTTTTGTCACAAACATTATCATTCTTTGAATGTCCAATTGGTAAGTCGTGTATAAACTCCCAAACTTACATTTCATATATTGTTAAAATTTGATTGAAATAATAACAAAGAGTTGGATAGCTTTGAACAATAAAAAGTAATATTAGGTAGTCACTTTAAATATTACTTATTATGTTATATATATATAACATAATAATATATATAACTATTTTACTATGTTTTTTCAGGTTTGTGATGCACATATGTAAATATTAAGTGTAGATGCAAGTCATGGCGGTGCTACCCATGACTCCTTTATCTGAGCTAATCACCCATTGAGAATGCATCTAGAAGAATTAAGCAATGCAGAGAGTATTTGGTTTTTAGGTATTTATATGTTTTGTTTTGAGTGAAAGATGTAATTGAGATGAATTATTTAATTGTCTAACAAGTAACAATATTATTATTTCAGGTGACTGTGGCTATCCATTGAGAAGGACAATGATGACTCCAATACTGGACAGAGCCTTCCCGCGGCGACAATTAGAACTCCACCAAGGATGGGCTACTAGGACTGCCCTTATTGGCCAGCTCTGGGAAAGGCGTCATTTATAGATCTGTAATTAGGAGTGTACATTAATATTATTAACTTTGTTATTAGTTTTATTTTATTATAATATTAAAACTTTTTTTTTTAAATGTATAGTTTATTAATAAAACTTTATTATTTACTGTGTTTATATTCAAAAGTGGGAGATAGTTTTGTACATATTTACATTTTGTAATTGATAAATCTGTTTGTAGTTTTTAAATAAAATCACATTTGTTATCTCCAACCTGAAATTAAAATACCTTTCAATGTTTTGCAACGTGCTGAGTATTTTTTCTAAGTTCTCTGCAATTTTGCATAATGCTTGTGAGCTAACCACTGCAGCTTGAGCTCTCATTTGTGAGGAATTCACGAGTTCACGTCTCGCTGTTTCCCGTGACATTGGTGGCTCGCGCCTGCGTCGCGGGCGCGTGGGACGCGGTACGCCAGCCTCCGATGATACAGCTGCTGCAGTACATTGTGTGGGTGGATAAGTTGAACAAGCAGGCTGTTGGAGAGGAGCATCATCTGGTTCTAGGAGCAATGTTTCTGGGGTGGGTGGAATAAAAATACTTTGGGAGCCTGGAGTTTCCCCCACTTCGTCTTGCAAAAACCATAAGATCAATAATATAAAAAAGGTATACTGCTTATTTTCTCTCACCTCTGCAAAAGGTTCTACCCGAACACCAGGCAACCCTTCTCCATAATCCTCTCCAAGTATTTGGAGGAATCTTCTTCCTATCTCTAACAAGGGTTGCATGGTGGAAGGCTCTCCGCCGGTTCTAGCCTGGGAGGATTGAACAGCAGCGGCCCTTTTCTTTAATTGTGCCTTGAAGTCCACCCAGTACTAACAAGATAAAGTCAGTATAATATATATAATTATATATTCATGTACAAACATTAAATAATTACTTTAGACCAGCCTCTCTAATCCTTGTGAGCTCCTTCACCTTGCGAGTTAAGGATTTCAGTCCATTTCCTTTTAGAATATTCCTTAGCGTGCAAGGATCGGTTGTAGCTATATCTTTGATTTGAAGAATGAAGATTTAACTGCCGCCCAGAAACCCGACGAGCTACAATCCTGCAAAAAATTAAAACACTTGACTTTAGCCACTTAAAATTCCAAGCGACGAGAACTTTCAGCTAAACGAATGATATTTCTTAGTTTTATAAACTGTAAAAACACTATTTTGAATTTGTACTTACTTTCCGTCTGACATTTTAAAATTGAGATATGTAAAATTAGCAATTTACTTTAAAAAAACAAACTTTAGAATATTCAAGTGTTGCCACGCCGAATTTCACTGCAACTTAATAAAAGTTCCGTTTCACGAAATCACAATAGCGAAGCTTCGTGTTCTTGACATACGATAATAATTGTCTTAATTTTAATGATAATAATTAATTTTATGTAAAAAATTAAGTTTCCAAATTTATCTCAACATACTTTTATTTATTTTATTTACTTTACACATATATGGTTAAAAATTGTGTATAATATTATTAAGTACCCAAAAGACCAAAACCTTTACTCTAAGTGCGTGCTATACGAAAAAGATTAACTATCTCGCTTTCTCCTAAAGCAGGGAAAGACAATCATTCGTTCTTTTAAATCCCTTCGCAGGATTAAAACATTATTGTTTTATATTGTCATGGTACGAATCTGAGTAATGTTGTTTTAAGCTTGCAACAAAACGTTCCTGATACATGATGGTTTTGTTAAAGATGATGCTGACCTGCCAATTTATGTCGGCCGTATTGTAGAACTATCTATTGTTCTAGGAGTGCGGGGTGTCGCGCATGCGCGAAAGCAGTTAGTACAAAGCGACGAGCCGCTGCCGCGGAATCCCCGAATTTTTAGACCTATTTTAAGTTATACAGTTATATAGGTATGTAGGTATTTATTTATCGAACGGTGTCCAAGATTTCAAAAATTTTGACAAAAAATATAACGTGGTATAAAAACTATTGGAATGGATTCTGCTACTGATTCTGAACAAACTACATTCAAGTTTCGCACGAAGTAGGAATAACCTTGTATATGTATATTAGATTTAAAAAAAAACATGTTAAAGAACAATGTTTAAAACGCTGTATACATAACTTAATTTAAATACTGTCTGTAGTTTACGCGAGTAGTAACTAATATATATCTTGTTTTAAACCGTTTAAGTGTTTTTAAAGGTTATTTATTTTCAACAGTGATCGTGACAGCGTGATGCGAAAGTTTGTGTCCTACTTGAAAATTAATTATCGACGTTTTAAACCGTTTAAACTCTAAATCACGCTGAACGTCCGCCGTAAAACTCAATAGTCGGGGGTGAAACTTTGAAAACTTCGTGCGAAGGTCAAACAAGCGCGATCCTATGCAGTCGCGAGTTGGTCTCAGCTATGGGTGCACCTTCTCAAACAAAACTTCAGCCACTGTCCAGACACTTCCCGCAGTGGAGTAGAACAGCCATACTGACCATTACTAGCGGAAGTGAAGACATTGTTGAAAATGAGGTAAGAAGCTTTTTAATCAAGAACAACTAGCTGTGTGCGACTTCGTTCACGTTGAATAGTTATTCTGGGCAACCGAGTTTGTTTTTGCAAACTCTTCACATTTATAAACTTAAGTTGTCTGTCGCGGACATTTTTTTAGATAATTCAAACAGGAATCATTTTCTTCTGCGTGTGTTTTGGGTGTCTCGAACTGTTTTCGTAGCGGAATACTGGTTTCGTAGGGTGAATAATTGCCCCCGTTTTTTCACATTTACCGCTATTTCGCTTCCATAAGTCGCATCACGATGTTTTACCCGTAGCCTTCTTCGATAAATGCTCTAACCAACACAAAATCGACGGCCGTCGTTTCACGATAGTGGATGACAGATAAGCATGGGCTTCTCTAGATGGAAGGTGAAATATCCCAGCCACATAACATCTAAACAATGCGCTGTCGACCTATTACGGTTTTGGATATTCGTTATTCCTATAATCCTACCACGTTTAATATCCAAATTTCCAGAAGTCATGTTTCAGAAAAAAAAATATTTAGAAACATACTGTCTTAAGTTTACGCGAGTAGTACACATTTAAATAAAACACTTTAACGGTTTAAAACGCAATATATTACTTAAACCGTGGTCACGGCTGCTGCAACGCATCCGAAACGTCGGGCCGAAGTTAAAAATCATTTTTTAAATAAGTTTAACTAATATATCGCGTTTTAAACCGTTAAAGTGTTTTATATATGTTTAGAAACATGTTGAATCCGGGGGGGATCGAATCTAAGACTCGTTGACCAGTTGCAATCTATATCTATACTAATAAAGAGTTTGTTTGTTTGTTTGAACGCGCTAATCTCAGGAACTACGGGTTCGAATGAAATAAAAAAATATTTTTAGAGTTAGAGCTATAAAACATCGCCGTGTGCCTTATAGGAGCGAAGATACAGCGGGAAATGTGACGGAAATTGGGAAAATTATTCATCATTATAGGTTTCCGAGGCGTACGCTGCCAAAACGGCTCAAGATACCCAAAAAATATGTATGGAAGAATGATTCCTCTTTAAATAATCTAAATAAAATTCGCGACGCCATATGTCTATCTGTTAAGATTATCCCGAAAGAACGACGGGAAGGGACGCGACCGACGTCGTATGAAATAACTATTCCATGCGGACGAAGTCGCGAGCTAGTGTAGTATAAGTGGTAAACCAAATTAGTTTTTGTTCAACTATCCTAGACGTACAGTCAGTTAAATAGTTAATGATATCCAAATGTCAGTAAAGGCTGTAGTTAGACAAGGTCACGCGCATTTTGAGGCGGTAGGTATATCGGAATTACGTCCGGGTCCACAGGTGGAAAAGTCGACATCGCATCCGGTTCAGATGTTACATGCTTGTCCGTTTTTCACTATAAAAATTTAAATAACCTTTAAAATGAAACACTTTTAACGGTCTTAAGGGCGAAATATATTTATTATTTACAATATATTTCAACTATGGTCCGACGGTAAAAGTGTTTTATTTAAATAATTGACTATTTCCGTTAAAAAAAACGTAATACAAAATTCGTAAGCGTTTTAACTCTATAGACGTCATATTTAACTAATATATGTCGCGTTTCAAACCGTCAAAAATTGTTTTGTTAAAATGTGTACTACTCGGGTAAACTACAGACGATACGTCAATCCTATATATAAGTTATTTTTTTACTAAAATAAGTTTTTCATTTTTCGTCAATAAATAGCGCTTTGCATAACTAAGTGACTCGAGCTATAAACATTAAGCTACGATAAAAATCTATGTATTGCTTTGTTAGTGAACGATTGGTAGATATTTGTTTGTAGCAAGTAGTACAAAGTTACTAATAACACTTGTGTCTGTTGGTCTAATGGTAGCAATTTATGGCTGTGCCCGCGACTTCGTTCACGTGGAATAATTGACTTGGAGTGGATTTTTTAATTATTTAGGCTGTTTATTAATTTAGGTAATTGCGCATTTATCTATGTTGTGAGTGCTACTTTGCCGCAACACTCTCACCTCACATCAGTCCTACTCTAACTCCCACTACCACGCCCACTCCCACTCCTATTCCCAAAAAGCCAAAGAAGAAAGTTTCATTGTTCTAGCTCCAAAAACCACGAATTTCCATACAAACTGTCACCCCCCCTTTTAACCCCTTATAATCCCCTTTTCGCAATAAAAAGTAGCCTATGTTCTATCTCAGGGTCTAGACCATCTGTATACCTTCAAAAGAGTTCATTCAGTAGTTTTGTCGTGAAAAAGTAACAGACAGACAGAGTAACTTTCGCATTTATAATATTAGTTAGGATAAGGATAGGTTCGTAGGTTCGGTCCCCGACAGGTCCAACATTTTTTTAATCAATTTTATTTTTTCTGAAACATATTGGAAATCCGTTGTCATAGCACATTTTTAATATATGCAAATACTATACGGCGTTGAGGCTTATCAACGGTAGTGGTCACGTAATAGAGATGTGTATCAGGAATGACCGTCTCTGTAGTTAAATAGTTAAACTTGTTGCTTAGCATTGAGTTATGCGCGAGAGGCACTGGGCTCGAATCCCGGGGAAACCTTAAATTTGCTCAGTCGGACAATGCGCAGAAGGCTAATCGACTGCTTGTCTGTAAAAGAGCCGATCAGTGAAACGGACATAGAAATGTGTTCGACCCATGCCCCACGCGGGGAAACTGGAATTCATTTTATCACAAATCAGAAATCTACGTCCTACCTATCTTTATCACTGTAGTCGTGGGTTGAGCCCCTCTGCTTTAGAAAATAAAAAACTATAACACAATATATACATAGTTTAAGCGAGTAGTACATATTTAAATAAAACACTTTTACCGTCGGACCATAGTTGAAATATATTGTAAATAATAAATATATTTCGCCCTTAAGACCGTTAAAAGTGTTTCATTTTAAAGGTTATTTAAATTTTTATAGTGAAAAACGGACAAGCATGTAACATCTGAACCGGATGCGATGTCAACTTTTCCACCTGTGAATTCCACTTACGAATTTTGTATTACGTTTTTTTTAACGGAAATAGTCAATTGTTTAAATAAAATACTTTTAACGGATTAAAACTCGAAATATATTAGTAGATTATTTTTGTATTTATTCTAACTCTGGACTAACGTACCGGAGCTAGAAATGAAGTTACTTTCGCGTTTTGAACCGTTAAAAGTGTTCTATTTAAACGTTTCAGTACGCTAAAACGAAATTGGCAAAGTCGCCGCACAGTCTCGAAAATCGCGTTAATAAGTGGCAGTCGAAATTAAGCGATTACCTAGTTGACGAGATCGTGCACGCACAGGATACAGGAACAACCAGAAGCGCAGTTATAAGAATTGCATACCAGACTGGTTTAATTTTACTCTTAGTAAAAGTAAATGGTTATAAAATTCAGAAGGATTTCGCAAATAAAGTATATTTTTATGTTTATAATTAGTCATTCTTTGACCATATTAATGAAATTACTTTCATTTAAACCCTGACGTTTCAGATGCCTATAAACTAAAATATTTTACGTATTAAACCGTTAAAGTGTTGTATTTAAGTGTGTACTTCTCGCATAAACTACTGACAGTATTTAAAAACACTTTCTACCCTTCGTTTTATATTTTTAAACTTATTTATTTAATGTGTCGGGAAAGTATTTTTGTAAGCGGTAACACAAAACGAAATAAATCTTAGAAATAACAATCATTCTTCAAACTACTCCAATTTAGCGTATTGACAATTACACGTAAATAGCAACTGGTTGATTCTCTGCTCTGTGCTGGCAAGGCGCCATACAGTGACAACCAGTGAGTCAGCACTTCGCGGAACGGTGTGCGTCGGCGCGATCAATACCCGCCCCTCCCTTCCCACCGCTGCACCCCCCGCGGCCGCCATAAAAAAAAACCCCGTGAAACAACAAACGAACGTCCAAATCAATTTCGGTCGCAAGTTCAGGGCCGAAAAATCTACAGTGATTAGTGTCTAGTGATATTTTCGGCCCGTTGCGTACGAACACGCAGATGTCGACTCGGTTTCGCGATTAGCGCGCGCGGGTGCTCGTGGCTTCGCTATGGCTTCCAAGGTCCTGATACCTGGTGTTCCGTTCGCCTCCCTCCAGGTAAATGAAGACAGCACCAAGTACTTATACGTTAAAAAAATGCGCCTTTGTTTTGATGGAAAACAATTGAAGTTTATCAAGTGATAGAATACAATTAATAACTAATGGGGACGTGGGGGGACGCTAGGACCCATACGGGGCTAGATAATCTTTGATCATGATGTTAAAATTATCTTCCAAACTGTGGGAGTTACGTTCGTTAAAAGGCTTTGTTTGTAATACATTTTTGTTGTCTGTAATTTACGCGAGTGGTACACATTCGTTGACACTTTTAACGGTTTAAAACGCGAAATATATTAGTTAACTTATTTAAACTACGGTAGGACGTTTCGGATGCTTTGCAGCCGTGGTCACAGGGGTTTATATTTGTGTATATATAACATTTATAGAAACTAAATAACAAAAGTTGGTATCGACCTTTTTTCATTGTTATAAAGTATCTGTGCGGTAGGAAATTAAACTTGTCAAAACGTCGGGCCATGAAATACATGTTATATTTCGTGTTTCAAACCGTTAAAAGTGTTTTATTTAAATTGTAAATATCGTATTTAAAAAAAATATACATAGAGTCAATATTCGCAATCCATTGTCTTGAGTGTTCCATTCATCTCTTAACATGGAGTGGTGGATAATATAAGCAAAAACAGCGGTAACGACTATTTTGTATTAGTATACACATTTATTTGTTATAGAAAAAGGCTTAGTTACATATTGTTATAAATAGTGTTTGAAAAGGTTGTTTATATTTTTAATGACAAAGGAGGACACACAAATAGGGATTTCACTCACACTAGGTCAAATACTCCAGCCTATAGCAACTAAACAGATGTGCTATCGACCTATGTCGGCTTTCCATATTCGAAAGAGATTTCCAGACCCATGTTTTGGAAGAATGATAAATTAATTTAAAAAATGTTGGACACGGTGGTGATCGTACTCACGACCTGTTGATGAGCCATAAGTTGCAACTATTATACCAACGGGCCCGACAAATATAAATAGGACATTTTAAGACAGAAATGATTTATATGATTAAAAATAAAAAAAATAATATACAAGATCAATAATTTTTAAACGTTTTAAACCGTTAAAGTGTTATATTACAATGTGTACCACTCGCGTAAACTACAGACCATACATAATATTACTTGTTTGTTGCCGGAACGTCGGGCCGTAGTTAAGATACTTTTCAAATAAGTTAACTAATATATACCGCGTTTTAAATCGTTAGTATTTTATTTAAATGTGTACTACTCGCGTAAACTACAGACAGGTAACAAAAATCGATTCTCTTGCATAAAACAAGATGCAAGACGAGACAAAGGATAATTGTGACTCAGAAGTAGCGTCAACTAGCAAATAGATATTGTCTTAACGGTTGCTTTGGTTGCGTTGCATTGCATTGCTATTGCTCAGGATTAAAACTTGCGTAGTACGTTTCAAGAATATGATTAAGTTTTGGTCAGCGAGGGCAGCGTTGGATTTCTAGTAGTAAAGATGCTGTCTGTAGTTTACGCAAGTAGTACGCATTTAAATAATACACTTTAACGGTTTAAAACGCAATATATTTTTGTTAAATTTGTTTGAAAATTCGGTCAGTCTCCCCGTGGCCACGGCTGCTGCAAAGCGTTTGAAACGTCGGGCCGTAGTTGAAAATAATTATCAAACAAGTTTAACGAAAATATATCGCGTTTTAAACCGTTAAAGTGTTTTATTTAAAAGTAAAGATGCTTCTTGTTTGTATTGGTTTCTTATTATACTTCTACAATATAATAAAATAAATATAAAAAGGTTTTATTTATCTAGTATATGAAGTATTGTCTGCAGTTGGTGAGAAGAAAATTAAACATTTTTGACGATTTAAAACGCTTCGCTAAAGTTTGAGATAATTCATATTTATCATAGTGATTGCAAATCGAGTCCTAAATTGATTAAACCACCACGGAACCCGTGTAAATTGTTTTCTATCTTACTTAATACATTTTAGATGTAAATAATGCCTGATTGTGACACTTCGACAATCAAATGATAATTGTGTATAACGATGTCAGGTCGCGGGTTCGATTCCCACGGCGTCCGACATGTTTCATATTTTTAGATATAAATGGGTGGTGGGAAAATTTAAATTTTGTCTGGGTCACAAACCGTTCACAGATGAAAAAGCCGTGAAGATTAACCACGTTTCGATTTCAGTCTGTAGATTCCTGAATATCCAAAACCAAAAGGGCCGACAGCGCATCTTTTGTAGATGTTAAATAGCTGGTGTATTTCACCACCCATCAAGTAAACCCCGTGTCTGTCTGTCAACTTCTATTATTTAAAAATGGTCCCCAAAATCACCCCAAACTATTTACGCTTCAGGTAAAGAAATCGCCACCAGAACCAAATGGCGCTGGCTTCTACATCGGTGGCGGTGACTCCGCGTCGAGGATCGCCCACCTGGAGCACAGCGTCCGGTTCCTGCAGGACCAGCACCGCCAGATGCTCAGCGGTCTTCACGCGGAGATCGAATCGCTGCGAGAGAGAAACAGAGGTATCGTTAAAGCTGAAGAGTTTGTTCGAACGCGCTAATCTCAGGAACTACTGGTTTGAATTGAAAAATTATTATCTTTAATTTCGTGTTGGTTGGAGCATTTATCAAGGAGGGATATAGGCTATAAATCATCGCGCTGCGACTAATAGGAGTGACGAAACAGCTGGAAATGTGGAGATAACGAGGAAAATTATAAATCTGTGGGTTCCCGATCCCAAAAAAATGTGTAAGCAAGGATTATTATTTATGTGGTCTAAAGAAATGTCCGCGACACCATCGGCCTTATTACAAAAAACTATTAAACCAGAACTGCGGCGTCTTGGTTTAAGTCTTAAACCAAGGTCTAAATGAATCTAAGTTAGTACCATAGTTAGTCCAGTATTAACGTTAAACTTCGTTTTGTAATCAGAGTTTCAAATAAAACCAGGTTTGTTGTTCCTTGTATTAGTCTATCTTTTTAGATTAACTTACAAGAACGACGGCATGCAACCGACGTCATGCATAATGGCATAAATTTGTAATGATGAAGGGAAGGTTTGAAAAAACAAAATAGGACCGCCTTCAACGCGGACGAAGTCGCTGTACACAGCTAGTTGTTACATAATAAGCCAATGCTATTTTTTTTTTGTGTTGCCCAGCGTTAAGCGTGAGTTCTGGACTCGAATCCCGGGAAAACGATAGATTACTTGGTAAAATACCACAACAAATATGGCCAATTTCAAACCCAAGTGAAGTAGTACAGATGACATAGGGATACCAAACGATCTCAGTATTCAAATTACACTTATGGCGATGCTTTTACAAAAAAAAAAATATGTCATTAATATTTAACTCGACGTCTGTAACGCTTTTGCGCGATCGTGTGCGAATAGGACTTTTTCTATTGTCGTTGACTTTGCTTATCCTTATGTAAATGTCAAACTAAACTAAAGAAATTTTAATCTGTGCATTCGTGTCAATTTTAAATTCATTTTTATTAATTTAATATGAAATTGTGGTTTTTACTTAGTTAATTTGAGGTTGCTCATTAGTTTAATATATAATCGACGAACGACGACATATTATACGTGGTCGAGTTTACTAAAAATGCCAAGTTAGAAAAAATACACATTATATATTGTTTCGGTCGACTAAGGCACACGTATAATTTACTTGCCCATAAACAAAACGTATAGAATATGGTTTTTCATTTTCAGACTTGCAGTTTCAGCTAATCTTTAACAAGGAACCGTTGAAAAAAAGCGGAGCCGGAAGCGATGAAAATGAAACTCAAGTAAGTCATTGATTTTTTTTTACATGACAGAGGAAGACTTAACAAAATACGTCGACCTGAAATTTACATACGTTGGTCAAATGTTAGTATTACAAACGATCAAGCAGTCGATCGAACCCCACCGGGCACAACGTTAATTGCTCGGCCTCTGAAGGGACCACAGAATATCATTGTTGGGACATTAGTCCCAACGTAGCCGAGTGGACTCCTTTTCGGAGGGAACTATTTTATTTTTTATTGTTTTATATGTAATTAGTTAATTTATATTTTATTTATAATCATTTTTATGTTGTGTTTTTTAAATGTCTTGTGTTGTTTCCCAATAAAGGTCTTCTATTCTATTCTAATATATTATATTTTTTTATATGTTGTACTTCGTCTGGAAATCTAAATATTAAATGAGTGGTGGAAATATCTAAATTCCGCCAGAGTCACAAACCACAGTGCACAGATGAAAAAGCCCTGAAGTTTATTTGCATTTCAGTTCAGTCGGTATGTCATTTTCTATGTCCAAAGGCAAATAAGCCGACATCGCATCTTGTCAAGATGTTGTATGGTTGGTGTAATTCACCTTTCATTAAGTGAACCACACGCTTGTCTGTCCGCTCCTTAAAAAAACTTAATAGAAAAAAGACAACACAAGCTGCATACACAAATATTTTGCTCCATTTAATTATCCTAGCATGCGGCACCGCTATCCACACTAAGGATTTACTGAAAATCAGGTTCAGATCAACAAAGGACTACTGTTAAGATTAAATTATGTCCAATTTTTATATTTAATAATAAGTTTTATGTCTATTTCGTAAAGTTGAACGCACTACGACGAGATATCGAGAAATTGGAGCAGGAAGCGACAGCTGCGCGCGGTGATGCGACGGCCTATGAACGGAAGGCGGCGCAGTTGCAACAGATGGTGGATGCGCAGAACCAGTAAGTTCAATATCGACATGAGCCTGTTCATCTTGTCCTTGTAGGATGTTTCACTCAACTACAAATAAAAAATAAAACAATTAACGATTTAAAACGCGATATGCTGCAAAATATGTATAAATGCATATGCTGTGAGATTAAAAAAACTCGACGATGTCATGTAGGTAAGTATGTAGTTTAATCTAAAATCGATTTTAAATAAAAAAAGACAGACTGTCCATAGACATTTTAATGCAGATAGACAACACGATATATACAATACAAAACACTAGAACTAATATAATATTACAATATGTATCTAAGTAGATTACAAAAGCTGACACATTATTATTACACAAACTAACAATCATTAAACATAATGACCTTTTAACTAAAACGGTTTTAAACGCGAAATGTATGAGTTAAACATGCGTAGACCACGCGACCATGCCTGCAGAAAAGCATCTAAAACGTCGTCGTCGGCTGTAGATAAAATTATTTTTTAGAAAAGATTAACCGATATATATCGCATTTTAAACCGTTTACGTTTTATTTAAATGTGTACTACTCGCATAAACTACTGACTATGCTACTTTGCCGTACAATTACAGCTGCCCTAACATTCTGTCTGCTTCAGGAAAATCCATGAGCTGGAACAACGAAGCGAGGTACCAGCGACCGAAGCGCAGCCCACAGACGAGGAGAGCCGAGCGGAGCTGCGCGCGCGACTCGCCGAGGCGGAACGTCTCGTTCGGCGCCTGCGCAGCGACGCGGAGCGACAGCGCAGAGAGGTACACGGGGGCGCGGGCGTCACCAACCTACTGTTCGACGGCGCGGCCGCACAACACGCGCACGTACGTTCCGGGGATGCAAGTCGGCTGCGCGCGGAATCATCAGCATATATTGTACTTTGAGCCAAGCCAAGTAACAATAGTAATACGATAACGAAGCATAGAACAGAAGGCACAATTAGCATTTTTTTGTACGAGGGCCAAGGAGCCAATTTGCAATAATAAAAGATAACGATAAGAAGAGAATATGGCACATCGTCGCTACACGATCTATGTTTGTTTGAATGTGCTAATCTGAGCCACTAGTTCGAATTGAAAACTTTTTCTGTTGGTTAGAGCGTTTATCGAGGAAGCCTTTAGACTATAAAACATTAGGATGCGACTACGCTTACAGCTTACAACCCGGTTCGTGATACCCAAAAAATATATTTTTTGGGTACCGTACGAAGGGTACGAAGTCGCTGACACAGCTTGTATGTTATATGACTGGGGTATTTCTTGGTTATTATTACTTGGTTTTTGGGGTAAGTGGCTCCCATGATTGTGTGTCCACCTCTATCATATAAATAAACTTCGTTAACGTTTTAATTGTTAACTTGGCTTAGGCTTGGAGTTAGTACGAGTTAACTCGATAATTTTTGATAAACTGCTTCTACAAATTATTAGACTTTGAAAGTTGTGATTGGTAAAAAGTAATTTTTACAAAAGATAATAGGGTTATGAGTTTAATATTGAGACCTTCTCATAATTATGGCCAAGTCTCTAGTTAACTCGTATTCGTTGTAGTGATTTTTCCATCATCAGCTGTTTGGCTCAGTGTATCGGTAAGAAGGAAAGTGATGATTGAAAAATATATCTTCACTATTATCGATATTAATGCTTTTCAACAAAGCTCAAAACAATATTTCCAAAAAAAACTAACACAGAAGCAGAAAATATTAGCCAAGTACAGTCATCGTTTTTGCAGTGCTGCAGTGTGTTTTTTCTAACTTGGCATTTTTGGTAAGCAAACACACAATTCACATTAAATCGTGATTTACTAACGAGTTTTACATAGATTTACACTAAAACTATTTGAACACTGAAATAAACTACCTTTGAATCACTTAGTAAAAACCACAATTTCATGCAAAATAAGAATCCTAAAAATTTATTTACGTAATTACGCAAATTACAATTTCTTTAATCTGACATTTACATAGGAATGGGATTAAAAGAACGGTAAGTCCCACTCATAGACGCTCGCAGACAAACATTACAAACGTCGAATTAAATAATAATGAAATATCAATAATAAAAAAAAAGGTAGTCATAAAAGTGATTTTGAAAAGGTCTTAGTGAAGGTACAGTGGCCTTATAATAAAACATAAATAAGGAGGAAAATAAAAAATGCGCACTTAAGCAAAAATTAATTATTAAAATATTAGTGTAAAAATTATGTTAGCAATTTTTGGTCACTGTGGTCTTATAAATTAAGAGCTTTAGACTATGAAAATATAAACTCAAGTCATAAAAATTGCAGTTAGGTTACTCTGTCCCTAGTGGTCTCGCATAATCGATGTTTCTCTACCCTTATGTCACCTGTAGGAACAACATTCTGAAAAAGATTATTACTAGTTGTCTATGGTTTGAAGTCGGCTATATTTGATGTGGTCTTTTGCCAAGTAAGAAAAAATACACTATGTCACGAGGTATAATGAGGTAGAGACAAATGGAATCCGCGTGCAGCCATTCGTTCAGCGGCATACGGTCGGCGCGGATGGGGCTCCGTTCGTGATCTCAGAGTGTATTGTGTGCGGGTGGCCTATCTCGATTCTCTTAGTTCAGTGTTCCGTATCCGCGCCGTTGTTTTATTTAGTTTTAGACTTTAGTATTCAACCCCTCTATTTCTCAATATTTTTTGGTTCTGTGTGTAGACCCCAAGTCCTACTACAATTGTTCTAAGTCCAATTTTCTTTCCAATTAACAGTAGGTAGTTGCCCTTTCGATGCATGACATTTCAGTTATAATTTGAATCACTAAAATTTACTTGTGGGTAGTTTGCTTTTTTATATAAGCGTTGATTTATATCAACAATATTCATCGCATAAAGCGCGAAATATATTAGTGTTTTTTATTACGACGCAATGTTTTGACTTCTCTGCAGTAGTTATGGTCACGGGGGGCTGAAGATCGAAGGTGCCACTAACATCCAAAGCTACACTACCGTCATTTGTACCCTCGTAATTGGTACTTGGAGAAACTAGCTAATATATTTCGAGTTTTAAAGCGTTTAAACTATAAAACCGTAGAGTACAAACCATATTTAAACATTAATGTTTGATTGTTCTCTTTGAAAATTTAATTTAATTACTAATATCATCTGTAACATAAATATTATTGCCTCATATTATAAAATGGAGACGGAATCTGAGTTTTTTAGTAACCAATATTCGAAAACAGTTACAGTGTATGAAAAATTCTTTAATAAGAACGAGCGGCGTAGACGCCTTTGGGTTCCAGAACTTTCAATACCCCCACCACATGCACACCCCAGACTTCTGGAGGGAGCCTTTGCGAGAGTAAGTTGAAATTGAAGCTTTCATCATTATAAATGGGCAAGCCAACAGTTGGCACCAGTAGATTGTACTAAAGTATGCTGAGGTGATTCGAGTTGCAGAAACGATAGAATCCATTTTCTATGGTGGGTCTGTTGCTAGGCAGCTGATTAAAATACTTCAAGTACCTTAGTAAACTGTAATACTCATGGATTTTTGTAAATTAACCGTAGGAACCAACTAAGTTATTTTAAATAACTGTCTATAGTTTACGCGAGTGAAAAATTAAGAGGCTAAAATAAAGTGTCAAATGAAAGTGGAAAAAGGCGAGGACCAATAATTTTACAAAACAATGGTAAAATGTCTATAAGCTTATAAAAGATCTCGCCCATCTGTGGGAGTTTTTGGAGAACTCCTACATTATGTGAGTGATGGTAAATACAACACAGGTTGTAGATGCCCAGGACTTTAGTTATATGGAGAACAATGAATCGTAGTTTCTGAAAGAAATTTACCTCGTTCTTATAGAGAATACAGCATGGGTTCCCGTGGAAGACATCACAGACGACCTAACACGTTACCAGAATTGTCAGCTATTGGACAGCAGATCCGATCTACTGTGTATGCGAATCGTAAGTATTGGATATTGCTTTTCAATTCTATTAGAGATGACTTCATGCACCCAGTCATAAGTACGCAAGCCTTGATTGGTAGATGATGAAAAGCATGTGGTTTACTTGAGGAGAGGTGAAATACCCAAGCCATAATATGATAATACGCTGTCAGCCTATTTGATTTTGGACGTTCGGAAATTCGTAGACTGCAACCGAAACGCGATTCACAGCTTTCTTATCTGTGGCTGGTAATTCGTGAATCAATTTAAATACACAATTTTTTAGAAGCCGCCCATCATTCAGAAAAGTAATTAATTACGTTACGTTTTTAGATACTTTTCTTTAATAAGAGTTACAGAACAAATTGTAATATAATTTATTAATTTAATGTTTTACATAGTATTGATTTTTTTATTCAGTTTGTAGTGTTGTGTTAATTGTAAATTTTCTCTCCCCGGGCGGCACTGGAAACCGTCTCTTCATCGTTACTATTTCGTGGTGATGCAAACGTCGAGAGCTCGTCAAATTTCGTTAGCTTTCTTTACACATTAAATAAAACACGGTTTAAAATGCAAAATTTATCGGTTAGTTTATTTACAATATATTTTAACTACGGCCTGACGTATGCTGACACGAATATACTTTGCGTTTTACACAGTGAAAAGTGTTTAATTAAATATATGATAAGTATTATTTTTCTTTCAATGTGTTTTCAAAAATTATTTAAAGTATTTATTAAATCATAATTTATTTTTGGTGATGTACCATCGACATCAAAAAACTGAAATTTAAATCATACACCAATACAACATAAAATATGTTTTTATGCAGATACGCGTGTACGAGGGTACCCAGAAAGAGTGAAAAACAAACAAACAGTCAACGGAGATCCACACATCGGGAAGACTCCGGATGAAACCCCAGGTACTTCAAAGCTATGCTCGCTTTCAACGTGAACTTTGTGAGGACCGAGCGAAACAGATAAATTTTAAAGAGACGCAATCGAAAATGCTTTCCTGGTAAAATCCACGTGAAAGTGAATACCAGTGGCGAATTCGAGGGTGAGGGGTTAGAAGCCCCTGTTACCCCCCCCCCCAAATCAAACACAGTGAGAAGTCGAAATGTATAGACTCTAAAAGACAAAAAGAAATCTTAAATATTAGTATTGTTTAGTAAACATTGCACTGAATATGTATTTTAAATTGAAAGAATAGTAAGAGGACACAGTTATCTATACTGCTCTAACCAATTGAGTTACTGTATCTCGCTTGTCTTTTTTACGTGCAATTTAATTTCAACCTTAACGCTGAACATTCGATATGCTTTGCAGCTTAAGTTGTCACTGATGATGAAATTAGAGAGTTTTATATTTGAAAAGTTTATTAATTTTCACATGTTATTGCACATGATGGCGTAATATCAAATAAAAATGTATTTAAATAAAACACTTTCACGGTTTAAAACGCGATATATTAGTTAAACTTATTCACGGCTTGACCACGGCTGCTGCAAAGCATCCAAAACGTCGGGCCGAAGTTAAAAATCATTTCCAAATAAGTTTAACTAATATATCGCGTTTTGAACCGTTAAAGTGTTTTATTTCAATGTGTACAACTCGCGTAAACTATAGACAGTATTTAAAAATGTATTGACATACCGAGGTCTGTGTCGTTGCTCGATTCAATTGAGCTATCGCATTAATTGTGGTAGTTTTAAGCCCCTCCCCCTCGCCCCCACCGAAATAGACAAAAAAGCACTATATTTACAGTGGGTACTATCGCACATTTTTTGGTTTTGTTTATTTTTTATTTCATTTCAGATCGCACACGATCAAATCCAGTTAATACAGATAATTTACAGAGCAACGATAAACATGTGGCCCCATGCCCCGAATTAAAAGTAGTGGTCACAAAGGTTATACCGCACGGAAATGGTGAGAGCAACGTGCAAGTGCTGTGTAACTTGTAATCAGGGCCGGATTAAGAGCCCCACAGGCCTGGAGCAGCAAAGGAGTTATCCCCCAACCTCCCTACCTCAAAATGCTTTCCTAATCCAAAAGAACCTCATTTAGTACACTAGTCGAAATTCGTCTTTTCTTACCGACCTATGGCGGTAGCCCCTGTTGCCCTCCCTTAAATCCGGCTCTGGTTATAGGTTACGATCATAACATGCTAACAAGATATGTTTTAGTAAACTAACATTTTGTTTATAAAGATTATCTGTATGAATTTGGATTTGTGTTTAGCTTTTTTATTATGGTCGATGGTCTTTTTGAGTAAGACATTGCACGAATTATTTTAAACAACCTAGTTCCCGACGTTTCGTCATCACGAATTGTTGATGGTGATGATGAGGATTCCTCGACTAAGCGAAGGCAGATAACTAATGATAGCGAATATCGATAGTTTGTTTTTTTTTTACAGTAAACACCTCAACATCGGAAGGTAGATCGAGAACGCGACGACCGCACCGCAAAAACGAGACATAAGATTCAGCGCCATCTCTCGACGAAAACTCTCACAAATATAGTGTTAAGTATTGCCTATTGTTTACGCGAGTAGAACACATTTACATAAATCACTATTAACGGTTTAAAGATCGATATATATTAGTTCCCCTCCTTGACTACTGACCATAAAGCGATCGAAATGTCAACACGTATTTTTTAATGAGTTAACTGACTATATATCGCATTGAGTGGCACAAATTTAAATAACGTGGACTCTCGGGGTGCCTCCCGTGACCACGGCTGCTGTAAAGCATCCGAATCGTCGGGCCGTAGTTAAAACAAATCATTGAAGATTAAATTGCAGAGCTTAACGATGAAAAATTTTAATGTTTGAATTGAATAAATTAAATATGTATTTCCATAAAATAATTCGTGGACACGGGCGGGACTTAAATCGGCATTTACAGCGATCTGTGTTGTTGCTCTAACCAACGGGCTGTAGTTAAAACAAATTGTAAATACGTGAATTAATATATTCTGCATTGTAACCCGTTAATTGTGCTTTATGTAAATATAAATCGCATTTTAAACGATAATTGTTTTACTTTAATTACATTATTGACAATTGTTTATAGCATACTTCACAGCCGATTGAAATTTTTACGACTTAAACTTTAATATATTTCTGTTTGAGATCGTGGCCAATAACGGTGTATATGCTACATGTATTTTATATCTCAGTAGAACATCAAATTAGATATAAATAGACCAATTTTATCATTGTCTAACAATAAAAATTTCGTATTTGATTCACATTGGGCATTTCGACCCAACCGACTTTTGCGCTTTCAAGTCAAACCCTGTTCAAGTATAATGTAAACAAAAACCCTCTCACTTCTTTACAGCCCCCCCCCCCCCCCCCCTTGTCTTACCCAAAACATGTATATTTGTGCATTTGCATTATTACATTCCTTATTTATTGAAATGATATAGAGGGGCCGACGTCATCGACCCCCTCTCCCCAAGGTTTGAGTAAAGTAAATCCCACTATAGCGCTTACAGCGGCGCTATAGCCCAGCACTTAGGTAGATAAAAAAGTTTGGAACTAAAAATACGATATTGTCTGTACTCTACTGTAGCTATATTAATGTAGATCTAATCTAATACGCATACATTAATAGTGTCTGTAGCGGCGTTGGGGCGCCCCCCTTTCCCCCCGTTTATTGGGGCGCATATGCGGTATATAGTCCTGCCCCCGGGGTGTCAGTGGGCCTAACGTCGACACTGAATACCTCCATTTACGTAGAACGGATATAGCTAATAGTTGTAGGTAACCTAGATACCTACCTACAAACATACATACCTAGATAGACAAAAGAATAGAGCTAAATCTGTCAATGAATATTAATTTTGGCTGTGAGAAATATTTACCTATACCCCTAGGGGCCTACCCCGCAATGACAAGAGAGTGCCTCACAAGAGGGGCAAGTTTTTTTATTTATAACTAAATCTATCATTTATTGGTTGACTGATTGACATTATTAATAATTTTATGTATTTTCACGAGTCTCGTTTAATTTAAGGGCATATAATAGGGGTTGAAAGGTATCTTTGGTGAAATTACCTTAAAATACACCCTGTATATACACATTGCATTGTATAAGGTTTTTTCCGTTCTTTATTCGTTATGCTATCAACTGTTACCATATTATGATAATAAGTCTATTATATCATAACATAATATGTTAACGGTTTAAAACGCGAAATGCAAATTATACACAACAACTCTTACTCACCGATAAAACATCTAAAGCGTCGAATAGTTGTCAAAAATAGGAATGTAATTCGCGTTTTAAACAGTTCACAGTGTTTATGTAATCTGTTCGTTTCGCATTTATAACAGAAGTCTGTATTTTTTATCTGTGAATAGAGTAATCAACTCTTCCCATAGACTCCGGAAATAATAGATAAACTATCGGCCTTGTACGTGATAGGTTTACAAAATGTGACGAAAATTCGACAAATAATCGATTAACGTGAGTACTATCTGTAATTTACGCGAGTAGTATTTTTTAAAAATAAAATATTTAACGGTTTCAATTGCGAAAAGTATTAGTTAAACTTATTTACAAGTTGGCATCAAGTTGCGCCATATACTATGATGGAACAGGTGGCGCTAACGTAGCATTTTTTTATTTTGACATTAAGTCCACCAAGCTGGCAAGCATCTAAAACTTCGGGCAGTAGTTAAAATAATGTATAAATTAAATAATATATTTCGCGTTTTAAACCGTTAAAGTGTTTTATTTCAATAGATTATACATATTGCACAAACGACATTTTTCGCCTTGCACTTATCAATAACGTACTGATCACGTCAATTTCGTATAGCCATTTTTAAAATTTTAAAATAATATAAAAATAATGTTTTTATGTAGACTGAAGTAGTTTAGCGAAAGAATTTGAGAAGACACTGCGGATGGACTATCGCAAGTGGCTCCTTATATCGTTTCATACTATCGGCGTCCCACAGCTGGGCTCAGCACTCGGTGTAAGGGTTCACGCGCTTAAGCCCACCTTGCTACCTTACCAAAATCCGGACGAGCACAAAGTACTCGTAATATCTTTGTTAACATTTCTAACTAAGGCCCGACGTTTTGGCCGTGGTCATGTGGGACTTAACAAGCCCCTAACGTTAATGCTTAGTTAAAAATAGGTTAACTAGCTATTTCGAGTTTTAATCCGTTAAAAGTGTTTACATATTAATAGATCTGTTCTGTTATGATATGATTCCTCTGGTGAGGAAACCGTCATGTTTTAGAACTGAAAATTAGCGTCATTCGAGATTACTTTAGGAGTCCCAGCTGTGGGAAAGATCGGTGGGCTCGATGGTGTAATAAAACGTAAAGTGAACGCCTGTTCGTATTCAAGTTAAAACGGAAATGGAAATAGTTTGGACAACCTGTGATTACATTTATGTGCCTCTAGCAAGCAATACATTTGAATAAATAAGAATAACTTCTCGACATCGATTTGACAAACAGACATTTTGGCTTAATAAGCTACTTTTGAAAGCCAAAATAAGCCGACAGCGCATCGTTAGATGTTATAAGGCTGAGGCATTTTACCTTCCATCATCCCTTCGGACATAGTGTGTATTCCAATATATAGTATATTATAGTACTGCCATTTAGATATTGAAATATATGTAACCAATGTCATTAATATTTATTTACTTATACATATATAAATTATGATACTGTATTGTATTTTAATCAATTTCATATTTTGATGAAGATTGTTTTATTTGAACGTGTCATGATTACAGTACTTAATGGAATCACAAATGAGTCAAGTAGACTTCTTTTGTTACTTGTAGCAATGCGCATATAAGGGTTCCGTATTACGAATATATGTGTTTGTCACCAGAAATTGTCCACTGAATTTTTGAAGGGACTCCTATAGAACAAACATGATATTTTAAATGTCAACAGGCCATTTATATAACTAAAGCAAGGTAATAATTTGGACATTCGTGCATCTAGATAGTACGGAACCCTTCATGCACGCTCGGCACACACTTGACTCATATTTTTTTGACATGTTATTTTCATGGCTCATGTGTACTTCGTATTCTCTTTAGCTGCATTTGTGAGAGTGTAACGTGACTTACGCTATTATGTAGCCTTATTTCTATATCATCTAATATTATTATTAATAATTATTAACTACTTATATAAATAAATTATATTTATTGCCAGATATTGTTTTCTTGGACCCCCTAGATTTAAGACATACGCTGCATAAGCATTTTTATTGCCAAATACACTTATTTTCTTGGAATAACTCCCTTTAATAGAAGTTATTAATAAGTCAAATCGCTAACGTGTGTGTGTACATCATATTAAGATATTTTTTATTGCTACTATTGTTTCGTAATTGTTTTAGTATATTTAATAAAACTGTTTGTATGTATTAAGTAATTTTAATGTTCTAGTAAAGATGTTGAAACATACTTGACCCCGTATATATTAACATTGTATTAGTATACTTTGTGCAATAGTATTTATTACCTGTGAACTACTTAATGTACCGTTCTGGCAGCTGTCAAAAATCTATGACCACAGAGTATCTTTTGTTATTGTGCACTTTCAAAATAAACAAGTCCGATTAAACAATATTATGTAATTATAACAAAAATAAATGTATCATGAAGAAATTGTCGTTTCCGAATGTATATAGGATTGCTGCGCCTTTACAATGCAATTATAAATGCTTGATACGATCTGTTGGAACTACATCGGAAAAAGAAAATATAGAGGTTAAGTTTTCATCGTAGATTATTTTGCGCTTTTTACGCGTTATATTTTATTGTTTAAAACTTGTAGGAGAGCTATAGGATCCTTAGTATCCCCCCGCGATTCGAAGCAAGAGACGGTGCGTCAGGCATTTCTGGAGCTGGCTAAAATATACCATCCAGATTCTCAATCGCCCGACGCAAGCATAGAAAAATTTGTAGCGGTTGAAAATGCGTTTCGTACTCTCTCAAAACACAATACAGGTTCTAGTAACAAGGCAGAAGTTGAGAAAATCGTCTTTGATATAAGGGTAAGGATGTAGCTACCAAAAAATTTACTTAAGCGTTTAGCTTAAAACTTGATAATGTTTAACTTCGAACCCGACGGGCTTAGCAGATGTGGTCACGGGAGACACCTCCGTGACCACATTTTCTAATAAGTTTAACTAATATATCGCGTTTTAAACCGTTAAAGTGTTTTATTTAAATGTGTACTACTTGCTTAAACTATAGACAGTATTTAAGGTTATTTTTTTAGCCCTGTTGACCGTAAGAAAAATTTGGTGTCTTAATTTAAAATTATATTTATGTTGATGTGTGTACTGTGTACTATTTTTTTTAGCACACAGCGCCACAACATAGACAATATTTAAGTTACGAGGGAGTTGGACATGGTACTCCCTATCAGCGAGAGAAGCAATGGGCTCAAGTCCGAGCACAAAAAGCAGCTAACAATGTGATGGAACACCGAGTAGCTAAAGCTGTTGCATCTGACAAAACGCTCATGAAGAAGGACTCCTCGAAGAAACATGATATTAAAACTAAGTACGGCTTTGACAGACTCGTGGAAGATCTTATACAAGAGTCTATGTCAAAGGGGGAATTTGAGAACTTGAGTGGGAAAGGGAAACCGTTGAAAGATCAAAATCGGAATCCGTATGTTGATTTCACTACACATAAGTTAAATGAGGTAACAAAATAAGTTATACTATATTTCTTTTGGTAGGTTACTCCCAATTTACAATTCTAACACTTACTCGTACAGAATGAATTCAAATACAGTTAACGACTGAATAGAATAAATGCAGATTCAAATAAAACACTTTAAATATGTTTACAAATTATTTTAACTATGTATATCATAAACGGGCTGCGGGAGCGACTTCGTCATCAACATTCGTTCGTCATCTTTATAAACTTAAGCTTTGAGCCACGACGTCGATCGCGTCTCTTCCCGTCGTTCTTGCAAGTTAATCTTAAAAGATAGACATATAGCGTCGCGGACTTTTTTCCAGATCACTTAAAGAGGAATAATTCTTTCATACACATTTTTTAGTTATCTTGAACCGCTTTCGCAGCGTACTGTATTAGCGCACCGGGTCGTGAGGTTTTTAAAAAAAACGAAAATCTACTACTGGACTTAATTCGCGTTTATTAAATAATTTTATGGGTACAATTAATATTGGGGACCTCACTCTACAATGTCCGCACTCCGCAACGGTCTTCGCTTCTATTAGTCACAGCGCGATGTTTTATAGCATTCCTCGATAAATCAACACAAAAATTATTTTTCAATTCGAATCCGTAGTTTCTGAGATTGGCGCATTCAAACAAACAGACTCTTCAGCTTCATATATTAGTATAGATAGATGTCTTCTTTGTACCCACTGCCGGCATAATGTTTTCATCCCATCACTGCTACAGTATGCATTTGTTTAAAAAGTGGAAGACACAAGCATGGGACTTAATACGTAATCTAACTTACTGGCTTCTATTTTTGGATGGTGTTTTGTGACCCAAACAGAGTCAATAGGGATCTAAGTTCAAGCTACATTGATACCATTAGATCAACAAATATATAAATTTCCAATAGATAAATTTGTGATCTCTATTTTAAGAAAAATATTCCAGGTCCTAATCAACAACGGTTTCACTCCAGAATGGATAACAATGAGCAAAGAGATAGACCAAGATATAGAGCTTTTAAAAGAAGAAGTAGAAAGAGAAAGAATGTTCCTCGGCCCTTATCCCCTCTCAGATACGGACAATGTCAAATGGGACAAAATATATGAGAGCAATAAAAATTTGGCCAAATCAATAAATACAAAGATAAATACGTTTAATTTAATAGTACCGTTGCTCAACAAACAGAAGTTTCACGTGGAATATGAGAAAGTATGTGAAGATATTCTTGTCAATGGAAGACATTCGGTGGAAAGAGTTGAAAGAGAGGAAGTAAAGACAATTGATCCTCGAAACGAAGACATAATGGCTGTAATCTTTAAAGTATTGGGCGATTTGGTTACTTTCAATCGGGACAAGAAAAAGGATGTACATTAAATTTACTGAAACAACTATATCTGTGATACTTAGTTTTTATTACTGATAGAAAATTTAGAAGATAGTTATATTTACAATTTTATTCACAACCTCTCTGCCAAGAGTTACGACTGAGAAGCATTCAAGACGGTGCAAGTATCAATAAGTAAAAAAATCGACGATGGCGTGTAGGACACGGTAGCTCAACTGGTTAGAGCAACAGAACTGAACGCTGTGGATGCTCGTTCAAGTCCCGTGGCATAAAATTTTTTCAACCTAAATCGATTTTTTAAGAATTCATTTCCTCTAAGAAACAATTTAAAAAATACATACAATTATGATTTTTATTTCCCTCCAGTCCTATCCATGGCTATAACAAAATTTTAAACACTTAAATTTAAAAACAGTGTTTGCCGGGTTAGCTAGTACTGTTAGGTAATAAAATCCAAAATCAATTCATTAGTTTTATTTAAACAGAGATAACATACACTTATAATATATAAACATTTCGTAAGGAAGACTAACAAGGCTCCAAATTTTGATTACATTTTCTTAAACATTTCAAGAGACAAGTTCATTTTGGCACTCAAAACGTCAAGAGTATTAACATAAAATAGTTATGTTTACTGTTAATTACTTAAGTTTAAAATATAACATATTAAAATATCTACTTAAATATTTATAGGTAAAATATACATCTCTCTTGGCTTGGTCCCAAATATTCAGTCTAGTCATTAAAGAGTTAGGTTTTTACATATATACTATGATAAGGCACATAACATTGACATTCATTTTTAAATAGTTTAGATAACAAAAAATTAAGACTTAAGCGACCCATATACGATCGATATTATTGTGCAATATCCCGGGTTGTACAATAAAAATGATGGGGTGTAGATGACATTGAGAAGTTGTGGAATTACGTGAAATTTAAATCCGTGAGAATATATTGTGCACAGGGGAAAGAATTACGTAGGCATCATTGCGCAATAATATTGAGCGTCTGTGGGCCGCTTTAGAATATCTTGCAACCGACGGATGGTGGGTATCACAGTAGTGGGATTGGCTTTATGTGGCTATTACCGCAACTGACATTGGGCGTGGCTATTACAGCGGCTGACAATGGGCGGGGTTATTACCGCTGCTGACAATGGGGCGTGGCTTTAAGACATGATAATTTGCCCTTGACTATTGAGCCTTGCTCGGCTGGTGGCGACCAGTCGCAGAGCGCGGGGGTAGGCGCGGTGTTCAGCTGTATGGATGCGAGCTGTGAGGGTCTCCACCGTGTCCTCCGGGTGAACGGGAACACGCTCCTGGGTTATTATTGGACCTGTGTCCATACCCTCCTATACAATTAGAAGAAAATAAGATAAAATTTTTCAATTATTTAACACACAGACACATCACAAAAATATTATATATACATAGTAGGCATTTTTTCTATAAGAACCAGGACATGTTTATAGTGACCCAAACGAAATTCGATATTTCTTTTAAAGAACCAGTTCCAACATGTTTCAGAAAAAAATATGGGATCGAATTCACTACCCGGTGATAATCAGTCATGCATTGCACCGCTCTAGTCTCTACTCCACTGTTGTCCCGAGGTCTCCAGAACTGTGAATCCGGTTAACTTACATCAACAAAGTGGACCGTGCAGCCGGATAAAGTGTCACCAGCTTCCAGGCACTGTCTTTGCGCGTGCAAACCCGGGTGTCGCGGCAGCAGGGATGGGTGGATGTTTATCAAGCGGCCCTTCCATCTATAAAATAACATATGGATTATCAATAAGATGAAAAAATTGTATATGTCTTTTGGCAGCCATTATGCTGAACTTTAAAATTTCTCCTTAGAATCGAATTGCTCTAATGAGCAAAAAAAAGAGAGGTAGCTTAAATTAATTTCTTTTTTTGGTTAATGAAGATAAATACGATATAGTAAAATTAAATTTAAGTAAAAAAAAAATTTTTTTTATTAAGGATTCTGTTTTGTAACTGGTACTCGATACACTACTGCAGATCACAAAATTCAGGGTTGAATTCTTCAGCGATCGTGGTCACTGAGGGCTGAAATCAATTTACTTATTTATTTCCCGTTTTAAACCGTTCGAACAAGTTTTATTTACTGTGACATCATAATGAAAATCTAATCGATTTTTATTCACTTGCTCGTTAATAAAAATGAACAAACGTTTGACCTTAACGATTTTCAAACGGTATTCTAAACAAGGTCGGATCGAAGCCTTCTCGAACTTTTTTGTAGACTTACTTGGCAACGAATTCTGCAGACAATATCCTCATGTAGCCAGCCAGGCAAACCAGGTCGATCCGGTGAGCCTCCAAAGCCTTCGACACAGCGCGGTCGAACTCCTCGCGCGACGCGTAATCTTTGTGGTTGAACACCTGTAAAATGTTTATAAAACCTAGTTAAGTCTATGTATATTAAATCTACACGATTATAAAAACCTTTAAAATTAAATAAAAACCTATTTTAAATTATAAAAATTACTAGTCAAATAGAGGCGGCACTCGAAGCCACGATCACAGCGTTTCAAAGCTGTCGCTTTAGAAATTGAGCTATAACAACAAACACCAACATTTAAAATATTGCTGCTTCCTTTAATATACGTGTATCTTATTTGCATATTGAAATGTATAATGTCTAATTTATTAACATTAAAATCTATTTTAGATAGAAAAGAGGGAACAATAAAAATGAATGTCTTCTAAGCTATTTCGACTGAGCTATTAGGTAATAACAAAAGACTGAAACAAGGAACAACAAACCTAGTTTAAACCCTAGTTTATTTCAAATTAACTTTGATTACAAGACAAATGTAACGTTTGTACTGGACTAACTTAGATTCATTTAGACCATGGTTTAAGAGTTAAACCAAGACTCCGCAGTTCTGGTCTAAGTATTTCTTTTAATAAGGCCGATAATATTTACAGCTGTGTAAACAATAATATACCTGACTTGTTTGACGAAATTAAAAGATAACCTAAATTGTGCTATCATGTGCAATATGAGTTAATATGTTAAAATAATATTTCATGCAGCAATGTACCTTATTTGCACGATGGAATAATAAATAACCCAGACGCGTCTTCACCCTACGTCTAGCGTATCGTGCTCAACGTCACGACTATGTCATGTACCTATCAATCTTTTGTTGTAAGTGCAAAAATATTTTCTTTACCAAGCTAGGAATATTCGCATCCTCGGCGCGTTTCAGCGCGTACACGTCCTTTTTATTGCTGATAACCAGCGCGACCTCAGCGCACATACACTGCGAACGGTCTCTTGTGCTGTCTATCAGCGCCTGGAGGTTGCTGCCGTTGCCAGAAACTAGAACTGCCACCTGGAATTGCGAAATTCCAAAATTTTATGACTTAACGTATATAATAATAATAATGTCTTTAAGTCAATGGAAGATCTTATGGTAGCAATGAATGATTAATATCAACGGGTCCTAGGTTCGATCACCAGCATGTTTTTAATTAAGTATTGCCTCTAGTATACGCGAGAACGGTTTAAAACGCGATAATACGGTTGCTGCAAAGCATCTGAAATGTCCAGTCGTACTTAACATAAATAGTGGACTTCGTCAGAAAATCTGGATGTCAAATTTATAGTAGGAATATCGAAATTCTGTCCTTAGTTTAATCGCATTTTCCAATCTGTGTATTTCCAAATATCCAAACCTAAAATACGTCCACATCACATCTTGTTTTGATGCTATGTGGCTGGGGTATTTCACCTCCAGAACATCATGTCTGTCCTCCTCCAACATAAAATCACCTTTTTATTTGTGAGAAGGGGCATACGGCGTGTGAAGTCCAGAGCTGAGGCGAAATTATCTACTATGACCCTGGCCCCACCAGCGGGGCGAGCCTGGACGCTTCCGATGACCATGGCGCCGAAGGAACGGCTTATGTTCATCACCTATAGGAAGAAGAGGAAGAATATTTATTCAGTGGTCAAAAGTGTTACCTAGAATCACTTCAAAGCCTAGAGTTGCTGGTTCGAATCGTAGGGGGCAATAAAAATATTTCGGATGGGCAAGGGGCAATTGTCTGATCAACTTGATAATAAGTTTAAGCTTACAACGATTGTCAAGATTTTCAACCAAGTGAGGTCACTGATTATCTGATCTCCTCTATAAAACGTGTATTCATAATGTATTAATATAAATAATTAGAGGCATGGTTTTCCAAATGTGTCTAACCTTCTTATCCCATATAAAAATGTCTGCCCTTATGTCACATGAAAAAAAGTATCGGCCAAAAAATGGGAAGTTGGGGGGGAGATCGACACAAACCAAGATAGACAAATGAAACAAAACCGTTAAATTAATCGCGTTCCGGTTTCAATCTGTGAATCTCCGAATAGGGCATCTTGTTTAGGTGTTAAATGACTGAGGGGTTAGACCTCTTCTTGGCTGTGGTAACCTCAATAAAAAATGTCTGTTAACACCCCTTTGAATGTTTGGAATACTTTAAATTTTTTCTAATAATTCAATCTTAAATCAATCGAATCACATAGTAGCTCAATTGGCAGCAACACATGGATAGGTTCATGTCCCCAACATAATTAAAGTTTTTCAATCTAAAACTTTTGAAATACCGAAATAAGTCACAGCACATCTAATTACGATATGCTGTTGACTTATATCGGCTATGGCCTTTAGACACTTTATAAAAACTTACTTCAGCTTGATGTTCCGGTGACACAATGAGCACCATTCCAATACCACAGTTGAAGGTGCGCAGCATTTCTTCGTCCTTTACTGTACCAGCATCAGCTATCCAGGCGAAGACCTGGAAAAAAAAGAGTTTTAGAGGTAATGTTTTATTTTAAGTTATAAATTTCTACCTTTAAACCAAATTCAGACGTCGTCTGGTTTAAATCTGGATACTAAGCATGTGGAGATATCGTACCACCTGTGACTTCTGATAAAAAGGAAGTTTCGACATCGTGTTTCGTTATCCGTCCTCAGAACGGCTGCTCCAAATATCTAAAGCCGAAATATACAGGACAGCATTATAGTTGTCATATCTGAAACGGTTGTAGCTCGCATTTTGAAACTTCACAAGCCTTCACTATACACTTACCACGAGTAAGAAACACGTTGAGTTTAATTCAAAGTCGTCTATATGAAGACGAATATGCAATTCTTCAGAAATATGTTGAGACACATCTTGTTACAAATGGGTGTTAGATGGCGAAATACGGTATTTCACCTAACAACTACCCACAGTTAACGTTAATTGCTTGTCTAATTCAGTTTCTATTATATGAAATGAAGAAAGGGTCAATAGCGCATCTTGTTATGATGTTAAATAGCTAGGGTATTGTCATCCTTGTCCCCAAATAGCCTTTCGCTTGCTGTCCCCCTCTATTATCAAAAAGTAATTACATAGATTTTGTGATAATAATTCCACTCACCGGATGGACATTCCACCAATGGGCGTTAAGTCTCACGCGCACGGATTCCGGTATAACTCTCGGAATGTTCTCGAGTAAGCCCCCACCAGTTATATGCGCCACTGCCTTGACGTAGCCACGTTGCAGGGCACCAACGACGCTGCCCACGTAGATCCTCGTCGGCTTTATCAGTTCCTCGCCTGAAAAATAGAAAAACTCCTATATAAAAACAAGATTGAAAGAAAGAGATGGCGCTGGTAGCATAACAGATTTGACATTGAAATTAGGGTCACCCTCCATCGTCAGGCTATAAGATAGACATATACCGTCGTGACCATTTTCCAACTAGAGGAAAGGATACCCTCCATCTTCAGTCCTCCCCGTGACCATGGCTGCTGCAAAGCATCCGAAACGTCGGGCCGAAGTTAAAAATATTTCAATAAGTTTAACAAGTATCGCGTTTTAAACCGTTAAAGTGTTTTATTTAAATATGTACTACTTGCGTAAACTATAGACAGTATTTAAAAAAGTTTTCTTTTTATTTTACCTAGAGTAAGTCCTTCTTCACTGAACGGTGCTTTGTCGTTGAGCGTAAGGTTGTTTTTCTTCATAAGGCTATGAATGAGACTGAATCCGTTGCTGTGAACGCCGTTTGAGGGTAGTCCAATAACAATATCACCTACCTACAAAAAAAAATCAATTATCATATATGTAATCATTATACTTCACACAGTTATGATGGGTTTGGTGTAATGGTTAATAATCAACACGGGTCATGGATTCGATACCCACCGGCTCTAACATGTTCCCAATTAATTTATAATCATTCTAAAACTTGTCAGGTATCTGGATATTATGTAGGTGTTAAGATTCTAAATTCTCTCAGTGTTAACATCGTTTAGAGCCACGATGTTTATCTTAGTTTCAGTTTGGGGTTCCCGAAAAAGCCAAGCCCAAAAGGTCCACTTCTTGTTAGAATATGGCCTGCCTGCTTCATGCTTATTTGTGTTCCTTTACAATGTTTTTGAATATGTCTTCTCGATTAAGCATTTATGTATACTAATCGAGTGCGAGAGAGACTTAGCGGTTTGGCACCAGCTTCCTTTCCCCCCCCCCCCAACCCCCCTAATAACTTACCGTAATATCATTTATTCTTGGCAGAATGTGAGTTCTCTCGACAACTCCAAGAGCGAAACCTGCGATATCGTAAACACCAGCTTCGTACATTCCTGGCATCTCAGCTGTTTCACCACCTGTAAAGTGTTCAGATAATGTGTCATCGTCGAATTTATTTAACTGTTTCATTCAAACATTAATAACTAGTACATGCGCTTGCGCAGGTCTTACAAAACCTACCAATCAAAGCAGCAGATGACTGTTTACACCCTTCTGCGACGCCGGAGACGACGTCCTTAGCGACATTGACGTCCAGGGATCCGCAAGCGAAGTAATCCAGGAACGTCAGGGGCGCAGCACCGTTGCAGAGGATATCGTTGACGCACATGGCCACTAAGTCGATACCGATCGTGCTGTGCTTGTTGATCAGCTGGGCTATCTTCAGCTTGGTGCCGACGCCGTCTGCAGCCAGCACGAGGACTGGATCCTTGGACGAACAAAGAGGTTGCTTCAATATTTTTTATGATAGAAGGCAATGTATACGCACATAGTTCCCTTTGAATAACCTATCTACTCATAGAAGGTTACGTGTAGTACACATTTAAATAAATGACTTTTAACTGTTTGAAACGAAAGTACGAGTACAGGATTCTTTAAAAAAACAATTAAAATACCTTGTATTCTTGTTCGATAGCTTTCAACTGAAAGCATCCACCGAACCCGCCGAGACCTCCAAGAACACCAGACCTCGACGTGGACCTGGCCAATGGCTTGATCATCGATACCAGGGAATCTCCAGCTTCTATATCCACCCCACTGTCTTTGTATGAAAGGGACTTCTGCGGCGCGTTAACTCCTGCGCAGTATGGGGTTACCAAAGGCGCCATTGCTTGTTTGAAATTGTCCACGACGACCTGGTGACCACCTGGAAGATTAATTTATTCAAATAAGATAATACTTAAATAATCTCTTTTGAACGGTTCAAAACATGAAGTATTTAAGTTAATTTCTTTAATAATTGTTAAGTGATGACCATGGCTACTGCAGAGCACCAGAAACGTCGTGTCATAGTTAAAATAAATTAAAAATTATAGTTTTAATTAAATTGTAATATTTCATACAAAATACATTTAAGGGTTTAAAACACGAATTAAATTACTTAACTTATACACAGTTCCCCCCGTGATCAGTGGCTGCTGCTTCGAATCCGTAATGTCAGGTCGTCGTTAAAATCAATTAGAAATAATAGTTTTAAATTAAAACTTAAAATTGTATCTACTAAGAATCTACATACCTTCAACAAAACACATTAAACGGTAAGGTACAATATAATTTTGAATTAATCGACTAATATATTTCGCGTTTAAAACCGTTAGAAGTGTTTTATTTGTGTGTAATGTTTTATTATACTTATATTGTAAGAGGTTTAGATTTTCAACTTTATTCTGTAGGTATTAGGGTATATTTCACCAACCTTCCTTGCCGATGACATGGACAGAACCCACCACGTCGACAACATCGTCAACAGTCGAGAGGAACTCGTTCAAGCAGACGGGATCCACGATAGCGATCATTCCCACACCGCAGTTGAAAGTACGTAACATTTCGAAGTCCGATACCATTCCTATAAGAAGAAGAGTGAACAATAATTTATTCAAGTAGTTAGTTAAGTACACTTATGAACGTCACACCAGTTAAAAACTAAAGACTCTAAAATATTTACTAGCAGTTCCCAAATCGAGGGCGTAGAACGAACGAGAAGAGCTGTCAATAAACTCGCCGCCACTCCTTTTTTCGCCAAGATCTACAGTCTTCACATACTTAATGTTTACATCTTCTTCCTTGTTAGAGCGGGCTGTTCTCCACGCCCCAAGCATTTTGTATCGTTTATATGTTCATTGAGTTCATTAAGTTTTTAGTTTAAGTATCAATTAAGTGGTAGAAGAGTAAGAAGAAGAAGAAGTAAGTCGCACTTGACCCTTTTTGCACTATTTGTCTTTGTCTTGGTCTTAGTGTCACGTAAAAGGGTTCCTCACACCTTCGTTAAAATGGCAGTTATGCTGTCGCCCCTTCAGACATTTCCTTGGAAATTATTAACTGACCCGGTTTTCATTTTGCTATATAAAAATATATCTAAACACTGTCTGTAGTTTACGCGGAGTAACACACATTTAAATAAAACACTTTAACGGTTTAAAACGCGATATATTTCAGTTAAACTTTTTTGAGAATTATTTTTAACGGCCCAACGTTTCAAATGCTTTGCAGCAGCCGTGGTCACGGGGAGACTCCCCGTATTTAAAATAAAGTTTCAAAAAAGTTAAACTGAAATATATCGCGTTTTAAACCGTTAGTGGTTTTATTTAAAAAGTATATTTAGGGCAGTGCTACTGTGTCTCTAGTAAGACTCGTCTCTTTTATTATGATTGACAAGCACGAAGTTCACTTAAGAGGTGAAATACCCCAGCCACATAACATCTAAGCGATGCGCTGTCGCCCTATTTTGGCTTTGGATATTCGGAAATCCACATAAAAGGAATTTTGATATTCCTACCAGCCACAAACACAGATAAACTATATCCCTACCTTCTTTATAACATAGCTTACCTTTAGCCTGCAGCCACCCGAAAATAGGCTTTATTTTAAACTTGAGAGCGTCCAGTTTGACTTTGACGCCGGGCGGCAAAATCCTCGGTATGTTCTCCAAGAGCCCACCGCCGGTTATGTGTGCCAGGCCTTTGACCAGGCCCTTCTTGACGGCTGGCATCAAAGCCTTAACGTATATTCCGGTCGGCTCCAAGAACTCCTCGCCAAACGTTTTGTTCGTTGTACTGAAGGGCGCTTTCTCGTGGAAACTGGAAAAATCGTTTAATTTAAAATAATAATTTCATTGAAATGTTCTGTTACGTATCAAACCGTTAAATGATGTTTTATTTAATGTGCACCACTCGTGGGTAAGATACTGAGGAAGACATAACTACATATTGTCTTTTGTTTAAGCGAACAGTAGACATTTAAAAAAAAAACTCTCGACTGTTTAAAACTCGAAATATATTATTTATTAGTATTACTTATTTTTTACAGTTCAATTAAAAACACGTTGTTGTCAGTTAAAAGAGTTTTATTTAAATCTATATTACTTGCGTACACCACATTAAACAACCTCGCAGATGCTACAGTTCATTTATATAAACCACTTTAAACGGTTTAAAACTCGAAATTTAACTCTAAGTTTTGTGTTCCAAACCGTTAAAAGTGGTTTATTTAAATGTGTACTACTCGCGTAAACAACAGACGGCACGTAAGTATCTGCACGAGTCCTACTAATTTAAATAAAACACTTTTGAACGGATTGAAACGGGAAAGCATTGGCAAGTAAACAAAATATATCAAAAGTAGCTTAATATAAACAGCCAAAACTGCTCACCTGTGCCCCGTCTCGGCCATAATCTTCTGGACGAGACTGTACCCGTTGCTGTGGACTCCAGTAGATGGAAAAGCAAGGACCACGTCACCGCCTCTGATCTCCTTCATCCGTGGTAGTTGCTTCATGTTATCCACCACTCCAACAGCGAATCCAGCCAGATCGTACTTCCCAACGTCGTACATTGAGGGCATTTCTGCCGTTTCACCACCTAAAACATAATACGCCAGTTAGTCTAATAATCAATTTTAATAATTCTCGCGTTACAATGAAAAGATAAAACAGCTTTAAAACTTGTCTTTCTTTCTTACCTAGCAAAGCACACCCAGACAACGCGCAAGCGTGCGCGATGCCCTTTATAATTTCGGTCGCCGTGTTCAGCTGTAGTCTCCCACACGCCATATAGTCGAGGAACGCGAACGGTTCTGCGCCCGCGCACAGAATATCGTTCACGCACATCGCGACTAGATCTTGGCCCAGCGTGTCGTACTTTTGCGTTATTTCGGCAATCTAGAAAGGGGACAGTATTAATTTATTTATTAGGTAGCAAAAATTTATTCATCAGTGATTTTTCTTCTAGTGTTAAGTTTACCATTTTTGCCAGACACGAAAAATTTATTTCCTACAATCTCCACTAATATATAGAGCTGAAGAGTTTGTTTGTTTGAACGCGCTAATCTCAAGAACTACGGGTTCCAATTGAGAAATCGTTTTGTGTCGGTTAGAGCATTTATCGAGGAAGGCTATAAAACTTATGCTCGGTTTTCTTTCCCGTAACACAAAAGAGTTTACTGGAAGCGCTCTCAAAATACTTGTCAACTCACTTGTAGGATCAAATTTAGAGTATAATTCAGTCGTATGGTGCCCATTTTAAAAATATATATCAAGAATTGAATCCGGTTCAAAAAAAGTTTCTCTCAAAATTAGACTTCAAAACTGGCGAGCACTGTAGACGCGATAGATATGAATCAAGGCTCGAAAAATTCCAGATGAAATCACTTCTTGCTCGTAGACATGTATCACAACTTATAACTGCACAAAATACTAAATTATCAGCTCGACTGCCCGGCACTACTATCTCAGATAGGCCTACTAGTTCCCGCGTTTAACTGTCGCCGTAGTTCTCTTTCCCCTAGCAAAGCAATAGTAATTACGGTCTTAATGCTCCGTTACAAAAGATTATGCATTTATATAATAGTGTTTTAAAAAAAGATTGGATGTTTTAAATACTGTCTATAGTTTACGCGAGTAGTACACATTTAAATAAAGCAATTTAACGGTTTAAAGCGCGATATAATTAATATATCGCGTTTTAAACCGTTAAAGTGTTTTATTTAAATGTGTACTACTCGCGTAAACTATAGACAGTATGTATTTAGTTGGTAAGCCTCTTTTTTTAAATAAATAAATATATAAGCGAAGTGGCAGCGGGAAATGTGAAAAAAGGGGGGGGGGGGGGTTTAATCTCTATGGGTTTTCGATGCGTACGTGGCAAAAACGGTTCAAGACACCCGAAAAACGTGTAGAATAAAATGATTATTTTTTAAATTATTTAAAAAATGTCTATTTTAAACATTTACTTGCAAGAAAGACTTGTTTATAACGAAATAGCTACTCTACGTAGACGAAGACGCGAAACAGCTAGTATTTCTATTTTACAGGAGTTAAATAAAATAGCAGTAATGTGATTATCAATCATCACTAGACAGGTAAAAATTGTGGCCTATAATTTACGGTTTAAATACTGTCTGTAGTTTAGTAGTCCACATTAAAATAAAACAGTGGTCCCTCCGTGCCCACGGCAGTCTCCCCGTTACCATGGCTGCTGCAAAGCATCCAAAACGTCAGGCCGCAGTTAAGATAATTTTCAAATAAGTTCAACTAATATATATCGCGTTTTAAGCCGTTAAAGTGTTTTATTTAAATTTAAGGTTTCCTTTCAAATATTTACCTTAAGTTTTGTGCCAACCCCATCAGTTCCCTGCACCAACACGGGATCCTTGAAACGCGAGTCCATAGCGGATAACTGAAATAGGCCGCTGTAGCATCCGAGACGGCCGAGCACACCTCTCCGATGTGTTGCAGTTGCTACAGGTTCAATCGTGCGTACGAGTTGAGCTGCCGCATCAATATCTACACCTGCCTCAAGATAGGAGAGGCCGTTCAGTCTGAAATTGGTTTTGGTTTAGATTAAGTATAATTATTGGCCAAGAGAGAGCCGGATAAGGGCACGGTGGGTTGCGTACAATGGGCTATTTGACTGATTTTCAAAATGTAGTGTAAAGGAACCCCAGAAAAGTAGCAATTTTGAATTCTGATGCATATTTGCTGAAATATATCAAATTAAAAATCCAACATATCAGTTCCGCGCCTAAACGCTTATTTTGCGAAATAACGGTGCAATATGGCTAGTGACGTCACGACCTTATTTCGGCCATTGGTGTATGTCGACTATATGATCTACAGGCAAACATTTACAATTTAATAGTGATTGAAGTAATAAGTTACGAATTTATGTATTAATTAATGTAGAGAAGAGAACAGTATTTAGACTAGGAAACACTATGGTTATAGCACTGTTTACAAGCAAGTGACGTCATCATAAACCCGACCAATCAAGAGCGTTTTGTGTCACGTCACAATTGTTACAAGAGGTTACTTTTTATTAGCGTTTTTTTTTAAATTATTCTTAACATATGCTAATGTTTTACTAATTCTAAACGTATACTTAATACTGACAACAGAAAGTGACGCTATATTTTTCGCATTGTCTAATAGCCATCATCTATAACAATCTACAATGTATATAAAATCCCACTCAATACTTGCTCCACTAAAGTACGAGGCCCCGGCCGTGGACAATCGAAACTCCTACTAGCCAAAATAATAAATTGATTGGAAAAATGAACATGGTGGGGATCAAACCAGATCAAACATGGAGCACGGGGCGAACACATATATGTGTCCGTTTCACTGATCCGTTCTATAACAGGCATGTGTTTGATCAGACTTCTGTGCTTTGCCCGACCGAAACATTCTACGTTTCCCTGGAACCCAGAACCTCTCGCGCGTAACGTAATGCTAGGCAGCACGTTTAACCATTTGGCTACAGAGATGGTCAGATCAAACATGACCCGTTAGTTATTAGCTGATTAATATAATTGCTATCATTGGAGTTTGAAATTTTGTGTTTTTAGTAGTGTAACATAACGTTTCGTTCACTCAAAAAAGAGGGTAGAAATAAAAAAAAAGGAACGAAGGTCGACGTTTATTGAAAAAAGGTTTTTTTTTACAAACTACAGATAAAATGGAATGATTTCTTCATTCTGCATGCGATAATGAACTGAAACAAATCGTTTTATTTGTACACAAACTGCGCAGCGGAGAGAATGCGATAAAACATTATTAATATATGGATTAAACGTGGATTCATGGTAAATTCTCAGCAAATAAAACAATTTTAACGGTTTAAAACGCGAAGCTTTTATTTTGACTACGATCTACGTTTCCCTTGCTATATGTTGCGCGTTTTAAACCGTTCTGTGTGTTTTATTTATTGTTTTGTATATTCTTTTAGGTTTTAGTTTTAGTGTTATTGGGGAAAGAGGGGCTATATAGTATGTATAATGATCTATTTAGATTTAACAAAATATCGATGACACGGGCGGGACTACAACTGGCATCCGAGCGTTCCGTGCTGTTGCTCTAACCAATTGAGCTGCCGAGTCATGTCGTGGACGTGGTTACAGCAACAGCACGGAACGCTGCGGAGGCCAGTGGGTGCCGTTTTTTTTTTCAATTTATAATCGATTTTTAATTTATATAATGCTATCATGCGCAATAACATGCGAAAGATATTAACTTACTTCGAAAAAGCTTTGTGAGCTATATCCTTCCTGTACTGAGCACCTGGGAAGTCTATAGCAGCAGCGGCGGACGTTGCAACGGATGCAGCCGTTCTCAAGGAACCTCTCTTCGCCGCCACTAGTAGAACGCGACCACCAGCTGTGACTAGAGAGTCGTTAGCACCGCGGGCCACCCCACTGTGGAACACCACTGTGTTGGGGCGATTTTGCACTTGGGAAAGACCTGCAAATGAAACTCTATTTTAAAACTAGCTGTGCCAGCGACTTCGTCTGCGTAGAACAGTCATTTTGGGCATTAACATTTGTTTTTGCAAACCTCCTCTTCATCTTTACAAATTTATTACCCACGACGTCGGATGCGTCCGTCGTTCTTGCTGATTTAATCTTAAAAGATAGACATATACTGTAGCCGACTTTTTTAGATCATTTAAAGAGAAATCATTATTTTTGAAAACTTCATTAATTTTTACAAAGCACTATATAATCTAAAAATCTTTTCTTCGTTCTTATTAGTCACAGCGCGATGTTATAGCCTATAACCTCCCTCGATAATTGCGCTAACCAACGCAAAAAATAATTTTGAAGTCGAACCAGTAGTTCCTAAGATTAGTGCGTTCAAACAAACAAACAAACTCATCAGCTTTATATATAGATAGATTTCTAGGGAAATCCTATTGTAATGATCTGGTAAGACCACCTTCGGTCTGATCCACTCTAACTTACCACTTATGACGCAACCCTTAGTGGACGTCTCAGGATACCCTTTCGAGGCGATGACAACCCCAACCGCACAATTTTCAGTCTCCCACTTCACTTGCACTTGTTTTAGTGTACCACCGACGCACGCCTGAGTAATTGCAAATAATATTTATAAACATCACGAAAAATAATTCCGAGAAAGCCGTCGTCATTTAGGAACGACGACGGCTTTTTCGGAATCCTAGCAATTCCTAACTTTAAGTTCTTTTTCACTGACAAAATTACGCCGATGGGACCCTATCTCGTGACCAACGGAACTATATGGTACAGTTTAAAATATGACAGAATTAATTTAATCTTAACAGTATATTAATATTCAATATAGCGTGAAAAATAACGTGGAAAAAGCAGTCGTCATTTCATGTTGCGGCGGGACTCGAACTCAAATAAATAACTAAATAAAACACTAACGGTTTAAAACGCGATATATTCGACAGTCTCCCCGTGACCACGGCTGCTGCAAAGCATCCGAAACGTCGGGCCAAAGTTAAAAATAATTTTCAAATAAGTTTAACTAATATATCGCGTTTTAAACCGTTAAAGTGTTTTATTTTAAAGGCAATCTTTATTAACTTGTTGCTAATCTACCTTCATGATTGTGTACAAGTCAGTCTCCAGTAACATCATGAGGACTTGGGTCTCGGGGTCTCCGAAGCGACAGTTGAATTCCAGCGTCATTGGACCCGATTTTGTGACCATCATTCCAGCGTACAGAACACCTGGACAATAAAATGAAATTAATTGAATTAAATGAAATTAAACAAAATATTTGTTAGTCGTTCCAGAAGCGGTGGCCTCTAAAAATCGAAAGTTTACCACAAACTCTGTTCGCCGAGTGGCTCATGTTTTAAGAGCTGCCATCGTTAAATTTAAGGTTAATTTAGTTTATAGTTTGTTGTTCTGTGTGCAACTTTCACAATCATTCTTATTTATTAATAGACATATCGAAGATTCGCCCGGCTCCCGTATCAACAGATGAAAAGCCGTGAAATTTATACGCGCTTCAGAACACCCAAAGCCAAAATATATATTTATAAAAAAAAATGTAGTTTGTTACAGACTGTCTTAAATTAAAATCTGCAACTAGCGCCATCTCTTTTGTCGTAGTTGACATTTGCGAAAATGAGTTCTTACAGAACGGACTTACGATGTGCCATTATATACTACGAGTTTTAAACGGATGACTCCGTTTTATTTAAATGTGCGTCACCTACAAACTTCTGTACCTATTGTTTACTTAGCACAGCACCCTTCGTGCAAGAGTCCAACTCGCACTTGGCCGCTTTTAGGACACGGAAGACGCGAAGCCTTGACATTGTAACAACATTACGTACATCTATTAATTTAAATGATGTAACTTACATCAACATTTTGTTCAAAACAACATAACGCAAGTACAATAATCGTTTAATGTGACATCAACACAAATTCGACCTTATATCCCAGACAATACGACCTATCAATCATCTTGTAACGATTGTTTGTCAATTGTTATCATTGTTTATGATAGAAGTTATGTGTAACGTCCTATTCCGTGAAACAGAAAATGTGAGACGAATAAAATCTATACTAATATATAAAGCTGAAGAGTTTGTTTGTTTGAACGCGCTAATCTCAGGAACTACTGGTTCGAATTGTGCATTGGGCATACAATATCACGCTGCCACCAATAGGAGCGAAAAAAAAATAGGAAAAAGTGGGAAAAAACGGGAAAAATTCCTAATCTTTGAGTGCCGTTGTGTACGCTGCGAATATCGGTGCTAGGGACTAAAGGGAAGGGGTTTGTAAAAGCAAAATTTGATGTCCAAAATAACTATGATCTAACTTAGCGCCCCAAGTCGGAGATTTGACCCCCGTGACTTATTTATCTATCAAAGCGTTTGATATCTAAAACAAATAACAATAATCAGTAGAGGCATAGGTTATTGACATACGCGCAACGGCACACCCGCAAATCGCCAATTGACGTGAGGACTTGTTTTTGACGGGCACGTCGGGTCAATGAGGGTTCAATCAATGGTAAAAGCCCAATTTCTTAAACTGTCCGTCTATCAGCAACATTATTTTGACAAATAGAACTTCAATAGAAGGAAGTGGTAAATGTGGAATAAATGGGGAAATTTGCCATCTTTGGGGGGTAAAGTTGCGTGCGCTGCGAAAACGGTTCAAGATATCTAATATAATTTTGGACTTCTGAACATCTAGAAAATAAATAGGTTTTAAGATTATCGAAATTCCGTATGAACTGTTCATCCATGAAAAAGCCGCTAAGTTCGGTAGATTCGTCTTCAGTCTGCGGATTTCCGTATGTACCAAACCAATAGGTCGATAGCGCATCTTGTTTAGATGTTACAAACACCGCCTATTTTACTGATGAACTATTTCACATACAACTAGTTGGTCTGATGTCTGTGCCCTGCCCGAGCGAAACATTTTATTTTCTCAGAATCTCTAGTATTTATTGCTAGGCGTTTAGACAATTAAATATGCAGATGTACCAATCCAATATACATTTTGTATATAGATTGAAATGTTTAAATAAACCACTTTAAAGGTTTAAAACGCGATATATTTTAGTTGAACTTGTTTGAAAATTATTTTTAACTACCTAACTAGGCCCGACGTTTCGGATGCTTTGCAGCCGTCGTCACGGGGAGACACGGGGGAGGAGTTTTAAACCGTTAAACTGGTTTGTTTAAATGTGTACTACTCGCGTAAACTACAGACAGTATTTAGATTGAGAAGTACAATCAGAGAGTAAATTATGTTAGTACAGTCGCGAAGAAAATTAATGTCTCCAGATAGTCAACCCTTGATAAGCTGTAATTGCTCTCTCGTGCCATAAACAAGATTTTATTACTGCATATATAACTAGGTGTGCCCGCGACCTCGACCGTGTAGAATTGTATGCATCAAAATTTTTAATTTCATGAAGAATAATTCTTTCATTAAAACTTTTTTGGGCATCTTGAACCGTTTTCGCAGCCCACGCAACGGAATCCCACAAATATAAATAATATTCCTCATTTATTCTACAACTTTCGTTGTTGCTACGCTCCCATTGGTTGCAGCGTCATATTTTATAGCCCGCAGCCTTCCTCGATAAATGGTCCTACCGACACATTATCAATCTTTCAATATGTACCAGTAGTTCCTGAGATAACCGCGTTCAAACAAACAAACTTTTCAGCTTTATAATATGAATTGTATAGAAGTATAGATAGGCGTAGATGTTAGAAAACTTATGAAAATGGTCTTGCTGTTAGACCGACCATGCACTTCTAGAAGTAGGGTTCCGTTTTTAAACTAACTTACGGAACCCTGAAAAAAAGTATACATCAATGAAAGGTCAAAGCAAAAATAAAGCAAATTCAATTTGCGTTCATCGCAAACAAATCAAATCTGTGGAAAATTTTTCACTAAAACCCGATAACCCTCGCTTCGTCACTATTTCGCGAACTTTCAGCGATAAAACGAGAAATAATTACTTACATCATTTGGAAATATCTTTTGATGTATACAGCAATTTCTTATGCAATAATAAAGCTCAATTAAATAAAGAAACATCTAAAACATGCTTAAATGCGAGTAGTACATTTTTTAAATAAAAACAGGATATATATTAGTTACACTTACTAATATCGGATGTTTGGCAGCAGCCGTGGCCACAGGGCTCCGAAACATCGGGCCGTAGTTAAAATAATTTTCAAATAAGTTAAACTAATATATATCGCATTTTAAACCGTTAAAGTGTTTTAATCAAATACTAAGTATATCAGCGACTTCGTCCGCATAGAATTTATATTAATAAAAACTATTATATTAATTAAAATTTTGGGCATCCAAATTTGTTTTTGCAAACCTCTTCTTAATAAATTTAAGCTGTCCACGACATCGGTCGCGTCCCATCGTTCTTGCAAGTTAATCTCAAAAGATAGACATATAGTGCCGCATTCATATTTTTAGATTATTGAATGAAGTATAATTCTTCCATACATATTTTTTGGGTGAACCGTTTTCGCAGCGTACTCATCTGAAACCCACGGAGATGAAAAATTTTCTCCCGTTTTGTTCACATTTCCCGCTGTATCTCCGCTTCTATCAGCGCGATGTTTTATAGACTATAGCCTATATCCTCGATCAATACTCTTAGCAACACAAAAATATTTTTTCAATTCGAACGCGTAGTTCCTGAGATTAGCGCGTTCAAACGAACAAACTCTTCAGCTTTATATATTAGTATTAGTATAGAAGTATAGATAGATCGCTATTCTAGTGATATTCTCTTTCTTTACACCCAAATAATGTGTTGTATTCGCATATTTCTCAAAGCGACGTTAAAATCTAGTAAAAGTACATACGAGTAGAAAATACGACACAAAACTGCTTTCTAGAAATGTTTATAATAATATCTATGATTAATTGATCTGGTTATAACTCGGTCAGATGTTTACAATCGAAACCAAATAAAACCTGTCAATTCTCGATTAATTACTAGCGTGACTAACTTGTTTTGTTTACGACAGAGAGCTGATAATAGTAAGATCTAGATAGGATGTGCCGTCGCCCTATTACGTTACACAAAATAATGTTACGTATTGTCTAGATTTTAGCCTGCCTTACTAAACATAGCTGAAGACAAAAAGGCTAATTTGGTTCGCGTATTGGTTTCTGTGCCTAAGCTACTGAAGCGACTATCAAACAGTTGGTAAACGATTTGTTAACATGGGTAACACCGGTATTTTAAATATAGTTTATTTAAAAAAATCTGAATTAAACAGAGTGTTCAATATTGTCTATAGTTTAGGCGAGTAGTACACATTTAAATAAAACACTTTAACGGTAAAATCATTTTCAAATAAGTTTAACTAATATATCGCATTTTAAACCGTTATAGTGTTTTATTTACAAGAGCGTTTAATATCATAAAAATATACGTAGATAATTCATATACTAATTATATTGTTTAAGTTAAGAAATTTGTTAAACTGCGCATGCGCAGGTATTACGTCAACAGGGGTCATCTATTCTAGTATTATAAAGATGTAGAAATCTACAATCTACACATCTAATGGAACTCAAAAACGACCGTGTCGAATCTATACTAATATTATAAAGCTAACTAGTTTGTTTGATTGAACGCGCTAATCTCAGGAGGAGGTACGAATTAAAAAACGGATTCATACGTCATTATTATTAAACTCGACGTTTCGAAGGCTTTGCAGCGATCGTGCCTGAGTAGGACGTCTACCTTCCATTGTCGTTGGCTTTGCTTACATCCCACCCCTATGTAAATGTCAAACTAGAGAAGTTTGATCTTTTCATTTTAACGTTTGTAGTTTAAACTATGTGAATTTGAGATTGTTTCATTGTTTTAATATATAATTGAGTGTCTCAAAGTGTTTTAACGTTTATCTATGTAAACCTTCTGATTTCACGACTTTACGTAAATTGTGTGTTTGCTTACCAAAAATGACAAGTTAGAAAAAAATACACTGTGGACTCACCGACATATTTTATCCCTTCTGCCTTTAAACCGTCAACAGCCCGTTGAATGACCTGTTCTTTGACGTCCGCCAGCTGTTCAGGGGTGATTAGGGGGCAGGGGCAATACGCTCCCATGCCCCCGGTATTAGGACCTGTATCCCCATCTCCGATACGCTTATGGTCTTGGGAGGGGGGGCATCAAGGAGACTGTTTCGCCATCTGTGAAGGCCAGCACCTGAAATTAAATTTATATATCCATCTAAAATGCTAAAATAAACATACAAAGGACTAACAGAAACAAATCAAACAATTACAACGGTTTAAAACGGGTAATTATATAAATTACACTATGTATGACTACGATCGCATTTGAAAGATGTTTTACAGAAATCACGTGGGCGTACCTAATTATTTAAAGTATATATTTCGCGTTTTCAACGCTAAAGACAATTTTTTTTTATTTCGTGTATGTAAAATGCAGACAATATTATGAAAGACAAAATTTTACTTAATTTGAGAAGTTTTTTTTTGATGAATTTAAGTAAATATTATTTAAGTTAAGATTCACGTGCTTATGTTTAAGATCGGGATTAGACAAGTATTAAGGATCACTTGTTGAAGGGCGAATATATATGATAACATTTAAATGATGCGCTGTCGCCCTTTTTTGTCAAGAATATTTTGGAAATTCACAGACTCAAACCGATTACACGAATTTTTTATCTGTGGTTGGTGAATACGGAATTTCGATATTTTTACAACCCTTCTTTAAAGACAGGGCTGCCTGGCAGTGACATGAATTGCTCCTTAGGTCATTAGATTCACAAAAATATATCAATTGTAAGACATGTTGAAAAAAGCCTTAGTTATGAGTTACTTGGGTGTTCTTCTCAGTTATGTTGCTCTTTTGAACATCCTGTAGAGTCGCGACGAACGGACAGACAAACATGTTATTTAATAGATACTGTAAATAGTTTACGCGAGTAGTTCACATTTAAATAAAACACTTTAACGGTTTAAAACGCGATATATTAGTTAAACTGCTGCAAAGCATCCGAAACGCGTCCGAATCGCGTTTTAAACCGTTAAAGTGTTTTATTTAAATGTTATTTAATATTTTTTTGACGAATCTAAATAATTTTTATAATTTTACAAAGACCAAAGTATATTTTATTCTTATTTTATTTTATTTGGATTTTTCCGGAGCAGTTATTGAGTTTCAGAACAATTTTTAGCAATATGCTAAGCCCGTTAAACGTCGGATTCAAAACTACTTGTTGATTACACATAGAATTACAAAAAATACAATTAAAAACCAACAGAAGGTATTGAATAAATAACGATAAGCAACCGGTTTATTGCGCCAGTCACAATTCCACGATAATAAACAAAATAGTTATCGGGTCGTACCCAACAATCAACGGGTCGAGGGTTCGAACCCCACGGGGTGCAGCGAAATTCGAATCAAATTGTACTTTTTTTGTAACATGTTGGTCTTCGTCTGGAAATTTGGATACTAAATGGTTGGTAGGAACATTGGAATTCCGCCTGGATCACGAACCAACGTACTCAGATGGAAAAGCCGTGAGATTTAATCGCGTTTCGGTTACAATCTGTAGACATCTGGATATTCAAAGACAAAATAGGTCGGCGACGAACTTTATATACCGCTTATATTTATTTATTTACACACACACACATATATGCTACCATTACAGATATAATCCAATTCGACAGTAATACACCCCCCCCGCCCCCGTGACCACTGTCGGGCCGTAAACAATAATTTGTAAACAAGTTTAACTAATTATGTTCATACGTGTATTTAAAGTATTTGCTATTTACAATATCCCGTGACAGCGTCAACACTTGTTTAGATGTGTTGTGTCTGTCTTTTTCGTATCAGAATAAATAAGTAATACTATTTCACGGTTTCAAACCGTTAAGTATTTTTAATTTATATACACAAGCGCTGTGCATATTTATAAGTTAGGTACATAAGAATTATTCCTACTGTAAGTATTATTTATTAAGTTACGTATTAGATATAAGTTTGTGTACCAAGTAAGTAGGGCTTATCTATACTAATATACAATGCTAAAGAGATTGTTTGTTTAAATAAAACACTTTAACGGTTTAAAACGCGATATATTAGTTAAACTTAGTTGAAAATTATTTTTGACTTCGGCCTTTGGTGCAATATATCGCGTTTTAAACCGTTAAAGACTTTTATTTAAATTTGTACTACTCGCGTAAACTATAGACAGATAGTTTGTTTGTTTGAACGAGCTAATCTAAGGAACTACGGGTTCGAATTGAAAATTTTTTTTTGTGTTGGTTAGAGGAAGGCTATAGGCTATAAAACATTGCTCTGTGACTAATAGAAGCGAAGATACAGCGGGAAATGTGAACAAACAAAAAAAAAATGTCCGCGGCGCTATATGTCTATCTTTTAAGATTAACTTGCAAGGACGACGGGACCGAACGATGTCGATGTCGGATAGCAGTTTAAATTTATAAGATGAAAGCAAGGTTTACAAAAACAAATTCGGATGTCCAAAATAACTATTCCACGCGGACGAAGTCGTTGACACAGCTAGTTAAATTATATACGGAACCTTAACATTACTCCATAATTTTTACACACTGTTTACGACCGTGTCTTATCAAGACCCCAGTGTACAACAAATATGGTAATCTTGACCTGTTCTAATGATAATTATTTTTTCATCATTATTGTGATATTTTCGGCCACGTTGATGTGAGAAAAAAAATTGAATTCAGCTACCGTGCCTTGGTTAAAGCAACGCGAAACGCTGTGGGTGCCGGTTCAAGTCCTGCCCGAGTCACATGTGAAAAACTTTACCATCAAAACAAATTAACATTACCAAATTTTGCTCGGTTTCACTCTGCAGATTTCCGAATCGTAAAAAAAAAAAAAGGGGGCCCCCCCCCCTTTTAAAAACCCCCCCCCCCAAAAAAAAAAAAAAAAGGGGGGGGGGGGGCCCTTTTTTTTTTCCCTTTTGGAAAAAAAGTTTTTTTTTTTTTTTTGTCAATATTAGATATGCGCATGCACCGTAAAATGTAATAATTTTCGTAATCCAAGCGGTATGCGTGTCGACAATCGGTATTGGCTTTAAATTAGTTTTTATCGATCAACATAATATTATATACGTGGTACAAATAAATAGTACTGTAATGATTTGTACATAAAGATTATTTTCCCTTGCAGTGCAAGCAATTAAATATTGTCTGCAGTCAACAGTTGTACATAAATTAAACAAAACACTTTTAACGGTTTGATAAAAAACTTTTGGATTTTTTTTTTTGGCTTGACTAATTCGTATTGTGTTCCTATGGAGCCACGAATACTAACCGGGCGTTTTGTTCTGTTTGCGGCTAGACCAAGGGTGCCCCGAGGGGGGCATCGGCCTGGGCTTGGACCGCCGCAATGCGGGTGGGAGCTTGAAGAGCTGGACGGAAGCTCACCCGGGTGAGCGGTACGCGTATGAACGACCTCTAACGCCGGATCGTAGGCGGTTTTGCGGGCAGGATCGGCACCTGTGTCGGCCGATAGCGGCAATCTATTTGGCGTTTTAATCCGTTAAAAGTGTTTTATTTAGATGTATTTTTTACTGCTATACCGTGTATAACTGTATAGCCCAAAACTTCAAATCGAAAATAAATTGAAAAAATTTTCGACTCGGGCAGGACTGTCCTGCCCGAGTCGAAAATTTTTCAATTTATTTTCGATTTTTAAATTATATAGTGCCTTCATGTGGAATAACATGTGAAAAATATTAATGTTTTCAAGCCCAAAACTTGTATACTTATAAATTACTACTACACTTATAAATTGAAAATCTATTTGGATTGTAAAAGTGCACTGGCAGAAATTCAACCGGCATTCACAGCATTCCAATTGTTGTTTGCAACGCTATGGATGCCGTTTCCCCGGGTTTAATCAATTTTTGACTAAATAAATTTGTAATTTATACAAATTATTAAGTCCAAATGTTTTCAAAAAAAGAAAATTAAACGGCCCAAAAAAATTATGAATACTCAAATCTCTCACCGAAACTTCATCACCCTCAAGCAACTCTTCAACAATGACCGTCTGACCAGCACTACCATATTTAGCATCTGTCAGGATCTCATCAACCGCTGCGCATGCCTCCTCTTTGCTGGATGCGACGACCACACCTTTACCAGCAGCCAAGCCTGACGCTTTAACCACTAATGCTGGGAACGGTGCACTAAAAAATAAATTCACACCATTATTATGATTATTATATCACACTACTATTACTAAATAAGTTCTACTTGGGATTTGAATTCCGGAACCTCTTCAAAAACATGTTTGTTTACTAGAAATAAAGACTACTAAAAATATTTCGGGTTAGTTTACGGGGGGGGGTGGCCCATCTTGGCTAGGAAAGTCGCAAATCTACTGACTGAAAACGAAACGCGAAAATTCACGGCTCCTTTCTCTGGATCTGTCTTTTACCCGGACAGAGTATAAGTATTGTCTGTTGTTTATGCGAATAGCATGAATTAAAGTAAAACAATTTAACGGTTCAATACGCGAAATGTATTAGTTAACTTATTTACAAATTATTTTAACGACATGGCACGTCCGCTCGTGACCACGGCTGTTCTGAGGCATCAGAAATTTTTGGCCATAGTCAAAAGAAATTGTTAATAAGTTAACTAATATATTTCGCGTTTTGAACCGTTCAGCTTTTTATTTAAATATTTACTAGGTCCGTTCCTCACTTTTTGATAAATTCCTTAGCTGCATCAGCATTATTGAACGACTGGTATCTTGCTGTTGGGATTTGGTACTTTGTCATGAACTTCTTCGCCCAATCTTTGTTCGCTTCTATTTCTGCACCGGCTTTTGTTGGGCCAAAGCATTTAATGCCTTGGGGAGACAGTGCATCGACTATGCCGTTTGCTAGTGGGTCTTCAGGTCCTACAACTACTAAGTCAATGTTCTTCTCTTTACACCATAATGCTATTGCCTATAAGAAAAAAAAAACAATTCCTTTATATATGTTTAAAGAAAATGAAAATTAAAGTTAATCAAATAGTTTATTTAAAGAAATGATTATTAAGCAAACGTAAACAGAATTTTAATCACATAGTAACTAATTTGCGTCTTTATCTAGAACCGTTGGTTCAAAGTTTATCATTAGTAGGTGACTGTTTTCTACAAGAATATTTCACATTTTATTTGTAGAAATTGCATCAAACTATTACAATCCTACAGCTGGGCCAAGGTCTTTGGTCTCATAAGACAGATGGTTAAAAGAGACCCAGAGCTTCTCCAATGCGGGTGGGCGACGTTGACAGGTCTATTGTAACTTAATTATCAATGATAACTAAGACTAAAAGCTCTTGAAAGGCATGTTGTTCCTCCTACTTTGAAAATCTAGGCTGATACTTGGGATTTTCTTAAGCTAAATCCAGACCACCTTCTATCTATACCTTACAAACACTTCACCTGACCGGGGCTTTGAAATGGGAACCTCGCGAAATCAAGTTTACTAACTACTGGATCAATGAGGCAATAGTGTAGGATTATATGATAAGATAATTATTTGTAACCTACCCTTATTTATACTTTTAATTTTTACTTATAATGTATATTTTAATCTTTATTACATTTAGTTAAATTTGTACACACTTTTAAGTTAGATACATAAGTAGTAAGAACTGTTATTAGAGATTGATTTTGTTTAATTATGTATGTAGTTGGTAAGCCTTGTATAAATAATAAATTCAAATCTCATTACGACTTTAGACCAAAAAATTAAGAGGCAATTTCGGTATGTTTAAACAAAACACTAACGGTTTAACTAATATATATCGCGTTTTAAACCGTTAAATTGTTTTATACAGATGTGTACTCGCGTAAACTACAGACAGTATTAAATTTCAGTATAGTTAACCAATTACACGAGGTAACTTTTACCAGAAAAAATATTTGTTAATTTTCTGTAAACAGACCTCGAATATTTAGCAATTAATAACAAATCTAATGAGAAACTTACAGGAAAGTCTTTGAGATTGAGGTCGACACTTTCCACTTTAATATTGCTAGAAATACCAATGCTACCGGGGGCGCAATATATTTGTTTTATATGTGGCGAATTAGCTAGTTTCCAACATAGGGCATGCTCTCGGCCACCGCTTCCAATAACGAGGACATTGTTAGACATATTTCTGTGGCAAACTATTTATTTTAATCGAAATCCACTAGTAATACTTATATACTTGAAATATGTTAGTTATAAAAATATCTTTAAAAAAGAAAGTTGAAAACAATCATGAACACTACCAAACACAACACACGTTAAACTTCAATTGACGTTTGGAAATACGAATAATATAGCTAGATAAATGTTTGACCGAAGGTCAAGTTTTACCGAAGCCGGCTTATAAGCGTCGCAAGCGAAGCCGAAGTTCAAGTGGGACTTTTAACTAATGGTTAATTATTCATGTAGTTATTATATTATGAGGTTTATATGGAGTTGAGTAAATGATGTGCCAGGGTGACCGACATTAGATCAAGTAACAAGGCGTTATGCTACGAAGTCATTTACTGGCACTTACAGATATCATTTAGAATAAGAGCGCTATTAAACAACTAATATGTTTTATGTATAATAGTGATTTGTTTTACGAGTATCACGCGATAATTTTAAGAAATTAGTTTTAAGCCGAATTTTTTGTAGAGTTCTGGTCGAAGCCGAAGCACCGGAGGTACGTTTGAAAGATATGTTGCAAATAAGTTTGTGTTTGTGATAGGATTATAAGTGACAGAAAATATGTAACAATCATTATTAATGAATTTATTGCGAAAATGTATAAACGCTGTATTAAAATATTTAATTTTTACAAAAAATGTTATAAATATCAAATTAGGAGTCTGCATCATGTTTGACAAATTGACAAGTATCAAATCAAATATGGCGTAATCATTCTACTTGTCATTTCGCTGTAATGGTGATGTTAGTTCGTTGTGCAAAAATATAACCGAATTAGTTCGTAATAAAATGGCTGACACAGGACTGAGAATGAATTTTGCCGCACTCAAGAGAGCGGATCCATACGCGAAGGAGATAATTGACAGCGCGACCCATGTTGCGCTGTACACCTTCGAAGAGAACGAATGGGAGAAGACCAACATTGAAGGTGCTTTGTTTGTGTACAGTAGAAATGGGGAACCGTACCACAGTTTAGTAATTATGAACAGGTTGAACACGAACAATTTGATCGAGCCCGTCTCTAAAGGAATCGAACTACAATTGAAAGAACCGTTCCTATTGTATAGAAACGCCAAATGTCGCATTTACGGTATATGGTTTTACGATAAAGAGGAGTGTATACGAGTCGCGACTAAACTCAACTCTTTAGTGAAAGAATCAATGAAAATGCCTAACGAAATGCCGCAGACTCCATCATACAGTGCTCCGGCGAAATCGGACGCTGTCGACATTTTTAGCATGTTGAGTAAGGCGCAAGATGATTTTAATTTGAACAAAAGCGGTATGCCGGGGAAGCCCGATTCAATCCCTCGAGCGCCGGATATGACATCTCAAAGTGTTATGGATTTCTTTGCGAAGGCTGGTAGCGGAGCAGCGGCCCAAATGCCAGCTGTTTCGTCCCTTCCATCCCCTGGCATATTTGGACCCAGACCTAATGACGCTAGAGAAGCTCCTTTGTTACTACAAAGATTGATGAGCAACCCGGCTCATTCAGTTGAACACATAGAAAAGCAACAAAGATCAGTTACTCCTCAGGATGCTCACTCTACTAATGGGAATATTTCAATTGAACCCATGTGTCAGAATCCTGCGTTCCAATTGAAGTCGACACCAATTGAAAAGCGATCCCATCAGAGAATATCGGAGATGAAAAATATTCAACATATTGAAGGTGACATCAATGGGCCTAATCCATTGGAGGTGGAGTTAAACTTAATGCATATTTCATCACAAAAGCCATCATCGCCATTAGCCACATACCTGAATCAATCTCAAGAGTCTTATAATGGTGGTAAATTAGAGGAAATAGGTATTAACCACCTTATGAATCCTTTCCCCAACCAGCCAAAGCCTGCTTTGATGCCGCCAACCATGTTTACTGCAACAGCGGGATGCGAGATCCAGTCTACCCCAGAACCCCTTACAAGGAATCAACTACTGCAAGCCTTTAATTACTTACTTAAACACGACGCTGACTTCGTAAATAAGTTACACGAGGCCTATGTTAAATCCTTTTCAGAAAAAGATTATTCTGTTTCATAACTTCTTTCGTTCGTAAGCTTTTGACATTATCGGTTCTGTACAGTTTATAAATTTGGAAATCCTCAAAAACGCTGTGTATATCCACTAGTTTAGTAAAATTTTTGAACAAAAGTAATTTTGAAATAAGTTATTAACGTTTGACTGTGTTATGATCTGTACATACAAACCGTGTTAATGACTCTAAACTAAATGTTTGTAACTTGGACAAAACATAAATACTGATGTTGAATTGAGATGCTATCATTAGCATTATAAACATATTGCTAATCGACGGAGATGGTTCAGATCAGCTGAGCTGTGCTTAGAAGCCAGAGGCGTGCTTAGTTTCAAGTTACATTATGTAACCCAGTGCGTATTCAGATTTACATTCTCATTTTGCCTGTAAACAATTATTGAGGAATAAAATTCGTTTGACATAATATACTTAAATATAAGCCATTACATTGAATGTTCGGATAAGGAGATCTTTTTAACTATTATTATTTTTCTATTGTATTCTAGAAACTTTTATGATCTTTAGACGTTTGAACATCATTATTAATGGTTTTAGTAGTAGATTACTTCTGGTCAGAACTGCTGTAATCTTTTAGACTGACTTCTTGATTCAGCCTCTTAAAGTACATATCTTCTTTGTTTAGACAGTACCTACAGGAGCATAGTATATGAATTGTTACGACATTATGTTTACATTAAATTACGCATGCAAAATGAAATATAATTTACACAAATAAAATTACAGACATGCTCCTAGAAATTGACAACTGTTTGGATTCATTTACAAAATGTCACACAAAAATCTCAAATTAAATAGTTCTGGAATGTATCGAAAATGGTTTCATTTTGTGTCCATATTCTGCCCCATCGTGTTTGTTTACAGACCAGTGGGTTGGAACACAACCAAGGAGGGGATTGGGGGGGTAAATTGTATGTCTTGTGTCCCTAAAAATAAATAAATAATAATATGTATTTAGATAAATAATTACTTTTAAAAAGAAACAAAATCAATGTTTTAAATCGATCTTTAATTGTAATATTACAAATCGCTTTGAACTTTGAACGACCAGTTGAGACTTGAATCGAAGGATTGAACACTTACACTTTTCCACTTACAAGTGAAAGAGAAGTCATTCCAAGTAATCAAACTTATAACAAGTGTTTAGTAATAATTTTGTAGAAGTTAAACACAACAGTTTTTTAATATTGTTGAAAATTTACATTAGGTGGCAACACTAACAATAAGATTAATTGAAATGACTTTATGTACAATTGTCTAATTTAGGGCAACATTAGTTATATAGACGCTCTCTCTTTCTATAAAGTACTTCGCCAATAGATTCTCAACGGGGAGAAAAATCTCACTTTAGTCATTCACCCTGTATAAGAAAACAGTGTATTGATATACTAAAGGAAAAACTATTTACATTACAAAAATCGGTTTATTATACAGTGCACTCTGTGAAAGATGTAAAAAAACCTTACAGCCGCTGTAAAACACGAAAATCCGTTTTCATCATGAAACGAAGGTAGTTTACTAACAATATCATCTATGTATAAAAAGTACTAGATACACATTAAATACAGGAACTGAAACGTATTCTGGCAATAAAACGTTCCTATTTACCAGAAAAAAAACCTATTCTCTTGGCTATTTTATAACAAACTCCAATACAAAGTGGATGTTTTGAAAACAAACTTTCAAAAATACTAAAGGGAATTTAGACCAATTGTTATTTAAAAAAATACAGAAGTATATTTAACTAGATGCTTAGTACCATAAGCTATTAACATATTTGGCTTAAAAAAATGATGATGAATTATTTCAAATCTCGAAATAGTTTGTAATGAAATTTTATCATTACTAATAGTGTTCATTATATCGAATGAAAAAACCCTTTAATTTTTATCATTAGATAAATGAAAAACATATTTGGAGATTTGAAACAATATGTTTGGAAAGCAATATATTTATTCCTTCACAACTCTGTGGTCCACCTCGAGTTGTGTACCAAAGACAATATAGAGGTAACATTATAACATCTATGTCTATCAACAACGCTTTTTAATTTACAAAAAAAGGGGGGTAGTCACAGATTACCAGCAACATCAATTATAGTAGTATGTTTGTCGTTGTAGAAAATTTATAATGACATTCTGAATTTTATAACATCTATAGTTTACGCGAGTAGTACACATTTTAATAAAACACTTTAATAGTTTAAAACGCGATATATTAGTTAAACTTATTTGAAAATGATTTTGATGATGTTACCCCGTGACCACGGCTGCTGCAAAGCATCCGAAACGTCGGGCCGAAGTTAAAAATCATTTTCAAATAAGTTTGACTAATATATCGCGTTTTAAACCGTTTAAATGTTTTATTTTAATCCTGAACGTTACTAAGAAATTATTTTTCTGTAAATTTTCAAAATATCACACTCATACGCACAAAAATTAAAAAGCGCCGCTCATAAGACAAATCTACAAACTCATTCGGTTTATTTGTACATAGTTTTCATAGTATACAACTATTGTCCTTATTTCGCGACACACTATGGCTGAAGCTAGGAGTATTATGAAAAATAAAACTACCCACACAATTTAGCTTGAAAAAAAAAAGTATTTCTAAAATTACTAACACAAAATTTTAACTAAAGTACGAAAAAGTAGGGTATGTTGGATGCAGGTACGTTGGGCAAGTACCTCCACTTAGCGAAATCTAAAGTTCCTCCTTGTGACGTCACGTCATAGTGTGTCGGTAGCGATTTTCAGCGCTACTGCTTTGAACTTAACGTTTAAAATGACTTAATTCATTGCAATCTCACAGTAATCTACCGGAAACGTGAACCTGTCTAAGATTCATTCTTCATTCGGCTAGACAATGTTTCAATGGCTTAAAACAAATTTAACTAGCTATCCACATTTTTTAGTGAAAATAATCCCGTAGTTATCAACCATTTACATTGGTCCCACGGGTGGGACACCATTCCATGATGAAGCCTGAACACGAAAATATATGAAAAGGGATAAGCTTCTTTACCCTGAATGAAATATGACAAGTTTTCGAAGAAATCTTGAAGTTATGAATCTAAAGATTTCTCATTAACTAAGTTGTCTCTCTCAACATTGTACGTACATACTTGAAGGCCATATTCTAAATATAATCAAATATTTATTTCGACTTTGTAAGGCGGTATAGTAATAAGAATCCCATTTTGTTTCTTTTGAAGAACGTACTCTGACCGAATAGTGGTGTACATCAAAAAATTTTATAAATTAAATAAAAAACGACTATAAACACAGAAACATCCAAAAGAGGGGGGGGGGGGTTTGTTAAAGGTTCAGGTGGGACAACTACCTTCTTATATTGGACCAAACGGAATCATTCGAATTTAGAAAAGGAAAGCCTAAAAGTTTGGCTACTCAAGAAGTTATTGTGGGTAGGTTTATAAAAAGCCCGAAAATTGAATACGCCCTTGGCAACACCGCCTTTACAACACTTCACTGTCAATGTTGTCATGATGATTTTTAACCAATTCACTATAGAATCACTGTTTAATCTAAACAGTCCGACACATTCCAAACATAGATTGATCGATTATCCCGCGATCGCGCGGAACACACAAGAACAGCAACGGTGGGTGTTTTTGAAACTACCCGCACTCCTACGAAACGTAGGTGAAATAATAATCCTAATTACATTACAGACTAATCACTGTTTATTTAAAACAAACCTTAAAAAAACATTATTCAACTATATTAACTCTATATGTATATTTGAATAGAAGCGCTGTAGGGCCTAACAAGTGAAAAAATAATAATAAATACGTTCCGGAAGCGCTTTCACTTCCTTAATTTGTACAAAAAGCTGGTTCACATCTGAAAAGATAGATTTCAATAAGTTTACGCTACTGAGGAATAAAGCTGGAAAAATCTCCCAACTCTTATTGGGGCTCTCGTGACAGGAGATACTATAAGACGTCTGGCATATATTTCGCGTTTCGAACTGTAAAAACGGTACCGACTTTTCTATGAAGGCACCTAATACTTAAATTAACACCAAAATGTCCCAAAAATGCTTTTGAATTGAGGTATTTTTTTTGTGGCAAAACCTTTACTCTATAAAAAGTCATCACTATGGTTATATATATGTATATGGTTTAAAATCAACCATATTTTTTGTGGTCTTATGCCAAGTTAGAAAACATTCACTATGTTTTAATCCCCTGAGATCCCAATTCACCAGGTTTCACTGTATTAAATCGAAGGTCACCACATCTATTCAAGACCTATGCCCATTTTCTTTACTGATGGGATGAATGCACGCTCACGTCGGGCAATAGTAACGTGGAGGGTATGGTAAATCGTACAACAACTTCCTCGGAGACAAGAGGACCAGAACCAGTAAACACCACCAGCCGGCTATGTTGCTTTCGAAGGAGCCCTGAAATAGGCCCAGCAGTGGGACTGAAAGACTCACTCACCATAAGCATCGCTACCAGAGGCGGTGCAAGTGCAGATTGCGCGAGAGCACCGAGCGCACGTCGTGCGTGAACCGCAGCGCGTCCAGAACCGGCAGCAGGTTCAGCAGCGCCACGTCCAGGGGGTCGGAGAACCACGACTTTATTGGTATGGCGTTATCTGCAGAGACAATAGCATGTTTAACCAACGCCAGAATAGGTCGACCGCGTATCTTGTGTAGATGATATGTGAATGGGTTATTTCATCTTCCATCTCAGCATTTTCATCAAACTATACGCCTACATGGGCTAAAGATTTATAATTTACTAGCTGTTTCAGCGACTTCGTCCGCGTAGAATAGATATCTTTGACATCCAAATGTTTTGCAAACCTCCTTTTACCTTTTACCCATGACGTCGGTCCCGTTAGTTATTCTTAAAAGATAGACATATGGCGTGGCATACATATTTTAGAGTGATTCAAAGAGGAATCATTCTTTCATACATATTTTTTGGATATCTTGAGCCGGCTTGTAGTATAATTTTCCCCGTTTTTTCCACATTTCCCACTGTTTATTCGCTTCTATTTGTTACAGCCGGATGCTGGTAGCCTAAAGCCTTCTCGATAAATGCTCTAAATAACACTTTTTTTTTTATTCCTACCAGTAGTTTCTGAGTTGAGCGCGTTCAAACAAATAAACAAACTCTTCTAAAAAGCTTTATATACTAGTATAGGATTCAAACGTTAAACTCTGTAATTTCATCTTTAAACACAAACTTATTTCTCCCTTTCCCCCCAAAAGGTTTCCCCATCCCCTTCTGTCTGTGATAGTTTTACTTTAGGCAATGAGATAGTTTTGCCCTGTCTGACCGAATCTCCTACTACTATTTATGAATTTATAGATATAGTAGATATATCTCACCAGGAAAATCCCGGTACGCGCCGGGCGAATTGTCCAGAATGAATACCCTGTTCAGATCATCGCATATCGACGATAAATTCTTCGTATAGGAGCCGTGTTCTGGCGTGCAGTGCTGTCTGAAATGGATGATATACTGTATGTAGTTTACGCGAGTAGTACACATTTAAATAAAACACTTTAACGGTTTAAAACGCGATATATATTAGAATAAACTTATTATTATTTGCTAAATTATTGTTAAATATGCGCATGTTTAGGATGCTTTGCAGCAGACGTCTAAGTAAAAAATTGCTACGATAACGCCATCTCTTCCGTCGAAGTTGGTATTTGGCAAAACTGGCCGGGTCCTTGTAGAATTGACTAAGGTTGGGCTGTTTATTGGGATCCAGAGTTTTTAATAGTGGGACATCCCAGGTGTTTGATAATTTGAGGCCATCCTCCCTATTGAAATTTCGGCGTTTTTTAAATTTCGATCGCGTACGATCTTGGAAAAATCGACTTCTTTTTCAAATAAGATTAACTAATATATATCGCGTGTTAAACCGTTAAAGTGTTTTATTTAAAAAGAATCATTCTTTCATACATTTTTCGCCGCAAGCAACCCTCAAAGATAAATGATTTTCCACATTTGGAATATTTCATCTTCTATCTTACGAACCCCCCTACTTGCCTATCCTCCTTAAATATGCTAATTGGCATATGAATATTTCATTAGTAAATAAAACCTTATAAATAATCTTATATATTTACTTCTTATCAACCAAACAGTTCATTATAGATAACATTCTTTATCTATTGCAGTTGTACATTGCACACAATTCAAAATAAAATATCTGTGCTAACAATTGCAACTGATAAATCTATACTTATATATAAAGCTGAAGAGTTTGTTTGTTTGAACGCGCTAATCTCAGGAACTACGGGGGTGCGAATTGAAAAATTATTTTTATGTTGGTTAGAACATTTATCGAGGAAGCTGTAGGCTGTAAAACATAAATAGCTGCGAACAATAGAAGCGAAGATACAGCGTGAAAAGTGAACAAAAAGGGAGAAATTCTTCTCTCTGTGGGTTGATAACTAAAAAATATCTATCAAAGAATTACTCCTCTTTATATAATCTAAAAAAAAGTCGCGGCGACGCTATATGTCTATCTTTTAAGATTAACTTACAAGAACGACGGGAAGGGGCACGATCGACGCCATGACTAACAGCTTAGGTTCATAAAGATACAGGGTTGGCAAAACCTAATTTGGATGCTCAAAATAACGATTCTCGCGGACGAAGTTGCTGGCACAGCTAGTATACTATGTTTATGATATAGGAGATCAGGGACAAGCTTGATGTTACTTGAAATACCCGTCAGGTTTATCGCGTTACGCTTTCAGTATTTCGAATATCCAAAGCCAAAATAGGTCCACAACGCATTTTGCTAAGATTGCCATTAATAGGGGGCGACACACATTTCCCACTATGGGAAAAAAACGAGTTCTAGTTCATTTAAAGAGGAATATTTTTTTCATACATATTTTTTGAGTATTCCCGTTTTTTTTAAACATTTTCCACTGTTTGCTCGTTCCTATTAGTCACAGCGCAATGTTTTTTATATAGCCTTCCACGACAAATGCTTTAGTTAAAAAAAAATTTTTGAATTCGAACCAGTAGTTCCTGAGATTAGCGCATTTAAACAAACAAACCCTCCAGCTTTATATCTTACTATAGATAAGGACAAGGAAGGTTTGCAAAAATAACTATTCTAATTTCTAAGAGAACGAATTCACTGACACAGCTAGTTTATAATGATTTTAGTTACCTATAGAACCTCCGCCGTAAGATCCCCCGTCCGTTGTCAAGCTTATCAGCGACGGCTGCGCCATAGATCTCCATAGAAGCGGTGAACACCACCAGCTCATACCACTGTGATACCTGCAAAGGAATGTACCTCCTTACTGATTGAGTTTTGAAATACATTGTATCAAACACAAGTAGTCCCAGGTTCTAATCCACAAAAATAAAGTAGTTGTGCAGTGGGATGAAAGCGAACTGTATGTACAAAAGACGTGTGGAATTTGGGGCATGGGGCAAACACATTCGTGTCGTTTATTATATGGTTGTTTAACGGACTATTTTTTTTACAGGCAGTTATGTATTTAATAAAGCTTTAATACCCTGCTAAACCGAAGCAATTTCTCGATTCCCAGGATTCGAATCCATGTCAAACCTTAGTAACACAATGATTAGGTAAGGCCATTAAAATTCGTAGGCTAGCACAGACATAAATGTATCAAATATAATAAATTTACCAACTTTACTAATAAGAAAAATAATTAAAAAATTGGTGGCACAATAATTAAATGTGACGCCTAGTTGATGTATTGTTCGCAAGAGGTCTTAGGTTTGAATCTGGGGGATACAAACTTTGGTCGGGTAGTGACCCCGGGCTTTCTTTAAGCACCGTAGAGGGCTGGTGGTGTGTTTAGTGGTTCTGGTCGGCTATACGATTTACCACTCTCCCCACGTCACACTTGCACGACGTGGGCGTGCATTAGGCATTCACACCATCAGGTAATAAAAAAACTTAGTGAATCAAATATAGATTTTTCTTAGTAATCTCAACAATAACATTTTCAGAACTGGGATCGGAATCATGTACTCTGTTATCTGCAGTAAAGGGTCTTATTACACAAATAATAAAATTAAACGGAAGAGCTACTTACAATGTCCAAAAAGTAATCAACATGCGGTCGCTTGTGAACAAAAAATCTGACCGGATGTTTGTCTATCGTCACTTTGAGTACAAAATCTGGTGGTGTCCCCGGTTTGACTGTTGGCCGCAGCATTGCATCGTGGTGCGAATGTATTAGGGTTTCATCCAGGTCCAATACCAACATTTTTCTTTTGACCAAACCTGAAATTAAAATAATGGTACCTTTATATTATTCTTATTTCTTATGGAATATTATAGTCACCTTCATCAATAATTACATAAACAATGTTATTTATACTAGATTATACAATCGGCTGTTTAAATAAATCACTTTAACGGTTTAAAACGCGATCTAATTAGTTGTACTCATTAGGAGATCATTTTAACTATGGCCCAATGTTTCGGGTTTAATCAGTGTAATTTTTAAAATTTAAATAAAACACTTTAACAGGTTAAAACGCGATATATTAGTTAAACTTATTTGAAAATCATTTTCAATAATGGTTTTAAACCGTTAAAGGTTTTATTTAAATGTGCGCGTTAACTAAACATATTCAATGTATTTTTTTCAAACACTGGTATGAGACATTGTTTTGAAAATTGGATTTAAGTGGGTAGGAATACAAAAATTTCGTGTGTGATGAATCACAGACTATTGTGCATAGATTAAAAAGGCTTGTAGTCTAAGAGAGTGAGATTTCAGTCTATGGATTCCTAAATGTTTAAAGCAACAATGGGCTTACAAGGCCTCCTATTTAGAGATGCTTGGCTGTTCCTTGGGATAAAATAATTACTCTAAATATGTATTAGTAATTATATCTATAGAGACTACATAAAAACAATAGGCAGAGGAAACATCATTATAATAACAATTATACATGAATCATATTAATTATGAATAATATATAGAAATAATAATTTCCTTATTTGTCCTGCTATTGTATGTTTTGAAAGTAAGGATGGTATAATGTACTTTGGACTTGAAACTTTGAAGGGTGATAAGATTTTTAAAGATGAATTTTGGGGGGAGTCAATAAAAGTTGGATAACCTTTAGGGAATGGGATGAAATAGTCAGCTGTTAATAGGGATGGATTGCCATTTTTTTACTATGGCATAATGATTCGGATGTTTTGCAGCAGCTGTGGTCACGTGGTACGGCGGTCGTAGTTAAAATAAGTTTAACCTAAACATATCGCGTTTTAAAACCGTTAAAGTGTTTTACTTAAATAAATATATATCCTACTTTACACTTTTGTTATTTTTATTTTTGATTTTTATTTTTATGATTGGACTTGTAGTAATAAATTAGAATTAAGAATAGTTCATAATTTCTCTGTAAGTGATTTTGTAAATCTTAAGGGAAATAATCGTCTTAAACCATAAACCATATTAGTCAACAACTCGACATCAAATACCATTAAACAATAACCATTGAATGTTGATCAAAAAGGTGTCAGTTTAAACATAGAAATATGTTTTTTTTTATATCTACAAAAAAACCTGGCCAGTTGCGAGTAAGACTTGTATCGGATGGGTTCTGAATGATTTACTTGATTCACAACAGTAGGTCTGTTTTGTAGGTTATTGTTATTTCTAGGTAGGTACCTATTACCATTTATTGTTATCAAGCAATGATAGAAAAAAGTTGTATCTTTGTATTTCAGGCCCCCTTTAACATTAATTTTATTGTACTTCTAGCAACAACAAAAAATACATAATTTATGAAAAAATATCTGTCTTATAAGGGTATATTTTATTTATATTTTTCATATTTTTGGAAGTTCAAAAAAAAATACTGTAATTGTTTAATTCTAACTACTATTTTACTTATTATCTAAAAGGAGATAACAGCATTTCAGCCTAAGTAACACTGAACTTAAACTACTACGATTTAACCTTATCTAGTTGCAAGATTAACTCTTATCTTTGGAATCAAAATATTTACAGTAATCAAGTCACTACCTCCATATGGTAGATGGACTATGAATTCTAGTAAATGGTAGGTATTTCATAGTTTTTGCATATTCATAGGTATGTTTGGTAGTGACTACAGCCGTATCAACACTGTTGCCCTTGAAAGTGTAGAAGTACGCAATGATTATAACAGCGATAAATTATAAAAAAGATAACTTACTTAGCCTGTGTCTAGATACCGGAGAAAGTGGGTAAATCTCATACTTGACAGATTGATACTGAGCCAACTGAAAAATTAAACACCACGTGAGACACAGTTCGCAGCCATCAGCAACCGCACAAGATTAGCAGCAATTAATTTATATTTACCGCTCTGTACTGCTTTCTAAACATGTAACAAAAACAACTCCATACTTTGGATGCGAGTAGCATGAACGCGCGAAGGCCCATTTGCAGTTGTTTCAGCATTTGAAATGTTTACGAAACGATTATTGTTCTATAAGTATTGCTATCATTAACTAGGAGCGCGGCAAACGAGATCATTGACAGAGTTATTCAAAACAAATTCATGGGAACTCAGTGCCGAAAACATCTAACCCGCCATGACATAATCGACCCAAATCGCACACCATTGACAAGCTCCCACTTTCTTTTCCTCTTGTCTTTGTTTTACAACGCTACAGGTTATAAATTACAAAATATATTTTATTTATTAAAAAGATTACAGTAACATTTAATTGAAAATAGTTTAATAAATTGTAATTTTATTAGAAACAGCAAAGAAACATTGAACCCAAATTATATTTAATATTAAAAAATTAACAGTTTAAATTAGAGATACGCCGAGTACTCGGTACTCTGCGTACTCGGTGGGTTTCTTGATACTCGTAATGGGCCGAATCACTTTGTTATTGTTTTTTATTTGATTACGAATATACTTTGCTTAAGAAAAGGAATATATTTTGGTAGATACAATTAAAACAACAGTGTCAATCTTTGAAATTCTCAATTAATAAAATAAAAATTATGTTAATGAATGAGTAGTAATGACACAAAATTACGAGTCAAAGTCAAAGTCAAAGTCAAAAATCATTTATTCATGTAGGTAACTATTACACTTATGAACTCACAAAATAATTATAGAATCTAACTTTAATTTACTACATTCTCAAATCAAGGGCGTAGAACGAACGAGAAGAACTGGCAATAAACTCGCCGTCACTCCTTTTATCGCCAAGTTTCATTTTACATTCTTGATAACTTTTAGTACAAAGATGAGAGCAAGCCAACGTCTTAACAGTGCGAACCTGTTATACACGTGCGAAATGGAAATTTTGATTAACCCAAGCTACTTGGCCGAGTACTTGATTGAAAAACAATTGAGCTAAGTAAAACTCGGTACTCGTTACTCAGCAAAAGTGTTACTCGGTGATCTCTAGTATAAATCAAACTTAACCAGTTGACACTTGACGTTGACATTAAAGGGCTGTCAATTCTTAATTTTGGGGGCGGATTCTCGCTAATCGCTACCATTACCTACATCAAATCTTGAAAATCCGAGTATCCACGTAAAAAATATAATAATGTAATTATTAAATCATTTTATTTGTGCTAAATGATCGATTTCGACTGATCTTCTAGCCAAGAAACCGTAAGTATTGTTCGCTGGACTTACTACATTGATTATGTTTCTTGTACATGTCCGGCCATATCTTATTGATCAGTAACAGGTTACCGAGATGCAAACGAACCATTTACACTAGTCGTTTCTATTCTTTGTATTATATATGCTTTTATTTCAGCCCGCAAGATGATTGGGGGTTTATTTGTCTATAACCACAAGGGCGAGGTGCTCATTTCGAGGGTATACAGGGATGATATAGGGCGTAATGCGGTAGACGCTTTCAGAGTAAATGTAATCCACGCTCGTCAGCAAGTTCGCTCTCCAGTGACGAACATCGCGCGTACATCCTTCTTTCACATCAAGGTATTTTATAAGATATTCAGTTATAATTTATTAACTTCTACCTTCACTTATTGTTTAAAGATTTTTCTATTAGAATTATTTTATAAGAAGTGAATGTTTATTATTTTCCATTGGAGACACTGATAGAAGTCTGAGTGACTAGTCCATATATATATGATGTTTAGTATCTGCTGACTGTTTCCCCAATTTTCCCTATCCCCCCCTTTGCAGAGGACATTGGGTTATTCAACTCATTGTGTCCCCTTCAAACCAGCTAGTTTCTTTGCAGAATTTAAATATTTTTTATGAAAGAGGAGGATGGACTAGCATGGGGTTCCCTTGATGGTAGGTAAAATACTTCAGCTATATAACATCTAAATAAGATGTGATATAATTATGCCTTTGATATTTGGAAATGGATACACTCAAATTGAAAGGCAATTGAATTTCTCAGCTTTCTTATTTCAATATTCCTACAATCCATTTAATATCCAGATTACCAGATGAAATACAACATGTTTCAGAAAATTTAATATTAACATGTTGGACCCGGTAGGGATCAAACCCGTCAACCTGTGGATTATTAGCCATACATTTTCCCATTCTACCAACAATATTATTTTCAGTAACATTGACGGTTCAATGTTTATCTATATTAATTAAAAGTACTCCATTGTATTAGGAGTATTAAAGTTTCATTTACTTATATAGTCTATGTTTTATGTTTTAGAGGGCAAACATCTGGTTGGCGGCTGTAACAAAGCAAAATGTCAACGCAGCGATGGTTTTCGAGTTCCTCTTGAAGATCATAGATGTTATGCAATCATACTTTGGGAAGATCTCCGAGGAAAACATCAAGAATAACTTTGTGCTTATTTACGAGCTGCTTGATGGTAAATTTTGTTGTTAATATTGAATACTACTACCAATCAATATTATTGTCATTAAGACTAAGCTCTATAAACACCTTATTAAATGGACAAGTACTTCTCTGAAATGCCTTAGTATAATAAGATTTCTTTTTGAATAAATATACCTAAATAACACCACTAAGTGGATTTTCTAATATCCAAAACCAAAATAGGTCAACAACGCATCTTGTTTATCCATCAAGTGAATCCTATGCCATGCGATATGTCTGTACTCTTCAAGCATTAAAAAATTTTAAGCTGAAGAAGAATTCTCTTTCATTATAAGACTGAGTTATACATCTGCTTTCCATTTTTTTTGTGGTGTTTATTAAGAGATTATGTATGTCTTTCAGAAATCCTAGACTTTGGCTACCCACAAAACTCAGATACCGGAGTGTTGAAGACGTTCATCACTCAGCAGGGCATCAAATCGGCATCCAAGGAGGAGCAAGCTCAGATCACTTCACAGGTATATATGTATATGGATTGGTCGTAAGATAAGTGGCCTTTGTATAAAATTTTGCGATGGGGATATATTTATATAAAAATGGGTCAAATTATCAAAAATTTTGTAGGTTTAAATAAAACACTTTAACGGTTTAAAACGCGATATGTATTAGTTATGCAACATATTATTTGGCGGAAAAAAAAAAAATTTTTTTCCCCCCCCACCACGGGCAAAATTTCGTTTTCCCCCCCCCAAAATTTCCGGCCAGCCAAAATGATTTTTAACTTGAACGGCGCGACGTGGGGGGGAAAAACCGGGGAGGGAATGGTCCCCCTTTTTATTTATATGGCAACCCTTATTTTTCGATAAAACTTCGAACGCTACTATTGGTTGAACGGATCTTGATAGTTTAATTCGTTAAAACTAGCGTAGAAAATTTTTATTTTTTACATTTGGCGTCAGAGACATCCTCTATCTTTAGTCAAAAAAAAAAATAAAAAAAATTGACTAGGGCAGGAATTGAACCATCAGCGTTCCCTGTGACCATGGCTGCTGCAAAGCGTACGAAACGTCGGGCCGAAGTTAAAAGTCATTTTCAATATAAGTTTAACTAATATAATCGCGTTTTAAACAGTTGAAAGTGAATGCTTTAATTGCCCAAGAAAAATTTTTACATACTCTCGATTTTTAAACTAATAGACGAGTATTTAATTAACCAATTATAAAAATTGTGGGGTTTCGTAGGCGTACGCTGCGAATACGGTTCAAGATATCCAATAAATATTCGTATCGAAAGAATGATTTCTCTTTCGTATCTCGGCCGGATCTAAACAAAAGTCCGCGACGACGTAGTAACCGCATATCTTGTCTCTAAGATTTACTTACAACGGTAACGCGACCGACGTCATGGGTGACTGTTTAAATTTATAGAGATGAGGTTGCAAAAACAAATTTGGATGCCCAAAATGACTATTCTACGGATAAAGTCGCGGGCACATATAATTTTTTTTTTACAATTATACATTTACAAACAAGAAGAAATAATATTATAAATCTCAGGTGACCGGTCAAATAGGATGGCGACGAGAGGGCATAAAGTATAGACGCAACGAGCTGTTCCTCGATGTTTTAGAATACGTCAACTTGCTCATGTCACCGCAAGGTAACAATATTATCACTTAAAGATATATTTAAGATTCTTCAAACTTCTTCTAGTTACGATATAGGTTCTTTGGTGTAGTAGGTAACAATGTTTGTCTAATAATGAACGGGTTTGATCCCCACTGGGTCCAATATATTTTTAAACTATTTATAATTTAATTAACTTAAATGTTATTGTCTGGGGGTCACTTACCATCAAGTGTATGTCCTTCTCTCATTAAAAAAAATTTATTGCCGACCTAATTCTCAATAACTGTAGCTATTGAGAAACACCTAAAACTCCAGTCGCCTGTTGATCTTAATTATTATTTCAGTTTTTCCTTGTAAGTTAGCGCATAGAATAATGTTATTTTCTATCAGGGACACTGAACGCCAGGTGATCGGTCCCTAGACGCCATAAATAGTATTGAGAGACTTATAAACAATAATGTGCCATTTATTATTATATAGGATAAGCCAAGACAAATTATAATACTGTTTAACTATTCCAGGCCAAGTTCTGTCAGCCCATGTGGCCGGTAAGGTGGTAATGAAGTCCTACCTCTCCGGCATGCCCGAATGCAAGTTTGGCATCAACGACAAGATTGTCATGGAGGCCAAGGGAAAAGGGAACGGTATGGGTTGAATAAGTTTTCTTGAATCGCTTAAAATAGGATAGATTGACATAACCACTGAATATGCTACTTTGCAAAAATGCTTTGCTAAGCATGTGAGGAGAAATTTCTTAATTTTATACAGGAACAAATACGCAAAATACGATTTTATTGTGTTTTTTTCCTTAATTATATATTTTTATATATAATATTAAAAACAAATGTGAATGTGTTTTTGCTTTAAAAATATATCTTGTATGGGTAATATAATGATATTTTCGGTTTCATTTAAATAAAACATGTTTAGCGGTTTGAAACGCGAATCATATTAGCTGTGGCAACTTATGATAGTCGTGTATCTCTGGCTTCTGGCCCCGAAAAACTGTAGTATGTTTATTTTATTTTAACTTTTGTACAAAATTTAAAATAAAAAAGGAATTTCTTGAGTAATTGGTTAGTACTAGGTTTTTTTTTTAATTTATTTAAAAGATCTACAAAACTAAGCTATAATATATAGATATGGTATAAATGGTTTTATACAAATAAAAAATCTTGAAAATAAAGAACACTTTAACGGTTTAAAACGCGATATATATTAGTTGTAAAATAATTTTCAAATAAGTTTAACTAATATATATCGCGTTTTAAAGCGTTTAAGTGTTGTGTTTAAATATTTACTACTCGCGTAAACTACTGTAGTACGCGAGTAGAAAAATTGAACTAAGCTTGCGAGTGAATGATGCAATAAATTACTAATGTAAAAAAAAAATCTTACAATTCCGTCCGAACGTAAATTTGACGCTCCGTTATTGCTTCTCAAAATGTCAAGCGCCAGACCCGAACAAATATGACCCGACATTTCGGATACATCATCCGTGAAAGACGCGTTTTAAATCAGTCTTTTTAAATGTCTACTCGCGTAAACTACAGACAGTATTTAGTACCATTGTTACAATAATTTCAGGTGGCATATCTGGCAACACAGACAGCGAAGGTGCGAGGTCTGGCAAACCGGTGGTGGTAATTGATGACTGCCAGTTCCACCAGTGCGTGAAGCTCAGCAAGTTTGAAACGGAACACTCCATCTCCTTCATTCCACCGGATGGAGAGTTTGAGCTTATGAGGTAGTTGTTCTATCTTTTTCTCTTACTATTCTGGGCTTTGTGTGTCGAGTCTTTTCAACATAAAAAAATATTTAATTCATTTCTGTTAGTTACTTTGTAATTAAAACGAATAATTAATTTTATTTGTTTGTTAGCTTTTATGTAGAACTAGCTGCGCCGGCGACTTCAATTTTAATTTAAAACAAAAGACACGTGTACGTAACTTACGCAATAGCTCTAACCAAATTAGCTACCATGTACTTTTTAAACACTTGTAACCGTTTAAAATGCGAAATATATTGACAAATTCCACATGGACACGGTTGCTGCACAGTCCGAAGTGTAATAAGTATTGGAATAAGTAAAATTAAGTCTACCAATTATATTTCGCGTATAAAACCATTAAAAGCGTTTTATTTAAATATGTACTACACCTGTAAACTGCAGGCAGTGTTAACTTTTATTCAAAACAGAATTTTCCAAAATAAATTATCAAGATTTTTTAAATTCGCATGTTAAACCGTTAAAAGTGTTTCATTTAAATGTATACTACCATGGCCTATACGTCATCGTCGGATCTCTTCAACCCATTGACACAAACACTTGCAAGATTGGTTATAATTAATGGCTATAATTTGTAACTTCCAGATACCGTACAACCAAAGATATATCTCTGCCGTTTCGAGTGATCCCACTGGTTCGGGAGGTGGGTCGCACCAAAATGGAGGTCAAGGTGGTGCTGAAGTCGAACTTCAAACCGTCGCTGCTGGGTCAGAAGATCGAAGTGAAGATACCAACACCGCTGAACACCAGTGGGGTACAGCTCATCTGTTTGAAGGGGAAGGCCAAGTACAAGGCCTCGGAGAATGCTATTGTTTGGAAGTGAGTCAAAGTAAAAAATAATAAAATATTGATGTATAAATAAAACACCTTAACGGTTATAACGCGATATATATGTGTTAATAGTTAAACTTATTTTGATATTATTGTTACTACAGCTCGACGTTTCGGGTGCCTTGCAGCAGCCGTGGTCTATACATATCGCGTTTTAAACCGTTAAAGTGTTTTATTTAAATTTGTACTACTCGCTTGTCGACCTATTTTGCTGAACACCACATTATAAAAACTAAGCTTTTACAAGAGCGGAGACTTACGCCCAGCAGTGGGACTTAAATTTGTCTTACATTGGTTACTTTTAAATTATGTTTTGTTATTTGTGTAGGATCAAGCGCATGGCTGGTATGAAGGAGACCCAACTCTCCGCTGAAATCGAACTGCTCGAGACCGACACCAAGAAGAAGTGGACTCGCCCCCCCATTTCTATGGGCTTCGAGGTTCCATTTGCGCCGTCTGGATTTAAGGTGTGCTAAATTTTTTAACGTTGATAGTACTATATAAATTTAAAAAAAATACGACACGGGCAAGGTCTTTAACCGGCATCCGAAGGTTAGACGATGACGTGAAGGACACGAGGACGTATTTTTTTTTTCAATTTATATTTTTTTCAGTACCATGTCCATAAATACTGTCTATAGTTTACGCGAGTAGTACACATTTAAATAAAACACTTTAACGGTTTAAAACGCGATATATTAGTTAAACCGTCACCACGTCAGCAATCAGTCTCCCTGTGACCACGGCTGCTGCAAAGCATCCGAAACGTCGGGCCGGTTAAAAATCATTATCAAATAAGTTTAACTAATATATCGTTTAACTAAATAATTCATCTTTAGTCTCATTCACTCGTCAAAAGCATTCGAAACGTCGGGCCTTACTTAAAATAATTTAATATATATCGCGTTTTAAACCGGTTTGTAATAGTTTTTCTTATAAGAAAATAGACGTATACTTTTTAAAAACATTGACGTAATTTGAATATGATAAAACTATAAAAGTTGACACAAATGAAAAACAAATTTAGTGACACACGTGTGAATCATACCCTTTACCAGCACGGTTCTAACGATTGAGCTACCGCGCTACGCATGTCTTGAATTCGATTCCTGTCTGTGCAAGACATTTCTTCAATTCCATGTCATACATTACTAAAAACGTATATTATGTTTATTAAAAAGCTGTTTGGCTTCTGGTCGTCCTGTTTCTGTAAACGCTGGAAAATCCATTCTTTCAGCACTACATTGTTTTTTAATCTTGGTTTGCCTGGAAGAGTTCGTTTGTTAAGGCCGTCAGTGGTACTTTATATAAGTCTTAATTTTATATTGCCTGTGCAACAATAAATCTAATATATATAAAATTCTCGTGTTGACGTTGTTCGAACTTGAACTCCTCCGAAACGGCTCGACCGATTTTCACCAAAATTTCATATGTGTATTCAGTAGGTCTGAGAATAGGAAAACATCTATTTTTCATCCCCCCTAAGTGATAAGGGTGGTTCACCCTTAATTTTTTTTTTTAATTTTTGAACAAAATTTTTAATTTCTATTTTTTTATGATACAACATACAAAAATACATACAATCCTCAATTTTCACCCTTCTACGATCAACCCTTATTTTTTAATAGACATTTTAGTAAAATTATTTAAATGGCAAAACAACGTTAGCCGGCTCAGCTAGCTATAAATAAAATGCTTACGAAGCCTTTAGACAATCTGAATTGCAGTATTTTTATCTCTAATATATTGTTAAGTTTCAAAGGGAATTTCATTTTGTTTTCAGGTCCGCTATTTGAAGGTGTATGAATCAAAGTTGAACTACTCCGATCACGACGTGATCAAATGGGTTCGGTACATCGGCAGATCCGGTTTGTACGAGACCAGGTGTTAGGAGAATTCAGGTAGTGATTGGTGATTTTTACTTTTATCCAGCTGGTGCTTATGACCGGCCTATAGATTCTTGTGACCGGGTTATAGATGCTCGTGACCGGACTATATGGGCTCAAGACCGGGCTATAGTTGGTTGTGACCCGTCTTTAGGCGTTTATGATCGGGCTATAGATGTTTGTGATCACCTTCGCTTAATGATCGCAAAATAGGTACTAAATTCGAATCCCGCGGATGCAATAAATGATTTCGGTCGAGCAGGACACAAGCATAATGAACTTGGCTGTAAATGAAACGCACAACTTTCATTGATGAAACGGACGCACGAATGTGTTCGCCCCATGTCCCATAGGACAAACATAGAGTATATAGGTTATAATATAAATTTTTAATTTTTTCAGGATTGTTTTCAATTCAAGCAATAGTTGGCCTGCTTCGTGTAAATACACAAAACGAATCCAGTACGAGATTATTTAAAAAAGCATATAGAAATCAATATTTTCCCGTTTTAAACGACTATCGAACAGTTTTTATTTAATAAAAATCATGTGTATGTAATGAAATTTCTTTAGAATCTCACTATGAAAACCTTTGTATTGTTTTATTAAGTGAGAAGACAGTAAATATTGTTACTTTATGAACTAACATTTTTTTTAAACAATTTTACTTTTAAGGTAAATAGCATTCCCTTAGAATTGTATAACATATCTATTTATATATAATACGCTTTTTAAATTGTATAATATTGAAGTTGTTTTAATGATAACTTTTAAAATAGCACATCATATAGTATTAAACCGAAATAAAATATCTATTGCATTCATATGTATACGTGGAGGCCCGTTTTCACCGAGACTTGTTAACGGCCGTCAATGTCAATCATCTGTCAATGTCAAATGTCAATGACTTATGAAAACACAGCCCTAATGTCATACAGTCTGTAGTTTACGCAAGTGGTACGCATTTACATAAAACACGTAACGGTTTAAGGGGCGAAGTATAACGCTGAACAAAATGTAGAGGGGGAGAAGCAAATGAAATGACGTCAATCGACATAAATCGAGGGAGACAACACGACTGGGGAACCGATCAACGCTAGCGCACATGACTTTCACGCGCCCCGCGCCCGCTTCCGCCCTTCGATATCTTATTTTTTACTTCTGCGCAGGATTCGTTCAGCGCTAAAGATCCGTGCCGCTACTTATATATTAGGTAACTTATTTACAGTTTATTCTAACTAGGGCCGGAGGTTTCTGCTGCAGAGGAGGTAAACGTGTTTTATTTAATGGCAATTTTGAGTATTTTATATTAAACTATAAAATGTTCGAAGAAAAGTATGTTTTTTTTTCGATTTTATAGCCGTCAATTATTTTTTAATTTACTAACGCCCTCTGGTTTAATCATAAGTTATATTTGACAGTGGTTAACATTCTTGATCAAGTGTCGTTATTTCTCAGTGAAAGTGGGCCTAAACATTTTTATGCTTATGTAGCTTCGATTCGTTATAAATCGAACATGATTTATTGATATCATAAATTAAACACGTTTAGACGGATTTAAACGCGACTGTAAGTAGTTAATTGTTACTCGCGACCCAATGTCAGATTCATCATCACGAGGGACTAAAGATGGTAGACGTCAAGAAACAGATGGCGCTAGTGAAGCAAACTTAATGTCAAGTTTGCTTCACTAGCGCCATCTGTTTCTTCGCAATTAATATTTGTAGAAACAAGCTGGGTCTTTACATACACGTTATATATACTCAACTTAATGAATATACCACGACCCGAAGTTCGCAGTAGTTGTTGTCACTAAAAGAGGCCGCAATCCATCCGCGACTTCTCATCTATTGAATAATTTAGTACCTAATATTGGTCGCGTTTTAATCCGTCGAAGAGTGCAATGCATGTTGACTGCAGTTTTTATAAGTTTGATTTAATGTGTTGCGGCTTAGTGTAGATGAATTTAATGTATCGGAATGAGCGTATAAAAGCCTTTTTTAGCTCAAACTTCACTTAAATCAATAGATGTTTGAGATTGTATTACGAAATAGGGTTATACTGTATGTTAGCGTCATTTGGTGTACCTAAACTTATATGTTATCTATAATAAATGTTTAAAAACATGTCCGTGTTTTTATTTGTGTCTCAATGGCCTATTTGATAGTGCGAAACTATAGCTTCAATAACTGTTATCAGTATAAAGTATAAGTTATAGAAATAGTAAAACAGTTACATATGAAGTACAGTCTATAGTTTACGCGAGTAGTACACATTTAAATAAAACTTTCGTAATCGAATAAAACGTCGGGCCGAAGTTAAAAATCATTTTCGAATAAGTTTAACTAATATATCGCGGCTTCGTTTAAAAATTAACTTCTTTTAACAATTGTCACGTGACACATACGCTCCTGATTGGTCGGGTTTATGACGTCACATGCTTAAAAACTGTGCTATAAACCACAGTGCTCTCTAGTGTTAAAACTGTTCTCCTCTCTACGTTAATTAATACATAAATTCTTAACTTCGGCCCGACGTTTTAAAGTTTAGGGGAGTTATAAATCATTTTCAAATAAGTTTAACCAATATATCGCGTTTTAAACCGTCAAAGTGTTTTATTTAAATTTTTACTCGCGTAATCTATAGACAGTATTTAATTCTTAACTATTACTTCAATCACTAGACGCGCAATTTAAATGATGGATTTTTAATATATACTAATATTATAAATGCGAAAGTAACTTCGAAACTACTGAACTGATTTAAATGAAATTTGGTTCACAGATATTTTAGAGCCCGAAATAGGACACAGGTTAAACGCCGCCCTTACATAAATTAATAAACAGCCTAAAGAATTAAAAAAAATCCCCTAGTCACGATTCCACGCGGACGAAGACGCTAGCACAGCTAGTTTAATACATCTCAGTATTGTCAAAAATACTTTTCTGGGGTTCCTTTAAGGGGTTAGCTAAAGGGCGAAAGGTTGGAATCCGGGGCAACAATGAACAGGGCGCAGTCTGATCAACTACTTGCCTGTAAACCGTTAAGTGAAACAGACACAGATATATGCTCGCCCCATGCCCCACGAGAGAAACAGGATTTCAATTTTCTAAAAGTCTATATAGATAAAGTGTTTTATTAAAAATGCGGGTAGATCGCAACATTTACCATCTACGTCGACCGGCGTTCTTTACAACTACTGTACCGTTGCACATGCCCACGGCGTGATATCGAAATATTTGACTTTTATAACTAACTAGCTGTGTCAGCGACTTCGTCCGCGTAGAATCTTTATTTTGGACATCTAATTTTGTTTTTACAAACCTCCACATCTTTAAAAATCTTGGCCGTTACCAACGACGTCGTCCGCGGCCCGTCGTCCTTGCAAGTTAATCTTAAAAAATAGACATATATTGTCGCGGACATTTTTTTAGATGATATAAAGAGGAATCATTCTTTTATACACATTTTTTGGTTATTTTGAACCGTTTTTGCAGCGTACGCCTCGGAAACCCACAACGACGAATTGTTTTCCCGTTTTTTTCTTACATTATACCTTCCTCGATAAATGCTCTAACGAACACAAAAATAATTTTTCAATTCGAACCCGTAGTTCCTGAGATTAGCGCGTTCAAACAAACAAACTCTTCAGCTTTATACATTAGTAATCTATACTAACGCCCTACCGTTAATATATGAGTGTCCGTGATAACGCCCACCAGAAAAACTTTAATTAACATTAATAAGTTAATTTCTAATGAGGACTTGTTAATATTGTTGCAGAAAATGCACAAACAATGGTTGTTGTACGAAAGGCCGTTAAATAGAATTATCTTTTCTCTGTATTCCTTGTTTACATTTAAATAGAACACTTAACGGCTTAAAATGCGAATTGTATTAGTTACTATATTTACAATTTATTTGAATTACGAATAGTTATGGTAAACGCACGACGTTCCGGATGCTTTGCAACAGTCGGGGTCACGGGGAAACGTCGGGCCGTAGTAAACTTTAATATCCGCGTTCCGTGCTGTTGCTCTGCTGGAACGCTGACGATGCCGGTTCAAGTCCTGCCCGAGACGAAAATTTTTTAAAATTTAATTTTCGAGTGTTTATAAATGTATTTCGCGTTTTAAACCGTTAAAAAAGTTTTTTTTTTAAATTACTTACATATTAAATACTGTTTTATAGTTTACGCGAGTAGTACACATTTGAATAAAACACTGTAATGGTAATAATTTTTAAATAATTATAACTAATACATATCGCATTTTAAACCGTTAAACTTACATATTTCAAACTACAATGTTAAACATTACGCCTAATTTATCCAGTGGAAACACCAGAACAAAGACATCGTGCACAAGACAAGTATCCAGAAGTTGAGACAAAAACAGCCCCCGCTTGAACCTTAAATAATTAATCTAGCGGTCTCTTTGATGTTAAGATCCTTCTACATTCAACATTTAAGATATGCAAATGTTTCATTGCTAGTATAGAAATTAATTTTACCTAACTAGTCTAATTTTAGCAATGTTTGGATAATTACAGGTTCGATTCTGAAATGTTTCTAAAAAAAATAAATAAAATAAAATATACTTTAATCTCTATAAAATTATAAACATTACTTAGATTCGTCAAAAAACAAATATGAAATAATATGTTTGTCTGTCCGTTCGTCGTGATTCTACAGAGTGTTCAAAAGGATAGGATGTCAGTCGGGCTTTTTTCAACATGTCTTACAAACAACATATAATGTTGTGAAACATATTGTATTTGGTCCGGCTCATGTAATCGAAAAATTGAATGCAGCAAAATAATCCAGTAGTGGATTCGAGCCCCGTCTGGGTCAGCAGTTTCTAAACAATTTATTAGTTCTGAAACGTTGGACGTCGTCTAGAAAAAGCCATGAAGTCTGAAAGACAAAAATGGTTGACAGTGCATCATGTTTAGATGTTTCTTACGCTTGTCTGTCGACCTCTGTTATAAAATAAATTAAGTAAATTTATGTAAGAATCGTCTAGTTTATGCGATTAGTACACGTTATTCAAATGACACACTTCTAATCGTTTAAAACGCGAAAATAACACACTAAGATGCAATGTATGCATTGATGATGCATCCCATCTGCTTACTTGGTCATTAAATGAAGCTTTTTTAACGGTTTAAAACGCGAAATATATTAGTTTCGATTACTCCTAATAACACCAAACAGATGGCACACCCTCCATTTTCAATCCTCCCATGACAATGGCTGGTGCAAAGAAAACGAAAACGGGACGTACTTAAAATAAAAATAAGTTTCACTAATACATATCGCGTTTTAAACCGTTAGTGTCTATTGAGTATTCTACTTAGTGAAGTGTGAAAGCCTGTTTCCCCCTCGTTGAGTATGGGGCGAACACATTTCTGTGTCCGTTTCAATGATCCGTTCTTTTAACTGGCAAGTAGTTGATCAGACTTCTGTGCCCTGCCCGA